CAATATTGAGTGATTCATATGTTTGTTAAATGTTCTACAATTTCAGCCTATGTTTGCTGATTATTAACCTGGCTTTCTCTTTTCTTTTTTGCTTTCTTTCTTTCTTTTTTGTGACATGATCTCAAGTAGTGCATGGTAGCCTTAAACTGGATATAAAATTTATCATGACCTTGATCACCCCATTTCTACAACCCAAAGTGCTATGACCACAAGGCATGTAATATCATACAGCCACTTTTATTACACTAGCTGAACAAAACTATTGCCATGCGTTAAAATATTTTCACATAGCTGAGCAGTGGTGGTTCATTCCTTTAATCTTAGCACTCAGGAGGCATAGGAAGATGGATGGCTGTGAGTTCGAAACTAGCCTGGTCTGTAGAGCAAGTTCCAGATCAGGTTCAAAAGCTACACAGAGAAACCCTATCTGGAAAAACCAAATTAAGTAATTAAACAAACAAACAAATAAACAGATAAATAAAAATATAAATAAACTTATGGAATAATGTCAGTATAGTGCTCAGTATTTAAAATTGAATGTTAGTGCCAGTGTGAAGAGAACCCTCAAATCAGTACCTGTGCTGTTATTTAAAAAAAGATCACATAATTATCCTTCAGTTTTATGTTTAGAGGAAAAATATGCTTTAGTAATTGTATATTTATGTCCTCCAAAAAAGCATCACTATTATTTAACATTTACACCTATCAAGAAATTAATCTTGGGGCTGGAGAGATGGCTCTGGCTGCTCTTCCAGAGGTCTTGAGTTCAATTCCCAGCAACCATATGGCTTACAACCATCTGTAGTGAGATCTGGTGCCCTTCTCTGGCCTGCAGGGATACATGAAGAGGCAGAACACTGTACACATAATAAATACAATCTTTTTAAAGATTTATTTAGTTATTTATTATACAGTGTTCTGTCTGCAGGCCAGAAGAGGGCACCAGATCTCATCAGATGGTTGTAAACCACACTCTGTGGTTCACATGGTGAATTGAACTCAGGACCTCTGGAAGAGCAGCCAGTGCTCTTAACCTCTGAGCCATCTCTCCAGCCCAATAAATACAATCTTTTTTTTTTTTTTTTTTTTTTTTTTTTTTTTGGTTTTTCGAGACAGGGTTTCTCTGTGGCTTTGGAGGCTGTCCTGGAACTCACTCTGTAGACCAGGCTGGCCTCGAACTCACAGAGATCTGCCTGCCTCTGCCTCCTGAGTGCTGGGATTAAAGGCGTGCGCCACCAACGCCCAGCTTCCAATAAATACAATCTTTAAAAAAAAAAAAGAAATTAATCTTATTAATCTTGAAATATTTGAACTCTTTTTTGTTTTTGTTTTTATGAGACAGTGTTTTGGAGGCTGTCGGTCCAGCTGGCCTCAAACTCACAGAGAACTGCCTGCCTCTGCCTCCCAAATGCTGGGATGAAATATTAGAACTTTTAATTCAACAGTTACCAGAAACATTCTCAGGAGAGGGGAGGAGGAAGGAGAGAGAGGGAGCGAGAGAGGGAGGGAGGGAGGGAGAGACAGACAGACAGACAGACAGACAGACAGACAGACAGACAGACAGACAGACAGGGCACAATGGCACATACCTGTAAATCCATCACTTGGGAGGCTAATGCAATAGAGTGGTGAATCTGAGGTGAGGCTGGACTAGACAGAGTTCTGCACTAACCTGAGCTAGACAAGACCTGTCTTAGAGAACAGAACAAGAGGCAACTGAACATGTTTGATACAAGCTAGAGTCATTGGTGAAGAGGGGGAACGTCAACAGAAGTCATTTCCCACCAGACTGCCTGTGGAGCATTTTCTTGCCGTAGCTCACCTTAGACAGGTGGGCCTGGGTGCCCTGAGAAAGCTCCGAGGAGCAAGTCAGTAAGTAGCACTCCTCCACAGCCTCAGTTCCAGTTCTTGGCTCCGGGTTCCTGTCCTGAGTTCCTGCTCAACTTTCTCAGTGATGGACTTATAAATTATAAGGTTCTGAAATAGCTCTTTTCTCCCCAGGTTGCTTTTAGTTATGTTTTATCACTGCAAAAGAAACTAGCTAAACCAGAAAGTCTAGGAAACAGAACCTTCAACCAATGACTGATGGAAGCAGAGGCAGACAGCCACAGCTAAACACTGAGCTGAACTCAAGGACCCCAGAGAAGAGAGGGAGGACTGACGAGCAAAGGGGTCAAGACCGGGCTGGTTTAACCCCCAGAAACAGCTGACCTGAGCAAGGGTTAGCTCTTGAACCCCAGACTGATGGCTGGGAATCCAGCATGGGACTGATCAAGACCCCCTGAATGTGAGTGTCAGTGAGGAGGCCTAGGCAATCTATGGGGCCTTGGGTAATAGGTCAGTATTTATCCCTGGCATACAAATGGACTTTGGGTGCCCATCGCACAATGAGAGATGCACTCTCAGCCTGGACTCTTGGGGGAAGGTCTAGGCCCTGCCCTGAATGAAATGACAGACTATGGACACCCCATGGAGGGCCTCACCCTCCCTGGGGAAAGCAGTGGGGATTGGGGGGTGGGGTTTATGGGATGTCATGGGAGAAGAGGGAAAGGGAGGGGAAGCTGGGATTGACATGTGAAGCAACCTTGTTTCTAATTTAAATTTAAAAATAAAAATGAAATAAAAAAATAAAGCTTAATTCTACCAAAAAAAAAGAAAAGAAAAGAAAGAAACTAGCTAAAACAGAAAACTGGTACCAGGTTTGTGAGACACTGCTGTGACAAGACCTGACCGTGCATTGGGGAGGCCTGTGGGAAGACTGGAATTCTGGGTGAGAAAAGCCATTGAGAGTTCAGAGTTTATGAACTGCTGTGGGAACCTGGAAGACAATGCTGGGGCCAAAACAACAACAACCCAGCTGTGATTAGGAGACCAGCGCCACTGAAGTAAAATATTCCGGGCAGGGTTTCCTCAGGGTTGGCACACAGAAGCTGTGGCTTTACCTTGGGCTAGCAACCCAACTTGACAATGTGTAAGATTCCCAGGCAGTACTAGTGTTCAAGGCATGGAGGAGTGATGGACATCAGCTAAGGCTTGGCACTGTGAGAGGCCAGGAAAGACCAGTGGGGAATGTTCAGTTGAAGCAGAAACACCAGGACTTGAAGAGGTCATAGAGAAGACGTAGCAGTGGAGACTCAAGGACAGCAGCAACTGTAAAGTGGAGCCAGCCTGAACCTAGGGGACAAGCTGCAAGTGGTGTGGACCACAACGCCAGAGAAGCGCCACTCCAAGGCCCAGGAGATCAGAGGCTGTCTGGCATCCTACATTAGCACTGATTCTGTTTTTTATACTACTGAATTTTATTTTTGTTTTGATCTGACTGGCTCTTCCTTTTTGAAATAAAATATATCTTTGTTGTTGTTGCTGTTTATGTTTTTCAAGACAGGGTTTCTCTGTTTAACAGCCTTGGCTGTCCTGAAACTCACTTTGTAGACCTGACTGGCCTCAATCTCAGAGATCTGCTTGCCTCTGTCTTCTGTGTGATGGAAATAAAGACACGCACACCACTGCCCAGCTTGTAACTTATTTTTTATTTTACAAGAGCCCAGTTATCCCAGAACTTAAAATTGTCTCACTCAGTGTTCGTAGTGCTAGCATGAGCCACCAAGCATGAGACTATGACTTGATTATCCACCATCAGTTACATTTTACATAGCTGATTTTTAAAAATTTATTTATTTTACGTGTATGAGTATTTGACTCTGTGTATGTATATGCACCATGTGCTTGAGGAGGCCAGAAAAAGGTATAGAATCCCCTTGAGCTGGAGTTTCCAAGATGGTCGTGAGCCTCCATGTGAGTGCTGGGAATCAAACCTCCTTTGGCAGTGTGGCCAGTGCTCTTCGCCTGTAACGCCAGGTCTCCAGATGTACATGACTGATTCTTATAAAAATAATCTCTGCTACCTAGAACACTCACTCACAAATATTCAAAGTATTTTGTTGTGACAAACAAATCTTAATAATCTAAAAAAAATGTGATTATGTTATAAAAAGGTCTCACAGGAGCTCTGGAATAGAGTAAAGGCTTTGTAGACAGGCAGTGGTGGTAGCCCACGCCTGTAATCCCAGAACTTGGGATACCGAGGGCAGGCAGATCTCTGTGAGTTCAAGGCCAGCCTGGTTTACAAAGCAAGTTCCAGGACAGCCAGGGATACATAGAGAAACCCTGTTTCAAAGCAAAACAAAAAGATTTGGCTTTGTTAGCCAGAACTAAATTTAAAACTGGGCCTGAGTGACATGAAAATACTACTTAGTTACTATCATTGTCTCTCCCTATGATGAATCGAGACTGTATATCCTTGGAGCTACCACTTTTCCAACAACTGAGATCATAATGTTCACATTCAAACCACTCCCTCCTCATCCCTGGGGCTTTCTTCAAATGCACCTCCACTCTGGCTTCACAGCCTCACCTATAGAAATTCTAGGGTTTAGGACTAGCACAGAAGAAACTGAAGAAATAATTATTTTGTTATACTAATCAGAATTGTAAATATAGCATTCTTTGTCAACAGAACACAGAAATTTGTATGCACAGTTGAGTCCTCTCAAACGAAGACTTCTGTATAAGCTCTCCTGAAAGGTGTTCACCTTACAGGATAAGAAGAATCATTTGTTTTGTGTGTATGTATGTGTGTCTTTAAACTTTCTTACCTCATCAAAGCCAGCAGCCTGCAAATCCTGAAACATCTGTGGATTAACTTCTGAAGGGCTTCGGGAAGAACTTGTTTCATTTGCAAATGGTAGTAGAGAGTTTCGAATTTCTTGCAAGGCTTTATGGTGTGTGCCAAATTTGGGTGGATTTCTCCCTTGCCTGGGATCTTCAGTCGACATCTTGCTCAGGTTATGCTCGGCCTTTGCAGCATCTGATGGTTTAGATAAATTCCTAAGGGATTCTCGGATCTCCTGCAGCATTTGTCGGCTGCTGCCAGGGTAGTTGCTGGCAGGAAAGGTCTTAGGCCTCATCTGTCTGTACCCTTCTGGTTTTTCACCCCTCTTCATGAAAGCATCTATATGTGGCCCCCGTGAAGCACTTCTCCAAGAGCTAACCCACAGACTCAGAGATTCCTTCTAAGCAAAAGTGAAAGAGGATGATCCCAGGAATGTTCAAATCCTTTACAATCGATGTAACTAACCTAAAAAAGAAAATACGTAAGTAAAGCTATAGTGATTAAGAAAGCAGCTCTGTGTATTTGGGGAAACCTCCACTGCTATGAAAGTTGACAGTTCCCAGTTGAAGCTCATACTGCATCAAGTAGTACTGTAGGATCAAGTTAAATTATTTCACTTCTCTGTGCCCATTTTTCCTAGTTTCTAAAGCAGATTTACATTATTTCTAATTAGCAGTACATGTGACCAACAACAACAAAAACCCACTTAAAATAGACGCTTTAGTATAAAGCTTATACAAATGTAAAGGATTGCTAAGTGAACCTTAAGCACCCCCCCCTCCAATTTTAGATCTTGGAAATTAGACTTTAGTGTAAGGCTTATTGTTTTTATTGTTATTTATTTTTTAAAGATTTATTATGTATACAGTGTTCTGTCTGCATGTATCCCTGCAGGCCAGAAGAGGGCACCAGCCAGTGAGATTTATTTAGAAGAAAAGGTATCAGTGCTTTAAAAGGTTTCACATTACTTTTTCAGAAGATTCAAAACCTGTTTGGATTTTCTCCCCATACTACAGAATGTGAATAAGGATATCTATATCATAAAGATGAAACTTGGATCATCAAGCTAGGTTTCGGTGGCACACACCTGTAATCCCAACATTTCAGAGGCAGAGAGAGGCAGGCTGATTTCTGGCAGGCAGAAAAGGCCAGCCTGGTCTACAGACTGAGTTCGAGAACAGCTAGATCTCACCCTGAGAAAACAAACAAACCTCAGGCCATCCGGCTTACATTAAGTGCCTTTACTGCAGAGCCGTCTCACTGGCCTTTCTGGTGTTTTTGATAAATGCTTTGCAGCAGAGATTGCATCCATGCACTACCTTCTGTCTTCCTGGGTAGCTCCAACAAAAACCTTGTGAAGATGTATCCTATGTCTCAGTCTTGAGGCAGTTAAAAGTTCAAATACATTCCCTGCTTCTAGAATTTTAACAGGGCTCATTTTGGAATAGTGGGATTAACATGGAGGGAAAGTGTCTCTCTAAATCACTGCATTGAGTCCTGCTGACTACCATTGGACATGTGAGCAAGATAGCAACACTGTTGGCTTAACCCGTCAATATTCTCTTGTTACTAAAAGGCAGCATTGTTATAGCTTGACTAGGACATGTCCCAGAGACTTTAGGAAGTACATCCTAACTAAGGGAAGTAGGTCATTGGAGGTACATCCTTAGTGTGCTCTATTTTGTCTCCGATTCCTTTCTGACCTCCTTGCTGGCTGTCAGGTGAGATGTCCTACCACACCAAAACTGTGACCCTTAACTTATCTGAAGTAATTTGTTACAATGATCAAAGTCTAAGAGAGGGGCCAGCCAAATGCCTCAGCAGGTAAAGATGTTTGTTCCCAAGCCTGATTACCTGGATTTGATTCCTAGGATCCACTGCACAATACGAAAATCAAGCTACCAAATTTGTTCACTAACCTTCATACATGTCATGGTGTGTACAATGCATCAACATACACATAAATAAATGACATAAAAACATTTTAAGTCTACTTATAATTGCTTCTAGGCTTTTTTTGCTAAGATTAAGTATAAAGTATAGTACCTGTTTTTACTAGTATAACATCTGACTTCCTCTGAGAACAATATGTTAAGTAGATTTTTGGAGCTGGAATATGGAGCTGACATTTCTTCGGTGCATTCCCACACCAACCTGATATTGCAGTATATTCAGGCACCCTTTCAGGGGACTTGTACTAAACATGGTGGGAACTCACTTTGGAGCTAACACTCTTGAGATCTTACTTTCTCTGTTGGAAGAGGTTTGTGTTTGTTTGGTTTATTTTTTGTTTTTAATCTAACAGAAAATTAGTATCAAAGAAGGAGGTTATTGCCCTGACCATATGGTCCCAGAGGTCTTTGGATCTGGTTTACAGGAAGAATTTAGAAAACTTTGGGGATGTGGGCTTCAGGCTCTGGAATGATGAGAAGTCTCAGTGGCAATTCTGGTGAGAGGACAAAAGCCAGAACAGTAAGAGAAACACAAGCAGGAAAGGCTGTGCTCAAGATTTCAGACTGCAAAGAACTCTACTGAGAACTGAACTAAAGGTCACTGTGTTGCATTCTGGCCAAGAATGTGTCCTGAGAGTTTCCATTAAGCTGAGTTTAAAGGTGATACGAAAGTTTCACTGGAGCTCAGACTACAGCTTGGTTATTGCTGGCTGCCTTAGCCAGACTTACTGTGAAAACTGGAGGAAAAAGAAAAGAAAATTTGAAAAAATGTGCAGTTTGACCAGAAAAGGGGGGAGAGGGGAAGAGGGGGGGAGGGGAGGGGAGTAGAGAGAGAGAGGGAGGGAGAAAGCACTGAGTCAGGCAATGTTGGTGCACACCTTTAGTCCACACACCCAGGAGGCAGAGGCAGGTGGATCTGAGTTCCAGGCCAGCCTGGGTCACAGAGCAAGTTCTAGGACATCCAAGGCTATACAGAGAAACTTTATCTTGAAAAAACAAAAGAGAAAGAAAAGAAAAGAAACCAGAGGCCTGGAAAGATGAGTAAGTAGTTAAAAACGCCACCCTTGAGAGGATCAGGGTTCAATTCCCAGCATCCTCTTGGCAGCTCACACCACCTGTAACTCCTGTTCCAGGGGATTCACTACCCACTTCTGGCCTTCGCCAGCAAGGATACCAGTGGAAGACAGACATATATACAGGCAAAGCACCCAAACACATGCAATATTTTTAAGAAGGACAAAGAAATCACTGCTTTGGGTCAGGATAGTAAGGAAGATGCTTTGAGAGCATCTCAAATATTAGCTAGACTCCACCTATCACACACATCAGATTTTCCACTGAGAAGACACCACTTTTGAGGTACTCTGCTTTCAAAGAGTAGCTCAGAAAGTTATTCCTGGGACTCATTTCACTATGCTCAGTCACTCACAGGCCTATATAGCTATGTGCATGATGGCCCAGTTAGGAGTTGAGGCCTTTGAGGATCATTCAAAATTCAAGCTACAGGATTTTTAAAAGGAAAGTCTGAATATTAGGCAATGTGTAACTGTGCCAAAGTTCTTGCAGGCAGCCTCTGAAAGAACAGTGCAAGAAATTGTTGAGGTAAAAGCCTAAACTACAAATTGGGATCCTAGGATGTTGGGAGATGCTAAGAACATGGAACATATGTCCAGTAAAGCTGAAATCAGTAAATGAAGCTAGCCCGAGAGACAGCCATGTCTAAGCAGCACAGCTGTGGTGAAAGGGCCGTCTGGACCCATGGGCACTCCTATTTCCACACTATGCTATCATAGACCCAGATCCTGGCCAGGGCTTAGTTTGGGGTCTTACTCTGCTCCCATTCCTCCCTTTTGAAATAGTTTTACTCTAGGTCACTATTAGAAATGTATAATTTTATTTTCCAGGGGCTCACAATTATGAATTTGCCTTAAGCCTTAGGGGAGACTTCGCGTTTTTAAACAAGAGTGGAATTATTGGCACTATGGACACACTTGGAAAACAAAACTGACAGCATTTTGAAAAAACCGCAGCCTTTGGGGGCTGGTGTGGGGAATGCCTCCAGAAGACCACCTGTTAAAGCCTAGGTGTCCAGCTGGTGACCCCTATTTTGGGAGGTTCCAGAAACATATTTAAAATAAGGACACTTGGCTGGGGATATACTTTAATGGTAGAGCAATTCCCTAGCAAGCCCCAAAACCCAGGTTTGTTCTACAATACCACAAAAAATTAATTAATTAATTAATTAAATTCTGATACTGTCAGTTCACCTCTCCAAGCTGACAGTATCACCAATTTATAACTCCTTCAACAAAGTACAGCTAACACAGGCTGTATCGAGTATCAATAATCTTTATTAATATGTGAAAACTCAGGCAAAGAGAATTTTAAAAAGAGCTCAAGACAAGCAGCTTACTACCTTAGATAAAGAAACAATGGTGGCAGATTAGTTTTTCTAACAATCCTGCCGTGTTATTTTCTTGTCCATAGCCATTTATGACTCCTTCCTTCAAGTACTCTTCCAAAAGTAGTGCTTAAACCAAAAGCTCTGGGATGACCTCTGACCCCCCACTCCAGGGTTTCTACATAGCCCTGGCTGGCTTACAGCTTCCTACACAGACCAGGTTAACCTCAAACTCAAAGATCTGCCTGTCTCTGCCCCCAGTCAGACTCAACTTTTAAACTGATTAGGAGTGTGACCCTGAGCAAGCTACTTAGCCTTTGTGCCTGTCAATACTCTCAATACACATTTTCAACAAGCACCTCGCCAATGGGGGAGGTCCCTGAAAATTGATAGTCTTACTGTAAGTTCCTACTCACTTATCTCCATACTTGTACCTCATATTCTAGCCAAGTCAAATGACTGACTCAGCTAACATACTTCATGATTTTCTACTTTAATGTTCTTACTCTTGTATGTATTTCTTAGAGAGCCTCTGCCCGAATTCTTATAGAAATTATACTCAACTTTCAAGATTTAATTTAAATGTGTTCCCTAACAGAAAAACACTCAGAAGTTGTAATTCCCTGAGCACAAGACACATTTTACATGATCCAAATAGAATGTCTGTTTTTTGTTATAATCTTATTTTTTCTAGATCACAGATTCACAAAGGATTTGGTGTCTTGATTTTTTTGTTTAATGAACAAAGAATAAGATCTAGAACTAAAATGTCTTGAATACGACTATTTTTAAAAGATTTATTTATTATGTATACAGTGTGCGCCTGCATGTATGCTTGCACACTAGGAGATGGTTATAAGCAACTGTGTGGTTGCTGGGCATTGAACTCGGAACCTCTGGAAGTGCTCTTAACTGCTGAGCCAACTCTCTAACTGGGGTGTTGTAGTCAGCTGGAGGTAATGCTAGAATGGATTCCACACACTAACCTAGCCCAGGCAATTTTCATCACACTTTACATTTTAAGCTTTCTAGATCACACTCAAGCTTGAAATTACAGTTAAAGTGCTCTAGATTAAAGAAACAAAACTTCCACTTTAAAAAAAATGAGAATTGGGCAGTGGTGATGTGCACTTTGGTTGCAGCATTCGGGAGGCAGAGGCAGGCTTATCTCTGGGGGTTTGAGCGTGAGCCCAGCCTGGTCTACAGAGTTCCAGCACAGCCAGGACTGTTACACAGAGAAACACTGTCTTGGGAAAACAAAACAAAACAAAACAACAAAATTGAGGTGGGTGGTGGTGGAGAAAGCCTTAAATCCCAGCATTTGGGAGTGGAGGCAGAGGCAGACTCCAATCTCTGTTCCAGACCAGCCTGGTCTACAATGTGAGTTCAAGTACAGCCAGTGATATACAGGGAGACCCTGTCTCAAAAAAAAAAAAAAAAAAGAAAGAAAGAAAAGAAAGAAAAAGAAAAATTACACCTTCTTCAAAAATGCACTGTCCTGTCTACTTGAAAAAAACAACGAAAAAACAGAAACAGGTACAAATATACAGTAAGATTTCAAAGCTTTCTATTGAAGCCAGGTATGGTGATGCTCACCTTTAATCCCCGTACCCCAGAGGCTGAGGCAGGAGGATCTCTGTGAATTCAGGGCCAGCCTAACCTACAGTGAGGTACAGGCCTGGCAGGGCTGTAGAGTAAGAACCAGAAACAAAAACAACCCAAGTGTTAATTTGGGCTGAATTAAATTTATAGACAACCTGTTACAGCGCTTGGAGAATGGTGATATGTATTGTTTCTTAGCAGCAGTCTTCCTGCTCAGAGCACTACTGACATATCCATCCACTGACATTTTCTCCCAGCTACTTTCTAAGCATTAACTGATCAAAGGGCTAGAGACAGCTCAGTGGTTAAGAGCACTGATGATCCTCCAGAAGACAAGGGTTCCAATCCCAGCATCCATACTGAGAGACCATAGAGGATCCAACTTCCTCTTCTGATCTCAGCAGACACTAGGCACACTCGTGCACATACACACATGCAGGCAAAACATTCCCACACACACAAAATACTTAGGAGGAGGAGGAAGAGTTAACTCACCAAAACCGGGGTATGGGTGTATGTCAATCTGCAGAGCGCTGCTAGGCATGCAGGAAGACGAGGGTTAGACAGACACCCAGCACTACCTAAAACTGGTCTTGGTGGTATTATTGTAATCTCAGGAGGATCACAAATTCAAGGTCATCCTCGGCTACGTAGCAAATTCTAGGTCAGTATAGGCTACAGAGACCCTGTCTCAAAAACAAACAATCAGAAAGTGAAAACCTAGGCAGCCTAGTGAGATCCTGTCTCAAAAGAAAAGAGGGTAGGGGCAGAGGGCTTCCTCACCATCAGCCTGTACATACATACAGTACTTAGTACCGGAAAAAATATGAACAATCCCTTATATTTTTATACTGATACTGAAAAAAGGTCATTTCCACTTTATAATATTGTTAAACTTTTGTGGGCTACAAGTCATCTAGCCTAAATAGCACATCTAAATGAAGTTAAATAATCAGAGTAGGAGCCATTCCAAGAGCACATGTATAGAGAACAACAAAGACTAGCATGAAAACCAGAAACTTGAAGGATGGAAATAAAGCCAGGTACCAGACACACAGCTTAGAGGACCTTTTTTTTTTTTTTAACTTATTATTTTGAAGAGTCTCAAGGCATAGTCACTAATCAGGCGCGGAGAGAGAGAATCTTTCCCAGCTTGTGCTTCGATCTAGTTTCTTGCAACAACAGCCTGAAGGGGAAAGGCGAAGACTCCTCTGGCTGACGGCCCCAGGGATCACCTGGCCCTTTTTACCTGCCACTACCCAGTAGGAGAAGACCAACTAAGACCATAAAAACTGAAGGTATCTTTGCAGTGAACCATACCTTTTTTTTCCTCATGGAGGAAAACTGATTTAAAACAAGCAACATTTTCGGGACATGGTGGACCGACCTTAATCCCAGAAAGGCAGATCTTTTTGAGACAGCCTGGTCTACATATCGAGTTCTAGGCTAATTTAGTACTATATATTGAGATCCTGTCTTAAGAAAATTATAATAACCTTCAATAATCCATAAACGTCTGTCAGCCTTCATGATGCCAGGCATTCAGGCTAACTGCCAAACTTTGGGAGACACCATATTGTGTGAGGCTGTACTTATTATTCATCGGACCCAACTTCGAGAGGATACACATATTTTTTAAAAGTCATATTTACAAATGCTGACAAATCTTTTAATCTCGTTCCCTTAGAAAATGATTTTCAATGGCAGAAGTCGGGATAAGTCACCCGCGAACCATTCTCTCCCTCGCTCCCAGCTCTCTTTTCCAAGGTACATTATACAGCCTACCCTTGATTGTCTTCCACTTAAAACACAGGCGCTGACTGAGTGACACCGGGTCTCCCACCCCTTGCCACTAAGCGGTGACCTAACACATTGCAGCGGGCTGGCTGGACAGAGCCCCAGGGTGGCTTCGGGGTATACCCCGACCGGAGGCAAAAGAAGTGCACCGGTTTAGTGCAACCTTCCGTGGCGGGGTGGGGGGGGGGGAGGAAAAGAAAGAAAGAAAAAGAAAAAAACCCAACGGCCTTTCGCTTATCTCCGCGCTAAACCTGGGAGGGGCGAACTGGGGGAGATCTGTCGCCTCGGGCCTCCACCGCCGGCTCTTCCCGGCCTCACTCCCAGGCCTCGGCGCCCCGGGCTCCTCCCGCGGCGCCGGGCGCGGCCAACCTCCGTTTCCCCAGGGCAGGGCTCAGCTCAGGTCAGCGCGCTCAGCCCAGTCAGGCCCGGACCCGGCCGGCCGAGCCCGCCGGTCCACAGCGGCCCCTGGACCCCCGCCAGCGGGGATGGGCGTGGGCCCCGCCGGCCACCGCCCCGCCGACCAGGGCTCCGGGGAAGAGTGAGCCCCACCCGCGGCGCCGGCTCCGGACTTACCTGCCGGGGACAGCGGGGCTCCCGGACAGCGGCCGCGGGCCCCAAGGCCGGCGCCGCGGCGGCCCGAGCCCTGGCCCCCTGGGGTCGCTCGGGGTTCGGGATGGGACAGGGCGGGGACACACGCCGGGGGGGCTGCGGCCGGCCAGCGCGGCCCGACGCGGGGTCGCGAGGACCTGGCTCTCCCCTCAGCACCAGGCCGTCGCCGCCGCCGCCATTTTGCCTTCCACTCCGTGTCGCCGCCGCCGCCGCCGCCGCCGCCGCAGTCCGCCGCGGGTTTCCCGGATGTGGGCATTTCCCGGCGTCGCTTGCGCGGGGGCCGAGGACTGGGGGCTTCAGGCCGCCCCGCTGCGGCCGGCAGCGAGCGTTGGGTTTGTGGCCGCTCGCACGGCCGCTCGCCTGCTGCCCCGAGCCGGGGTGAGCGTCGCCTGCGGGCTCCAGTCGCCCGGAGAGTGGAGTCGGCACCACCGCGTTCTGGTTCAGCACCGAGACGTGGTCCCGGCGGGCGCGACACGGCCAGCGTGGGTTCCACCAGGAAAGGGCGGTGAGCGGCGCTCCGAGACCACGGACGTCCTGAGGCTAGAAGTGTAGGGCAGGAATAAAACCCGAGTCTTCGCGACCTTGGAGCGTATGTGTTTTTGGAATCGGCCAGATGGAGTATTCTCGAAACTGGACCTATGGATTAGCAGAGTTCGGTTCCGCAGGACAGGTCGTTGTAGCCATAAATGGAATAACGGGGCCGGTCGGTGTCAGTTCTGTTTCTTGTGAAATTGAGTCTGCCACCGGGGAAGCATCATTGACTTTGGTCTTAGAATGTACTCTTGTCTTGTGCTGGATTGGATCCAGATAGGGGCTCTCTAGGCAACCTGGGGTGGGCTGGAACTCGCCATTCTCCTGCCTCACTCCACCTTCCCGAGTACTGAGATTCTAAATGGTGCTAGCCAACGCTGACCTGTCAACAGCCTGTAAATATGAACCCCTTCCCCAGTATTTTTCAGATCATCATTGTGTGTTAATCTAAAAAGTAAAAACACGGACGTTCTTGTGTTAACAGGAATCGAACCCTGCTATACAAGTGTCCCACACCTGAGCTATGTCCTCAGAACATATCGTGGTTTTCGTTTTGAGACTGGATCGCACTGTTATTGTAGCTTGTAGCTTGCAGCCGACAAGCCTTTGAACTTGTGATCCTTCTGCCAAAGCCTCCGGAGTAGCTGAGGTAACAGGGCCTGCTCCACGGAGCTCAGCTCTGCTCTTTTTCTGAGGTTAATTACTGGGTGCTGTATCCAAAAGTTCAACTGTGAAAACTCAGATGGTCAAATCTGGAGGCCAGGGAAATGTTTAGTGTGGTTGCTGCCATTGCTTTAGATGTGTTGTCAATAGTAAAACCCTCGGGGTGGATTCAACCCACCCTGCATTTGGATGCTTCCTGCAACCCGAGGTCCCTTCTTCAGCTTTGGTGAGTAGTTAAAACTTTAAGAGGCATGCAAATTCAGTGGACCATGTCTGCTGATTTGAACCAACTATTAAAAAAAAAAAGCCACAGAGTTAGAGCTGCTTCTTGAGGAGGCTAAGTCACCTCGTAAAATGGCCCAGGAAAAATCCCTGGGGGAAAAGCAGGAAAGTGGAGTGGACGTTTAGCCAATGGCTGCAGAACCCAAATCACAGACCTCCAACCTGGAGTTGGAGAACATTAGCATTCCCAACTGTACCATGGCTTCATGAAATTATTTTGTAAATGTTTTCAACCTTTAATAATCAGAATAAATGCCTTCGGCACACTTTCTATAGTAGCAGTTTTTTAGATGTTAAAAAACTATTACTAAGTTTAAGAGAAGTTATAATTCGCTGGGTGTTGGTGGCGGCGCATGCCTTAAATCCCAGCACTCGGGAGGCAGAGGCAGGCAGATCTCTGTGAGTTTGAGGCCAGCCTGGTCTACAGAGCGAATTCCAGGACAGCCTCTAAAACAATATAGAGAAACCCTGTCTCGAAAAAACCAAAAGAGAAAAGTTATAATTCTAGAATGTATATTGTTTACAATCGTTGATGTGCAAATTCTGGAAATAAACTTGACTCATGTAACCATGTATTGATGAGCTGGGGAATCTTGGTGTGTGATGATGCTAGTTTTCAAGGGGAATGTGATGGGTATATCCTAATGAATGCTGTGAATGTTTCTCTTATTGGCTGGTGAACAAATGCTGATTGGCCATTAACCAGGCCAGAGGTATAGGTGGAGTTACCAGGAGAATGCTGGGAAGAGAAAGGCAGAGAAAGCAGCCATGTAGATGCTGGAAAGATAGGACACCAGGAATTCTCCAGTAAGCCAAGACTACGTGGAGTTACTTATAAACCCATTTCTATAAATGTATGTAAGAGATAGCTGGCCAATGAGAAGCTTAAGCCATCAGCCAAACAGATTACAATTAACATAAGCCTCTTTGTGTCTAGAGCTAAACGTCTGTGGGCCCAGGCAGAAACAGGAAAGGTCAACAGGTAATATCCTTTGAAATAGCTGAATCCCACGCTACCCTGTGTGCATAGCAACCCACCGTATGCTTGTTTCTGTTGGCTAGTTGGTTGTTCTGTTTTGTTTTTAAGATAGTCTTTGAGTGTTTTCCTTGAACATGTATGTGCCTTCAGAAGTCAAAAGATGACTGATCTCCTGGAACTGCAGTTACAGATAGCTGTGAGTCACCTCGTGGGTGCTGGGAACTGAACCTGGGTCCTCTACAAGAGTAGCAAGTGCTCTTAACCACTGAGCCATCTCTAGCCCCTGGCTACATAGTTTAATTCATATAATTCTGCTTGGATTCTACATTGTTCTGTTTTGTAGAATTGTTAAGTTAAATGAAGGCATGTGTTGAACAGCACTGGAACACCCGATGTCTATAATCTGAAGATCTTTTGCCACCAATCATTGATGAGATTCTAATCTTATTGGGGAGGAGTCAGCCAACAAGCCAAAACTGGGCACTGACATTAGCAACAGTTTACTGTTTCCTTGCAAATACGACACTTCCTTATGACTGGACTTTGCACATGATGGAGTGGATAACTTTGGGTTCTTATACTTTCATGAAAATAGTTGTCTGGTAACATAAATAGCTTCTGCATCAGTCCCACAAACAAGACAGGGACCTAAAACATCCAAACTGTTTACAGATAGAGTCCTGCTGGGAAGCAAGCTTGTGATTTCAATGCGGTCTTTGGCAGGATCTGTGCTGAGCCAGGAACTTATTAGAGACTGGTGAACACTGGCCTGGTTACTTATGCTATGAGACAGGAAAGTACTTCTTCCTCCTGTGGGAAGAAAAGAGAGGGGGAAAGATGTTAAGACCATCTTATGATACACCAAGTTGCAAGGCAACTCATAATATAAAAATATTTACTGGGGCTCAGGGTTAGAGTCCATGACTATAGTGAGAAAGCAGGACAGTAGGCAGGCAGAAGTAGCCCCGAAGCAGTAGCTGAGTTTCCGTCCTGATCCACAGGCAGACACAATTGGGAATGGCCTTTGCTTTTGAAATCTCTGAGTCCACCACCAGCGACACACCTGCCCAACCAGGCCACAGCTCCTAAACCTTCCCAAACATTTCCACCAACCGAAGGCCAGTCATTCAAGTATATGAGCCATTCTCATTCAACCCACAAAGACTAACTTCCTACCACTAAACATAAAGCTTCTGTTGATTTCTTTTTTCTTTTCTTGTTTGTTTTTCAAGACAGGGTTTCTCTGTATTGTTTTGGAGCCTGTCCTGGAACTCGCTCTGTAGACCAGGCTGGCCTTCAACTCACAGAGATCTGCCTGCCTCTTCCTCCCGGGTGCTGGGATTAAAGGCATGCGCCACCACTGCCCAGCTTAAAAGGCAATAATTCTAATTTATTTAACTCTATTAAATCAGGCTTATGTGGGGAATGAATAAGCACAAGATGAAAAATAAATTCTATTATGTTATCTTTTTATTTTATTTTTGTTTTGTTCTTTGAAACAGGGTCTCTCTATGTAGTCCTGGCTGTTCTGAACTACTTATGTAGACTAGACTGGTCTCAATTCAAGAGATTTGCCTACCTCTGCCTCCTGAGTGCTGGGATTAAAGCAGTATATCACCATACCCAGTTTCTATCATGTCATCCTAAAATTTTTCATTACACCGCGTGTGTACATGCATGCGTGCGTGCGTGCATGCGTGCATGCAACCCCAGTATTTGGGAGGCAAAGGCAAGTGGATGTCTGTGAGTTTGAGGCCAGCCTGGTCTACTGAGCAAGTTCCAGGACAGCCTCCAAAGCTAGATAGAAACACTGTCAAAAAAAAAAAAAAAAAACCCAAAAACAAACAAACAGTGTGCATGTATGATGCCACAACCAAAGGGGAAAGAAAAAGATTCATTTTATTTTTAATCATAGGTTGTCTGTGTTTATACTTGTGTGTTCACGTATGGATCGAGGAGATGAGAAGGCATTTTGTAGGAATCAGTTATCTCCTCCACATGGGTTCTGGGACTCAAACTCCTAACCCACTGAGCCATCTCATTTGCCATATGTCACCTTTTGAACTAAAAACTTATTCAGTGTTAGCAAATACTCCAACATTTGAAGAGAAAGTATGGATACCAAATTTGTGGTCTTAAGGAAAAACAGAAATTTAGTTGTTCCCTATTTTTCTGTTTATAGTTTTACTCTAACCCTGAAAATCTCAGAGAGGTACCAAAAACAAACAAAAATAAGGAAAAAAGCATCCAAAATGTACATAGAAATATAAGTTCCTCGCTTGGGAGGCAGAACTCTGAATTCAAGGCCAGCCTGGTCTACATGGTGAGTTTCAAGACAGCCAGGGCTACATAGAGAGGACCTGTCTCAAAACAAAGCCAAATAAAAGAAATATAAGTTCCTAGTTTATATGAATGAATTTATAGGGGTCCAAGAGACGGCTCAGCTGTTAAGAACACATACTGTTTTGCAGAGGGCGTGGGTTCAGTTCCCAGCACTGAAGATAAGTGATTCACAACCACCTGTAACTCCAGCATCAGGGGATTTGACTTCCTCTTCTGGTCTCTACTGCCAAGTACGCTCATACACACACACACATGTAAACACACAGCACATAGTAAAAATAAATGCATCTTTGCTTTTGCTTTCCCCTTTGGTTATTTTATGTGTATGGGTGTTTTGCCTGCATGTATGTCTGTACACCATGTATGTGCCTGGTACATGGAGACCAGAAGAAAGCATTGGATCCCCTGGAATTACAGATGGTTGTGAGCTGCCAAGTTGATAATGGGAATCGAAACCAGGTCTTCTCGACTTTTAACTGAACCCTCTGTCCAGCCCCTCCTCTTCGTTTTGCTGTATTGTGTTTGTTTTGAGACAAGGTCTCATGTAGCCCAGGCTGGCCTCAAACTCAACTCTGTAGCTTAGGATGGACTTAAACTGATTATCCCGTCTCCACCTTTCAACTAATGGGAGGTTCCACTAAGGCCTGTCTTGCCCTTTCTCTTTACCCTGCTAATGATCCTCTACACGGTAATTTTGTATATTTTTGCAGCTATTTCCTGTTTTATTCTACTGTGGCCAATGCTTTTAACCACTGAGATGTGTGCACTAAAGACATGGGCTCTGTGGGCACTGCACATATTGGATCCCTGGAACTGGAATTACAGACATACATGCAGGCAAAACACTCATACATGTGAAATAAGTGAATCTAAGGTAAATAAGAAAATGTGGGTCAGTTTGGTGGTATAGACCTTTATCCCAGCACTGGGGAGGTAGAGGCAGGCAGATCCTGACTCAACTTGAGATTTAAAAGATCCTGAAGCAGCACCAGGAACTTTACCTTGATGAAAGAGAGAAGACTTTTCTGGTCCATTTGTGGAGGCATCCCAATGCCAAAGGGACCCATCTTCAGAACAAGTAAACAGATGCTCCGGGTTGGATGGGTGGAAGTGAACCTCCCACACTAAAAGACAGAGGGAATCAAGGTTAAACAACAGTTACTGACTTTCTAACTCACTCCACAAGTAGTAGTTTTTTTCTATTTGCACATCATAGTCACCAAAAGGATACATTCTGTCATTTCTTTACTTTTGAAGCCTTTGATTTTCGACTGACTTACAGTTTATAGGTTCCCCAGATCATCTGTACATTGTTATCTAGTAGTGTGATCCCAGCAGCAGGGCGACAGAAGTTGGGCTTGAACTCCTATATATACCCTGCCTCTGTCTCCTAGTTGCTAGGATCATAGATGCCTGGCTGAACATTTCTTAAACTGGGTCAAGCTGCAGCACTGCTTTCTTGTATTTCTATTAGAGCAAGGGCCACAAGAGGGCATCAGATCCCCTGGAACTAGACTTATCATTAGAAGTTATAAGCCAGCGCTGGGCGTTGGTGGCACACGCCTTTAATCCCAGCACTCGGGAGGCAGAGGCAGGCAGATCTCTGTGAGTTCAAGACCAGCCTGGACTACCAAGCAAGTTCCAGGACAGCCTCCAAAGCCACAGAGAAACCCTGTCTCGGAAAAAAAAAAACCAAAAAAAAAAAAAAAAAAAAGAAGTTATAAGCCAGCATGTGGGTGTTGAGAATATGGGTTCTCTGGAGACCCATCTTTCCAGCCCCTTGGGTGGGTTTGTTTGTTTTAAAGAATTAAATGATAAACAGAGTTCCTATCCCAAAAAAGCAAACATCAAACAAAAGCATCATTGGAGCTTGCGCTAATGCTCGGGGCAGAGCACTTCCTGGGGCCCTAGCTCATTCCCCGAATGGGGAATGGGAATCTATTTCATCAGAGTGGTGACTCATGAAGCTGAGGCAGGAGGACTTGGTAGGGTAGAGTCCAGTTTGGGCTACACAGTAAGTCCCAGGCTAATCTGGGTTACCTATCTCAAAACTCCACAAAATTAATTAGCTAATGAGCAAATTGGCAAATAGTAAGTGACATTTTTATACAGAACAATCAGTAACCTAACAACACATACTATAACAGCTTGCCCCACTGATTGTATTTCTAAAAAGGAAAAAAAAACCTAAGAATATCAGCTCAGGCCGGGCGTTGGTGGCGCACGCCTTTAATCCCAACACTTGGGAGGCAGAGGCAGGTGGATCTCTGTGAGTTCGAGGCCAGCATGGTCTACAAGAGCTAGTTCCAAGACAGCCTCCAAAGCCATAGAGAAACCCTGTCTCGAAAAACCAAAAAAAAAAAAAAAAAAAAAAAAAATCAGCTCAGTAAGATAATCGTACAGTAGCTGGGTGGTAGTCTTGGTGGTACATGCCTTTAGTCACAGCACTTGGGAGGCAGAGGCAGAGGCAGACAGATCTCTGTGATTTCAAGGCCAGCCTGGTCTATATAGTTAGCCAAGGCTACACAAAGAAATCTTGTCTGGGAGTGGGAGAGCATATACTTCTAGATACGATGAAACATTAAAGAACTTAAACACAAAAAAAGGATTATGTAGCTTACACTATATAGATATTAAGAGCTTTGATGTGCAGCCTGGTCTACAGAGCGAGTTCCAGGACAGCCTCCAAAGCCACAGAGAAACCCTGTCTCGAAAAACCAAAAAAAAAAAAAAAAAAAGCTTTGATGTGAAATGATCCCTATGTAGCAGTATATAAACGCTGTTAGTAACCCAACAGAAACTTTCCGCATTGCCACAATACTTACTTTCAGCCTCATGAGCCTTAAGTAAAGACACGGGCATGGTCCCTTGTCTAACATCCCAGATACTCAACATCCCGTCCTGGCCACCAGTAGCTACAACATGCTGCTGGTTGGGATGTCTGTCAACACAGTGAAGTGGTACTCGGTCACCAGTCCTTTTAAAGAAAATGGGACAATATCAAAGATGTGGGAAAGGACAATTGATCTTTGCATAACAAGAAACATTTCATTTTACTAACCAAATGATAAACTTATGTGGAAAGAGATACTAAATCTTAGTGATGCCAAAAAAATTTAACTAAATTAAATATATTTATAAACAATAAAATTTTAGAATTAAAGGCTACAATTACTCATTGTTCAATTTGGAAACACAGGAAACAAAGTAACAGTGGTAAGATATGTAAGAGAGATTTCCTTTTTTTTTTTTTTTTGGTTTTTCGAGACAGGGTTTCTCTGTGGCTTTGGAGGCTGTCCTGGAACTAGCTCTTGTAGACCAGGCTGGTCTCGAACTCAAAAAGATCCGCCTGCCTCTGCCTCCAGGGTGCTGGGATTAAAGGCGTGCCTCTGCCTCCAGGGTGCTGGGATTAAAGGCGTGCGCCACCAACGCCCGGCCTAGAGAGATTTCCTTTAAAAAGTATGTGCCAAGCTGAAGAGCTGACTTAGCAGTTACTTGGCAGGTGCTATTCCAGAGCCCCGAGTTCAATTCACTGCACCCAGTATTTGCAATCATGTGCACATAGCCACACAGACACAACAGAATAGCTAAAAAAAATTTTAAATAAAAATATGTATCAATTACACCAACTGTTTTCTATGCCTATGTTCTTAATTTGTTTTTTTGTTTTTGTTTTTGTTTTTGTTTTTAAGTCTGATACTACATTCTAGTTTCTTGAGAAAGTAACAAAGGTTACACATCTACAACGGGTGATTTCTGCTCCAAAAAGCTATTTTGAATTGCATTTTTTCCTACCATCCCATCTACAGTGTATTTTACTAACTACCAATACAATTATTTGATAAAGAGCAACAAGTTCTCTTAAACAATATATACTTCAAACACATAAAGGCTCTGAATCAATACAACAAATACTTCTAAATTTAGGATGGTAGAATCAACTCCATCATGTTATCCTTGCTTTATCAGTTTAATCAGGGATCAGTGTCTCTGAAATGCAAAGCTGGGGGACTGCAACGAAATGGCTCATCAATTAAGAGCATAGATTGTTCTTCCAGAGGACTTGGGTTCAATGCCAGCACCCACAAGGCAGCTCACAACAGTCTGTAACTTCAGTCCCAGGACTCCAATGCCCTCTTCTGGCCACTAGGGGTACTACATGCATGTGGTATACATATATGCAAGCAGGCAAAACACACACACACACACACACACACAAACACACAAATAAAAATACAAAGTTGATTGCAATAACCAATCAAACATAACTTTGTATCACACTACTGAAATGACAAATTGAAACTTACAGTGACAATATCTGACAGGGCTCACTTCCTTGTTGTCTGAAATCCCATATTTTTAACTGTCCAATTGAGTTTACTGTAACAATCTCAGGAGTTCGAAGGAAGGTTACAGCATGGAGTGTACTGCTGTCGGCATTATCTGCAAGTTTTAAAAATGGTAGTGTGTGTTAACAGGATCCTTTTAGAACACATCCCCCTGCTGGTTGAAGTATCATTCTAATGACAGCATACTTTATTCATGGAGAAATGTATAGTAAAATACATATCTAGATGCTTTCCTCTTCTCTCTGGTAGAGAGCACCACTCACAGAACAGCTGTTTTCTGAATTTAGGGCTGATTTACCATTTTCTTTTTTCTATTTTCTTAAAATTGCTACACTTATGTTTGCCCCTTGGTTTTACAAGACGGGGTTTCACTGTATAACCCGGCTGTCCTGAACTCGCTCTGTAAACCTGGGTAGCCTTGAACTCACAGACATCTGCCTGTCTCTGCCTCCTGGGTGCTGGGATTGGAAATGTGAGCTACAACTGTTTTGCTTTTTATAATGCCCACCCCTTGGATTTTCTGCAGTGTTTAGATTTGAGGCACATGATACGTACTTCCAAACTTAACCTGTGCCATTTCTGTACATTGTCAGCAGGCAATAGCCCTTAGCAATAAAGTGATATAACTCATAAATTAAACAATTAGACCAAAGGACACAGGAAACTGATGCCTGTGTGCAGTCTTTAGGATTCTAATCCAAGAGGTTTGGGTGGGGACTAGGACTCTCCTCAGACAAGTCTAAGGGAAGCACAGTGAGTACCATTTCACTAGCACAGTGAACAGAACACCACTGGAGTCCATCAGACCCCGCTCAAAGGCTTCCAAGAGCTACTTGTTTGCCACCTGAAGACACCCAACCTCAAGTTACCCTGCAACTCAGGTACTCTGCAGTCTGATCCCAATTTTCTTTCCTAGCTTCACCTTTCATCTCTGCACTGACAAATCTAATGTCAGCTCACCATATACTTGGTCATCTGCCATCTGGTTTTACCCTGGCTCCATGATGTTCCCGCTTTTCTGGAGTATATTTTAGATTATTTATGGTACAGAACCAAGAATATGTTAACTGCCACTTGTTTCATAATTATGTGATAATCCCTTCTAGTTAAAACTAAAACTCCACCACTTACTATATCTTTCTGCTCTTGTAGCAATTATTTACACAGTCCTTATCCACACGCTATCTTATAAAGGGGCCCTGCCATGTATAGTTTCCCACTCTTCAAAAACTTAAAAATCACATTTACTTAGTTCAATTACTATGTGATGGACAGACAGAAGAAATAGGATTTCTCTCACCTATAGTTCTTACAGCCTCCTTATGATCAACTCTGAAGAGATTTATTCGACCATCCTCTCCAACAGTAACAATTTCTGGGTTGTCGCACACAATCCCTGTACATGGTGCCCTGCTATAGGAAGGGCTGCCAGGACCCGAGTGGTGGTGAGCTGCGGGCCACTGCTGATGGACTGACAGAGTCTAGGCATCAGAAATGAGCATATCATCAGTCGGAGCGAAGTTCTAAAGGATGAGCCCTTCTTCCCAGGGTTTTTTTTTTGAGACAGGACTTCCAAGTGTTTGGGATTATAAGTGAGCCGCCATGTCTGCCCAATAGTAGTATTTTTCAATTGTATGTCTTGTCCTTGTAGAAGAACAAAGTTATGAGCATGTGTGTGTGCCTGCCTGAGTTTATGGGCACCACACCTATGCTGGTGCCTGCTCAGGCTAGAAGAGCACATCAGATCCTCTAGAGTTGGAGTTATAAGCTATTGTGAGGTACCTAGTGTGGGTGCTAGGGATGGAACCAGGCTCCTCTCCAAGAGCAGTACACACTCTTAACTGCTGAGCCGCCTCCCCAGCCCCAAGAGAAAGGCCTTTAGGTCATGGGTCCTCTGAAGACCTGGCTTCTACCCATTAGAAACAAAACAGCTGTTCTGCCCTCCTTTTGATATTGGAGCCAGAAGCTGAGCATGCGTGCAAGCCTGTGTGCTCACTTTCTCCTTTCAGCTCTATGGAAGACTATGAAAGGAGCTGACAAAATACTATAGGGGAATTACCACCAGCAGATGTTACTGCTAGAGCTAATAAACAGCTTACTTAAAGGATGTCCAGTTTCCATAGACACGTACATAAGCATGATGTAGACTTTATCAAAAAGCACTATGGGGCTAGGGCTGTAGCTCAGTCAAGAATGCACACTTTGACCCTCGTCAGCCTCTAAAAATGGGCAGCATCCTCTCCTATCATGACTTCTCTTTTTTATCGTGTGTGTGTGTGTGTGTGTGTGTGTGTGTGTGTGTGTGTGTGTGTGACAGGGTTTCTCTGTATTGCTTTGGACGCAGTCCTGGAACTCACTCTGTATACCAGGCTGCCTGGAACTCAGAGATCTGCCTGCCTCTGCCTCCAGACTACTGGGATTAAAGGCGTGCACCACCAATGTCCATCATGACTTCTCTGTAAGCTAGGGTTGTGTTGTGTTGCCCAGGCTAGTCTTGAGCTACTGTGATCAAACATTCTTTTTTTCTCAACCTCTGGAAATATGGGAGTTCCAAGAACGTGCCCATGATCGACTCTCTTCATGTTTAAACACTGTAAAACACTGTGAACTCATTACATACAATCTTCTGTAAGCCTCCTCATCAATAATTAAGATACAAGTTCACTTTCCCAGTGAAAGCTCTTTACCTGGTTATTTGGATGGTGAAGAAACACTGTTACACACCCTGTTGACGAAGCAGCTACAATTCTTTCCTGGTCAAAAAACTGCACAGAAAAACTCTGCTTATTATTATAGATTTGGAAATATTAACCAGAAAAAAGTCCATTACTTCAACTTGACTAATAGTAAATCCTGTAAGGATTTAAAGAAGCAAGCAGCCTGAAAAAAATAAAATGGGTTAACATCTGAAAGTAAGAAATTGTTATATAAACTAGGAATATTTTCATGAAGGATAAATAGGAAGCTTAAAATTTTACTCTACAATTTTAATTTGGGGCTGCAATGATAAAAGTATGGAAATGTGTCATTTGTAAGAGTAGGCAGCTTTTTACTGAGTAAAATGCATGGCATCTGAATGAGGGAGGGAGGCTCTCTGGTGCCCAAACTCATCTAATTTCCACTAAGTTGTTAGAGAAACCATAGAAGAACAATCCTGCACAATATTTTCCATTCATGGTCAAAAGGTAGCAGTCTCATCTGTGTGATTAGTGAAGTAGTGAACAGAACTTGAGGGCTGGGATACATACACTCAAAGGTAGAGAGTACTTCCCTAGCTCATCCCCATCACAACGTACGATAAACCCTGACTCACAGACGTGCAATGCAAATTAACATACCTGTATAACACTCGCCAAACAGCATTTGGCAAGTAGATGGGCAAATATTGGGGTTTTTTTTTTGTTTGTTGGTTTGTTTGTTTTTTTAAGATAAGGTCTTACTTTATGGCCCAGGGTGGCCCTGTGATCCCTCCTGCCTCTGCCTTCCATGGGCTGGAATTAGAGGCTTGCACCCCCATACCGGTTTGGGCAATTAATTTTAAAACTGGTTGACACGAATTCACTTTCCCAACGCCATTTCTGTCACTGCGTGCCTAAACAACGATGTGGCAAATTACAATTCAGATCGTGTCCTGTAAGCCAGGGATGAGAGTAGACAAGCTATACGGTGCTAAATGTATGCTCAAATTTCCAAAGCTGGCTTTGGGGTCAACTCAGATTCACCTGCAAATCCATGACATCACCATGATGTCTGATATCGCACAGTAATTGATGGTCTCCTTCGAACCCTCCGTCAGGATCCAGATTTCCAAAATCTCCAATAGACCACAGTGAAACGCAGTTTTCCTGCAAAGCAGAAAGTTTTATCTTGGGGTGGCGCAAACGTCAACTCCAGGAAAGCAAAATTAAGACTGCCTTTCGGGCGACCTTGCTCCAAAAGCATCTCAGACAAACGATATGCTAAGATCTGAAAAGATGTGGCTCGTTTCGGACGGTATGTCTACAGACTTGGTGAAGGTTTAAAGCCAGACACGAGGCTCAAATACACCACCAGGGCTCTCAGGTAGCGGGCAGCCAAGCAGGAGACTGGCAAGCCAGAAGCTGCTTTCGTGCGCTGGCGCGAGGGGCGTGGAGCAGAGCAGCCGGGGACCCGCCCGGGACCGGGTACCTCATTGTCCCAGGAGCCCGTAGCGAAGGTCTCTGCGGTCTGCAGGCTCCCAGAAGGCACTGGTCGCCAGCGAGTTTTGCTAATTTTCTGAGACACGAACTTAGCATAAATTTCCTCCATGCTGAAATCTAGAAGAAGCTTCAGCAGAAAGCACACTGCGCGCTCCTCAGGCCCGCCCCTTCCTGCGCGGTTCTGATTGGATGAGACCCCACGGGAAAGACGGTGGCTGCAGACAGCCAATTCTCTACAGCAGGAGGACGCGCCAGCCTCTGAACTGAAGTGATGCTCACTCTTGGAAGTACCTCTGAACAAAGAAAGACCCGGCTCCTAAAACTTTCAGTAAAAATGACACACTCCTAAGGCGAAGTCAATCTAAGAACACTGACAATATATTATTTGTGCAATAATCGTGTAACGTCAGAAGAATTTTTTAACATTTAGTTTTTTGTGTTCATTATAAAAACTTTATTATGAAAATGTTGCAAGTAAAAAAATCATCACACACCAATTGTTTTTTTTTTTTTTTTTGAGACAGGGTTTCTCTGTGGCTTTGGAGGCTGTCCTGGAACTAGCTCTTGTAGACCAGGCTGGTCTCCAACTCACAGAGATCCACCTACCTTTGCCTCCGGAGTGCTGGGATTAAAGGCGTGCGCCACCACCGCTTGGTTCACACACCAAAATTAACCTGACCCAAAGACTATACAATCCAATGAACTTCCATACATTAGCTCAGCCACACAGAAGCTGTAGAGCTTCACATTGGATTTTATGCTTTCACAAATATATATTTAACTTTATTATCGAATATATTTTATGCACTATCCACCTCCAATCTCCCCCCCCCAAAAAAAACATGACAGATTTAGAGCTAGGAAAACAATTACACTTATTATTCTTTTGATACATCTTTAAAAATATTTTTTAACTTTTTGAAGATTTTTAAATTGTGTGTGTGTGAATATTTTGTTTGCATGTATGTTTGTGTGTATTGCATGTGTTCATGCCTGGTGGTAAGGACAGAAGAGGGGGTTGGAGTCCCTGGAACTGGAGTTCCAGAAGGTTATGGGTACTGGGAAATGAACTCAGGTCCTCTGGAAGAGCAGCATGTGCTTCTAACTGCTGATCTACCTCTCCCGCCCTTAAAATAACTTTATTGCTACTTTAAGTTATCTATATGTAACTGTCTGCATGTGTGTATATGCATGTTAGGGCAGGTGCCTGAAGAGGCTCTGGACATCCTGGAGCTGGAGAGATAGGCAGGTGTAAGCAATACCCATGCGGGAGCTGAGAAGCCAACTCTAGCCTTTTAACTGCTGAGTTATCTCTCCAGACTTGTCAAAGAAAAATCTAAGAGTAAAGTTTTGTTTTTTTTTAATGCAGGAGGAAATATCTTGTACTGGCCATGAGCACTTAGTTGAACTTCATTGCACATGGAAAACGTTTTTAAACCTTAGGACTGGAGAGATTGCTCAGTCACTAGCAACACTTGCTCTCGAAGAGGCCTGGGTTCAGTTCCCAGAACCTACATTGTTGCTTCATTGGTACACACATGGTGCACGGGCATGCACGCATGCAGGCAAAAACATGGCCAGGCATGCTGGCACAAGTTCAATCCCAGCAAGCAGGAGACAAAAGCAGGCAGATCCCTGTCAGCCAGCCTGGTCTACATAAGGAGTTCCAGAACAGCCAGAGCTATATATATATAAAACACACACACACACACACACACACACACACACACACACACACACACACAAAATTAACCTTGAAAGAATGTTTAATCCCCTAAATTAGGACTGAGTGTACAGTTCAGGATGAGGATTCCAGATCCTGGATCAGAACTACAGCAACAGGAAAAGCAATCCTTCCTTAAATTATCCTGAAAGTATCTTCACTAAGGTAGCAACTTAATATCTTTTTTTCTATCTTTCTTTCTTGAGACAGGGTTTCTCTGTGTAATAGCCCTGGCTGTCCTGGAACTCACTTTGTAGACCAGGTTGGCCTCTGCCTCCCAGGTGCTGGGATTAAAGGCTAGTGCCACCACTGCTCAGCCCAACTTAGTATCTCACCAGCACAATTTAGTATCCTAACTTCTTCTGCCTCTGAACTTAGTATCTTAACTTCTTAAGCCTCTGATTCAAAATTGACACACCCAGGAGAGCCTGGAATTAGAATCTAGAACTGTAGTTTTAGTTCTTTTCTTTTCTTTTTCTTTTCTTTTTTCTTTCTTTCTTTCTTTTTTTTTTTTTTTTTTTTTGGTTTTTCGAGACAGGGTTTCTCTGAGGCTTTGGAGGCTGTCCTGGAACTCACTCTGTAGACAGACCAGGATGGTCTCCAACTTACAGAGATCCCCTTGCCTCTGCCTCCTGAGTGCTGGGATTAAAGGCGTGCGCCACCACCACCCAGCGTTTTAGTTTATCTTTATGTGTATGGATGTTTGCCTCTGTGTGAGTATGTGCACCATGTGTGTGCCTGGAGCTCAAGGAGGTCAGAAGAGAACGCAGGATGCCCTTGCAACTGGAATTACAAAAGGTTCTCAGCCACCATGTGGTTGCTGGGAATTGAACCCAGGTCCTCTGGCAGAGCAACCAGTGCTCTTAACTGCTTCCTCATCTCTCTAGGCCCTCTGGTTTTGGTATATATTTTTCTTGCTCTATAAACCTGGTCAAATTACTTATACATGTCATTAATAATGTGTTTTCTGAGAACTGTGTCACCAGGCCATGAATACCCATTCTATGTTATCTCTGTGCTGTGCCTAACACCTATAATATCCCACCACTCCACACTACTGCTCATAACCCTGTCCACTCTTCAAGGATCAATGCCTTTGTGTACTTTTTTTTTTTTCTCCAGCCCACGTTAACTGGCCCAGCACAACTATCTAGAGATTCTAGACCATTAATGACACTTATAATTCCCCTCTGTTGTTTGTTGTTGATGATGGTGCTGGGGATGGAACCTGGCAAGTCCTCTACCATATCCCCAGCCCATTGGTGTTCTTCCAGCTGTAGATTTCATGACTAGACTGTAAGTCCTGTAAGCATTTTGCCAGATCCGATAGGATGGACAGGGATGGATTCTGGCACTTCGGAGCCAAAGAATACTGAGTGTTACAGTTTGGATGGAAAGGTATTTTGGCACTCACGAGTCACAGAATACTGAGTGTAACAGCTCGGGTGGAAAGGTATTATGGCAATCAGGAGCCAAGGAATGTCACAGATCACAGTAAGCATAGCAGCTTACAGCCCTGGTTCAGGGAGAGGCTTCCCCAGTGTATCAGCTCTGTTCCAGCAAGAAAGGGTTTCACCGGCAAAGTTGTTTTTTTGTTTTGTTTTTTGTTTGTTTTTTTACGAGACAGGGTTTCTCTGTATTGTTTTGGAGGGGTCTGTCCAGCCCTGCCTCGAACTCACAGAGATCCGCCTGCCTTTGCCTCCCGAGTGCTGGGATTAAAGGCGTGTGCCACCACCGCCAGGCTCACCGGCAAAGTTGTTACAGTTCCACTCCAGTCCCCCAGAGAGCGGAGTGTAACAACTTCAAAACTGCGTTGGCAGTTTTTAAAAAGGTGCTGTGATATCAGAGTTATAGATTCTAAAGAAGTCGAGTTTCTGCTCTCATACAATATGCCAGTCACCAAAACGATGGGTTTTGCAAGAGACAGTTTATGAGGTGTCCAATCATTCACAAATGGAAAAATCAAGTCTCCTAACAGCCTCACTTAACCAGAGATTGGGTGTTAAGTCTGGGGTGTGGGAAAAGATGACTGGATTAAACTCATCTGTAGCCATCATGATCCACACAGGAAAGCAGTGTCAGATGAAAGTACCTAACAGTAAGGAGGTTCTAGACTGAACTTTTACTCAGACAGGAAGATGGTACTGGATAGGAAAAAAAACGAAGACTCATTGCTTTATTCTTAACATTGAAGAACACTGACATAGTTACAGGATCCATAAAAATTATGAACATTTCAGATGGTAAGCAGGGTAAGTGTTGCATTTGACGAAGTTTGGTAAGAACAGTAATTTGGAAATTGCTCCTGACGGCACAGCACAGCACCGATGTCTTAACAATATTTACTTCCTGAAAGTTTACAGGAGTGATGGCTATGTCTCAGTTTTAGTTAGCAGTATTTTCTGTCAACTTCTCAAAACCTAGCAGAGATGCAAAGAATAAAATTAGGGTCCAGCCTAAGGGTGTCATTTGTGAGGCTTGGTCAGTTGAAACTCACACTTGGGTAGGAAGAACACTTTCACTATAGGATACTGTAGTGTTTTGTAACCAATTTTAACTTTCTGCTAGTCTTGTTTCGAACCAGAAAAACATCCCTGCCCCCAAGCCTGGGTCACGATATTCTCCCACCTTGATTTTGCGCTTTCGGAGCTGAAAACAAACCAGCCTCTGCCTCACCAGCACCGTCCTTGTGACTTGGGGCTGGAGAGGGCCTCTGCCCTTGGGCTCTGTTAAAATGATAATTCTGGCCCCATCACCAGAAGCCTTGACTCTACCAGCCTAAATGTTAGTGCACAGGGTTGGATGAGGCAGGACGGAGTTGGCCCACTATCTAGCAATCTGGACAGCCATAGGAGCAGACCCGCCGCTCGCAACAGCTGACCGAGCGGCGACTGCGGAGCCCGAAGCGGCGGCACACGTCGGACCCGCCACCCCGCCGCCGAGCTGGGTCAGCGGGAGCCGCAGCCAGGAACGAGTCCCACGGCGCAGGGCGCCACCCCGCCGGCAGCAGGAGCAAGCCTCGGCAAGGGGAACCCAGCAGCGTTGACTCGCCCGACCTCGCCACGGTCACCGAGCGCTGGCCGCCACCCACCGGCTACCCCTCTCCAAGGGCTCCCCCGCCCCCGGCCCCGCCCGGCCGCACCCCGGGCTGCGCGGCGTCACAGAGCGCATGCGTGCCGCGGGGCATGCCGGGAGCGCGCAGTGGCGGCAGCGGCAGCGGCAGCGACGGCAGTAACAGCGGCCGCTCGAGCGGGGACAGCAGCGGGGCGGTGACCGTGTGGGAGGTGGTCTCACTCCTGGGGAAACTGCTGGGGACCGTCGCCGCGCTGAAGGTGGTCCTGTACCTGCTCCGGGTGTGCTTCGCGATGGCCTGGAAATCCGGCGGCGCCAGCCACTCGGAGCTAATCCACAACCTCCGCAGTAAGTGCCACCCCCGCCCGGCGTGGGCCACGGAGAAGGGCCGGGCCTGGACGCTGTGTCCCCCCACCCCCCCTGACCGTCCGGAACGTTCGGTCTGCACCCCTGCGCCTGCTGGAGGGCGTCTGTGAGCGGTTGCACCGGGAGTCCCGGCCGGCGTACGTGTGCGGTCTCCTCCCCCGGGACCTGTCACTCGGCGCCGCCGTGGACGGCGAGGGGAGAGAAGCCAAACGGGGGCTGCTGCGGGTGGGACGGGGCAGTGGCCTCCTGGCGGGCTTGCGGGGACGGGGTGCGGCTGCGGCACAGGTGGCGGGGCTGTCGCCGGAGTTTGCCCTCCGCCCGGCGAGGGGCGTGACTTCGCGATGGGGAAGTGCGGGCTTGTATTCCTGGCGACGGGGCTGGCACCCCGAGGGGTCACCACTCTCACTCAGCTGGCGGGTTCTCTCCCTGCCCTCCCCGGTGGATTCCCTGCCAGCTTTCTTCTGCCTCCCCCGCCCTCTGATTTTTCCTTTGGAGGGAGATGCGGCTGTCTGATACCAGCCGGGGGAGGGGGAGGGCGCTCGGGGTACTGCGGTTACGGGTGCGTGCTGGGAGCCATTCCTCAGGCTGCTGTCCCGAGCGTGGGCTCTCTGCGGGGGGCCGAGGGAATTGTCTGTTAGGGCGTGCTGCTCCTCAGAGACTTTGTTTGGAGCCTTTGGAAGTCCTAAATCCAGCAGACCATTGTGTACATAAAATGTGCTTTTTTTTCAGGACCGTCCATTGGGTACTTAAAAGCGTGTATGGAATGGAAAGGTTTTTTGTTTTGTTTTTAAGAATAGCATTCTCTGTTGTTATTGTATTCCTTCCTTTGATGATAGTTTTAGGGTAGAATGAGTGCTGTGTCACGTACCTTTTTAAATTGAAAAAAATAGTGTCGTCTGGTTTAGAGACCAAGGCAAACTACAAGTTCATAATCTCACTGCGATCAGAATTCACAGATCCTTTTGCCACCTCTTTTGAAATGATAATCATAGTCTGCCAGATGATGTTCTTAATTTTCCTGTACTTTTTTTTTTAAAGAAAAGCCTTTCATGTATTTGTCCTACCTTTTAACTACTCATGCTCACCTCGAGGGGTGGAACCATAAAAAAAATAATAATTTCTCAGAGTCAGTACTTATTCCCTCCCCCCAGGAATGCAAATTCATTGTCCATTATATGCCAGAATCTCTGTAGGAAACAAAAGGGTGAATGAGAGAAATAACTGGGACTGTCTGGCACTTAATATATTCATCATTGCATTATAAAAATAATAGCTAAATGGAAATTAGATACTTAGTGCTTTGTGATGCTTGAGTTTAAACCTGGGCTTTTAGACAAGTGCTCTCCCATGAGTATCCTGCCAGCCTCCAAAATTAAGAGCTTCTAGTTGAAGCCTTAGAAATGTGATCATACTGATACTGAAGTAAAGGGATCAGCAAATTGGAAGTCGGGGTTACAGTTTTAGGTTTTACTTTTGTTTTTTCTTACAAAAATGTGTTCATGGTTTGCTTAGTTTTAACGTTGTAATTTATTGAAAGTGCTTACTTTTTCTTTTGTATTTGAAGACAGAAATACCATTTGATAGTTGAAACATCATTTGTACACTTTGAGACTGGTGATACATTTCTTGTCATTCATTGGCTTATGTTGTGGTAACTGTTCTTTGGTAAGTTTGAACAGTTCTCCAAAGCTTGAGCATGCCTTCCAGTCCCGGGTCATTTGCAGAGCTTGTTCAAATACTGGGACTGGAGACTGTGTAACTAACAACAACAACAACAAAATTATTTTTTTGTTTTGTTTTTTAGAGACAGGGTTTCTTTCTCTGTCCTGGAACTGGCTTTGTAGGCCTCAAACTCAAAGATCCACCTGCGTCTGCCACCTGAGTGCTTGGAGTGCAGCTGTAAACCCAGGGATTACATAGAGGCAGAGAACTGAAAATTACAAAGCTAAATTGTGCCACTGTTTCAGCTTTGTCAGTTACATATTTTAAAGTAAAGCTCTAGAAAGTCTGTAGTTGAGCTTTTTAGAATCCTTTCATGGCTGACTCAGTGCTCCTGGGTAGATGGTGGCAAACTTTTCCTCCTGCAGGCACTCTGGCCAGGGCAATTGGGCTGCCACCAGAGCCCTAGAATGTTGGGCGGCCAGAAGGCAGTGATCCTTTTGTGACTGGACCCCTTCCAGCGCTGCCTTGTTGGCTTGCAGAGTCTTCCTTTTGCTTTGGTTTAAGAGGGGCATTCTCTTCTTGTTTGGATTTCAGTGTCCTTCTTTTGTTTGCTTGTTTGTTTTGATTTTGGACACAGGGTCTCTCTATATAACAGTTCTGGCTGTCCTGGAACTCGCTTTGTAGGCCAGGCTGGCCTCGAACTCACAGAGATCTTTCTACCTCTGTTTCCTGAGTGCTGAGATGAAAGGTGTATACCACCACCCAATGTTATCTTTTAGCATTTAAAATGCTACACTGGTCACTTAAAACAAGATGAGCAACACCTCTGCTCAACTTGTTTTTGTTTGTAAAAAGAAAACAAAAAACCCTCAATGCTATTCCTTAATGTATAGGTTATTTCTACCTATGTTTTTTTTGTATTCTTGCCTGTTTCATTTTGCAAATACAATATTTGTATGATTGTCAATCAGCCAATGAATACTTGAGTGCTTCCTCTTTATTTTTATTTTTGATAATTTATTTTTATTTTATGTGCATTGGAGTTTTTCCTGCTTGTGTGTCTGTGTGAGGATATTCGAAGTCCTGGAACTGGAGTTTCAGACAGTTGTGAGCTGCCATGGGAATGTTGGGAATTGAACCTGACTCTTCTAGAAGAACAGCCATTGCTTTTAACCCTGAACCATTTCATGAGCCCCATGCTTCCTCTTTATTCATTTAGTTATAAATTGTTTCAGGACGCGGTCTCCTTATGTTGCCCATGCTAGCCATAAATCTTTGGGCTTGATCATCCTTCAACCTGCATGCTTTGGGATACCTTCTATGTGCCAATCACTAGGGACAAAGGGAAGAGCAAAACAAATAGACATCCTTCTTGTAGCTTTCTTCTACAGCAAGCAGCTAAGTAAATAGTACCTCCTAGGCTGACCTTTGTAAAGCATGGGGCAGTGGTTTGTAGTTGCAGGAGAGGATGCCTCACTCGTATATCCTTTGAGCAAAGGTGAAGTGGTGAACCAGCCATGAGGATGGAGCTGCGGTGTGAACAGCTCAGACAGAGTTGCAAGTGCTAGGTTTGGATATGTGTGGGAAAAGACTGGGGCCAGGTCCACTATATGACCCCCGAGTTGTCGGCTTGGCTGCTGGGATGCTTTGCTATTTTCTGAGTTGGAGTGACTGACTGACTGACTGACTGACTGACTGAGCGAGCGAGCGAGCAAGTGAGTAAACAGCAGATTTTATTTTGGTTTGGCTTTGCAGAGAGAGGAGCAGATCAGGAATTTTGGCTGGGGGGAGAACAGATTTGATTGGTATTTGAATATATAAGATTGTGATAATTTATAATTGTTGGGTCCTAAAAACATTTACTTTCTGTTGTTGTTATTGGTTTTTTTTTTTTTTGGTGTTTTGAAACAGTCTCATGTAGCCTAGATTGTCCTCAAACCTGCTGTGTAGTTGGCAGTGACATTGCTTTTCCAATATCCTGTCTGTACTTCTGAAGTGTCAGGTCCATCCCCCACCCCCATCCCCAGGGTAAGGTTGACTCTAGGGCCCCGTTCATGCTAAGCAAGTGCTGTACTACTGTGCTCTTACACGATATTTAAGATGAAATTAAGCTGTAGAAAGAGAAAGTTACATTGTATTGTTATGCGTATTTGTACTAGTAATTGTGTTTGCTGACTGAGGTGCTTTAGTGGTGACAGTGTAAACTAAGGATCCTCAAACAAGAGTATGGAGAGCAAAAGAGTTGGCATGTTAGATGATACTTTCATGGAACTGAAGGGTCCAGTTTAGCATAGGGATTAGCTGGGAATAATAAAATACTTGAAGAAATATGTAGAAGAGGGTAAAGCGGGTGGTAGATTTGGACTCGTTATAAGGAAGAACTGAACAGAGCTACCCTAACCATCAAAAGTTTGCTTTGAAGCCAGGTGTTGGTAGGACATGCCATTAATCCCAGCACTTGAGAGGCAGAGGCAGGCAGATCTTCGAGTTCATGTCCAACCTAGTCTACAGAGAAACCCTGTCTCAAAAAAGAAGAAAAAAAGTTTGTTTTGAACAATGATACTTTCTGTCACTGGGTGTACTGAAGCAGAGGATGACTGACCACTTCACTGTAAGGGACCCTACATAGGACTGTGTTGCCAGATTTGAATATACACCAGTTCTAAGAGGAACATTCCAAACCCAAGATTGCGTGGTTTTAAAAGAACATTAACAATTGCATAATACTTGTGGAGTATGTATGTTTCAGGAGCCAGGCAAAGAAGTAAACATTTTAACCCTAACTGCCCATTTACCTACTTTTATATATAGATGAAAAGCGGCTGAAGACACTTAGCCTTCTCCTTTGGGAAGCAATGTTGAAACAGTTTACTTTTACAGACCAACTGAAGCCGACAGGTACAGAGAAAAACAGTGTAGGTTTGAATAGCATCTGGCACTTAGATAACACACTTTGTCTTGCTTGCTGTTACATAAGCTTTGATTAGAGTGCAGTTTTACATCCAGTATCTTCCAGACTATATCCTCAGTGTGTCCTGAATCTACCTCATTTATCATTCTGGATAAGAAGTACAAGTTGAAAATCCTGTTTGCTTGTTGATACTTGAGAAGAAATGCAAGTGGCTATTAACTCTTATAAACTAATAAAATGGGATAGTAGTTCTTTTATTGAGACCCCACCTGCCTTGATCTTTTAGTGCTGGGACTCAAATTCAAGGCTTTCACATACTAGGCAAGTACTCTACCATTGAGCTACATCCTCAGCCCTTGAGGTGAAACTTTGTAATAAGCAAGAAAAGTTTTACCAGGTTTGAAATCTGTATAATTCACATCTACACTGGTCCTCCTCATTTCTCCAAGGTTTACTTGTACCTCATTAAAAAAAAGTTTCTATTGCACCCTCCCACGCCCAGCAGTCCTTCAGATGCCTTTCTTAGTCACCCCTTTGCTGTAGTGTCAATGTTGGGCTTCCAGTACTGTTAACGGTTCCTTGATAATCAGTTACAAGGAGGAAAGGTTTATTTGGGGTTTGTTTTTGGGGGGTCTCAGTCCATGCCTCTGTTTGGCCCTGTTGTTTTGGATTTGTGTTAAGACAGCACCTCATGGCCAAATAGAGCCCTCAGTTCATAGCCAGGGAGAGAGAGAAAGAGAATTTGAGAGGGAGAGAGGAGAGAGAAAGAGACCAGGGTTCCACCATTCTTCAAGTACCAATGACCTGAAGACTTGCCACTGATCACCACTTCTGAGGTTACAACCACTTCCCACTGTTGCCAAGCTGGGACCAAGATTTTGGGGGAAATTGCGGACCCAAACTGTGGCATTCTGCCCCTGGCTTCTCAAGGCCCATGTCTACCTCATAAAACAAAATACATTTAGTGTTTCCAATCTTCACTGTTCTGGCAATGCTCAGAGTCCAAAGTCTCTGAGACCAAAAGCAAACTTAGCTGTGATTCCTTGTCAGAAATTGAAAATGCATGTCATGGTCTTCTAAAATACATTAGTAGGACAAGCAAAGGCATATACTTACATTCCAAGGGAGTAATTGGGGCACAGAAAGATGGGATGGGATCAGACAAACCCAAGGGCAGCGCCCCAGCAGGGCAAACATAATGTATCTGGTGTTCAGGAAGTTTCCTAACAAGATGTGGACACCCAAGGATTTGGGTAGCCCCACCTACAGGTTTTTGTTTCCTCCCTCTTTCAGCCTCTTGCAAGTATATGCACTGCCTGTAGTTTTTGGCAGGTGAGGTGATCCATGTTCGTAGCAATTCTGACTTTCCAGAATCTTCACTGCAGCCTATACTTCACTTCCTCAGTTTCATTATTTTTACATAGTTGAGGTCTCCTTGCAGGGACCCCCAACTCTGCCACAGATTGTCTGGCTTCCTAGTTTTCTTTTGTATTCTTAGAGGAGATCTCTACCATTACATACTTTTAATTCTTTAAAAAAGACTTATTTATTTAGTGTCTGAGTGTTTTGTGTGCATATATGTATGGGCACCGTAGTGTGCCTTGTACTTATGCAATCTGGAAGAGAGTTTAAGATCTTCTGTTACAAGAGTTACAGACATTGTAAGATGCCGCTGGGCTGGGACCCACACCTCTGTCCTCTGCAAGAGCAGTAAGTGCTACTGAGAAACTACCGAGTCATTTCTCCAGGACCATAACTTGGAATTCTCAGTGCCTGGAAAACGATCATAACCATAATGCCAAGGTCTGCCTCAATGTACAATGGAACCAACTGATGTCCATCCATGGGTGGTCTTGCCACAGGTCCAAACAATAGGGCAAATCAAATGTGGATTGAATTCTTAAACACTGTGAACCAAAATATACCTGTCCATAAATTAGCTTAGGTACTGACTGAAACACTAGAAAGCTGGCAAATAGAAAACGGTATTGCATTCACTGTAGGGCAACTGACTACAGCTAGAAAACGGTATTGCATTCACTGTAGGGCAACTGACTACAGCTCTGCCTGAAGTAATGCAATACAGTCCTGGAAACTTGCTCATGGGAAGAACTGGAAAAGATGGAAGAAGCAAACTAGAAAAAGCTTAAGATGCTGAAAGCACAGTTTAGCAGGTGATTCCGGTAGAGGCTCAGAGGACTAGACTACTGATTACATTGCAGACAGTAAATGCTATGCAGATGAGGTTCCTATGGAAACAATTCTATTGGCAGTTGGGCTAAAGTCACCCTTGTTAACCTGTGGGAAGCAGACTACATTTTGCCCTTGCCCTGAGACTGGGACCCTGAGCTTAATCAACAGACCAGTTTATCTTTTATAGGAAATTTCAGAGCAAAAACAGCTTTTAGCCAAATTTACAGCAAGATGTAGGAGAAAAAGAACAGAGCAGAATGATTTGAGGAACTTGTAGTTTGACCAGAGGAAATACCTATAAAAGTATACCTGTAAGAGAAATACCTACAAAGGTTGCTTTAAAAAAAAAAGAACACCATTAAAACTAAACCAAATGCTTTACATCAGAACAGTATGCATCTCAGGAGTCAGTAAGACCCTACCCATTACAGTGGAAATTTTATTTCAAAAACTGTCCGTGCAGGGCTGAAACAAAAAGAAAACAATTTAAGCCGGGTGTTGGTGGCGCACGCCTTTAATCCCAGCACTTGGGAGGCAGAGGCAGGCAGATCTCTGTGAGTTCGAGACCCGCCTGGACTACCAAGCGAGTTCCAGGACAGCCTCCAAAGCCACAGAGAAACCCTGTCTCGAAACACCAAAAAAAAAAAAAAAAACAAAAAAAAAAAACAAAAACAAAAAAAAACCCAAAAGAAAACAATTTAAGGGGGGGAAAATCCCACAAAAAATATTTCACAAGAGGCTGGGATTTTAATCCCAGCACTAAGGAAGCAGAGGCAGGCTGATCTCTCTGAGTTTGAGGATAACCTGTTCTTAGGGCAACATAGTTGCAATTCGTTTTGCTAAAGTTGATAGTATAGTTTATCCTGAAAAGTGAGTCTGTTCCACCAACTTTAAAGAGAGACCAGAGGACCACCCTTGGTGTTCCTTAGATACTATTCGCCTTTTTTCTGAGACAGAGTCTATCCATTACTGACCTAGAAGTCACCAAGTGGGCTAGACCGGCTGGGCAATGAGTCACTGGGATCCATCCACCTCTCTCTGCCTTCCTGTGGATTATAAATATTGTTTCCCATCAAATCAGTGGTCTTCTATCAGTTGTGAAGCGTTTGAAACAATTATTTATTGCTTTTTAGTTTTGATGCCTTTATTGTGCTAAGAATCCATTGTCAAATCTGAAGTTTTGAAGACATAGCAAATATTTCTTTTTAAACATTTTACTTTAGATGTATTTTGAGTATTTACCTGCATGTATGCACTCCATGTGCATGCCTGCTGCTTACAGAGGTGAGGAGAGGGCATCAGATCCCCATGGAATCCAATCATGTGGGTGCCAGGAATAGAACTGGTTTTCTGCAAGAGCAGCCAGTGCTATGAGCCACCGAAGCATCTCTGGCTCCTCATCGTCTTTTCTTCAATGAAGGTTATACTTAGGTGCGGGTTTTATTTTGTTGTTGTTTTTTGTTTTTCCTGAGACAGGGGTTCTCTGCATAGTCTTAGCTGTCCTGGAACTCACTCTGCATACCAAGCTGGCCTCGAACTCAGAGATCTGCCTGCCTTTGTCCCTCGAGTGTTAAAGGGTTAAAGGCATGTGCCACCACCTTAGGCATATTTAAGTTTTCTTTTATCATTGAATTGTCTTGGAACTCTAGACCTAATGACTTGTAAGATGTTTGTTGAAGCGAGTGCTGTGATCTTCCAAACACTAGACACATGTTGATAGGTTATATAGATTGACTGAGAAAAGCAGGCTTACCTTAAGGGTCTGGAGGCGGGTCAGGTGCCAGAAAAGTCTCTGGCCACACAGACAGTTGTCATTTTTAAAAAGTGGCATGTGAGAGACAGATATGCGACAGAGCTTGGGTGGAGGGTTTTTTTTTTTTTTAATTGGGGGAAAGTGAATGGGAAAAGGAGGGAGGGGAGAGGAGACCAGCCTCTGGGGACAGGAATGGCAGAAGAGGAGAGAGACGGACACACACACACACACACACACACACACACACACATACACACACACACACACGGAGACAGAGAAGCAGAGAGAGAAAGAGAAAGGGACAGACAGAGGTGGGGAGAGAGATAAAGAAGGGAGGCGGCGGGCTCTTTAAAAGGAAAGGTAGTGAATGTGCACTGGTGGTGCTCTTAGTGGCTGCAGCTGAGGGCGGATCCTGTTAGAACTCCAGGGGCAGATCAGTACAGGTGCCTGAGTACTGACAGTCACCAGGCTAGAGAAGGCATGTGGCTGCAGCTTTCTGGGAGGTTAGCAGGTTAGGGTCCTTCCCTTGGAGGAAGGACTGTGCTAATCTTCCAGGTCCCCGGTGCTGTCTGTGAGCACAAGGCGCCGTGCCTCCCGCAGTACCTACACTGTGCTTCTTTGGGGAACGATTTCGCAGTGCTTAGTGTGTGTCTTTTGCCTCCTTTTTCTTTGGTATTCTTTCTGGTAGGATGATGCTGTAGGTTATGTTGGTTTTGTTTCTCCCCTTCTTGATCTCAGGTTTAGGGTTTTATTGTGTTGGCTTTTTTAAACAGTTGTATAACCAACATTGACTTTCCAAAATTGAAAGTTCTACAGTTGATGAGTAAATGACATTAGTTTGCATAAATAGTTAAGCTACACATGATGCTTTAAATGAAGTCTCATTTTAGAGGAGCTATTTATAGGCTGAGCAGTAGTGGTGCATGCCTTTGATCCCAGCACTCAGGAGGCAGAGGCAGGAGGATCTCTGTTAGTTCTAGGCCAGCCTGGTCTACAGAGCAAGTTCCAGGTCAGCCATGGCTACACTCAGAAGGGGGTGAAAAAAAGCTACTTATAGTTTCTAACCCAGGACTCTGCTGAACCTCAGCTTCCGGTGTCTTGACTGCTGAATACTCCTGCTGTGTGACCCACAGTCATCAAGTGACTGTCACCTCACCTGTTCTGTCATTGAGTCAGCCCGTATACATTACTGAAACCCTTCTCATTTTCTCCACCTGACTGCTGTCATTGGCACCAAGTGGCCAGTGCCTGCATCATGGCAGACTTCTGGTCTTGCCTGCTTTGTCTGTACTCTGCAGTGCAGCCAGACGGAAATGCATCTGATATCACATCTGCTTAAAACACCTGTCTCATTCATTTCAGAAAATGGAATCATCAAGACAGATAAAGTATTTGAAGTGATGCTGTCTACAGACCGCTCCCACTATGCAAAATCTAACCCTTACATGGATTCTCCACAGTCAATAGGTAAGCTTTAGTAGTTATGAAAAGTTATATTTTCTTCAGTTCTTCTGTGATTTTATGAGTAGGAAAAGAACAGTGTACAGCTATGAATTATAACCCCAGTAACTGAAAGCTCTATTTTATAATACTAACCTACCCTTTGTGACAAAATGCATCTTTTTCTATGTCTTTAAAAATGTGTTGTGTGAGTCGGGAAGTTTGGGAATTTTTTTTTTAAGGAAAAACAAAACTTTAATGAAAACTTAAGAGTTCTAACTAAGTGCTGAGTTTAACTGAGGATCCTTATTTTGAAATTGCCTATTAGCATTGATTTTTAACATCAGTCATTATTGACTTTTCTGCTTCACTGGCCCCGATGCTGTGGCTTTCCTTTGTCTCTAGAAAGTTCCGTACTTAACTCCTTGTCCTGAAGCAGGTTTTGCTGAGCTGCTGAGCCTTGGCAGTGGGCGCCTTTGAGGCTTAGAAGTGCCTCAGGGTTCTGTGGGCCATCTGCCATGTCTTCTTTTGAAGCACTGTGACAGTCAGCAAGAAGATCCTGGGGAGCTTCTGAACCCCAAGGCACCTGCTACCACCGCTCAGTGAAGATTGCTTCAGAAGCAGAAGCAGGTAAATCACCCTCGAGACGCTAACACCGGAAGGAAGAAAAACATGGACTAAACACAAACACAAGACAGGAGTTAACCTCTGGACAGCAGTATAGGACACCCTGAAGTGCTTCACTAGTCTCTGAGCTAGTTGTCTGACTTTTAAAGTGCTGTCCGGAGTGTGCAACTAATTCTGCTAAGATATCACATACTTACTATACTTACAAAAGTTTTTCTTTTCATAAACCTGAAGAAAATAAGAGAGAAGAAATCTGTCAATTCTCAGTGTATGGAAACCCTTCCTGGTACAAGCCTGTAATCCCAGCTCCTTGGGAGGCTGAGGCAATATGAGGCTGAGCTCAGGGCTTGCCTGGGCTCATTCAGAACCTTTTAAACAGAGAGGAAGAAAGGAGAAAGGGCCCAAGCTGGCACGATGGCAGGTGCTTGTAAACTGGACCTTTGGGAGGTGAAGGCAGGAGGATCAGCTGTTGAGGGCTGGTCCAGACGCAACTCGGCTCTGGGAAACCTTGTCTCAAGCAGCAGCGGTGGTGCTGGTGGGCTGTCTCTCCTTTGTCAGCCAACCACTCAGAAGACATCTTTAGAAGTAGAGGGGCTGGTTTACTAGCCGAGCACGTTTGCCTTTGATGGGAATGTGTTTTCTAACAAACTTTGCTTTGCTTTAAGCTCATAAAAAGTGAACAAGATTGTGAAAAACTGTGGCTGCTAGAAAAGGAGCTACATGCATTGGATGGCTTGTGTGTGTAGCTGAGTGTGTCAATCCTCTTCTTGTGTGTGTAGCTGAGTGTGTCAATCCTCTTCTTGTTTTGTAGGTTTCCAAGCTACAATCAGCGCTCCTCACATGGTGAGTTAACTTTGTTCACTTGGTCATCACAGGTCACATTTTACCTGGGTGACAAACTTCATTTTTTTTCTTTCTTTTTTTGAGACAGTGTCTCACTGTGTATCAGCCTGGCCTCAAACTTACAAAGAGCTAACTGCCTCTGCTGTAACTCCCAAGGGCTGGGATTAAAGGTGTGTACTATTATGCCTGGCTGAACATCTTTATACTTGGTACTTAGAAGAACTTTTCTTGTTAGAAGCTGCCATTATTAAAGGTTTCAGTATCTGTTGTCAGCACCTATAACAAAACAAGTGAACCTAGCAAAAAGCTAAGTAGGGAGTGTTTTCCATGATTCGCAGGCTTTGCCCTGTGTGGTTCTTCCTGGAATGATGTGGGCAAATGTCTGTTCACTGCAGTCGGGCATCGGCAGCAGACCAAGAAACAATTTCAGCCAGCCCACTTGGTAAGCCAGTGAGCTTACTGGGTTTATGTAGAGACTTAGAGGATCTTGGTGACTCCAAGGCCACTGTGTCACTGCAAGAGCCACCCCAGGATGGGTTGTAATGCTCAAAAGCCACATGTAGAAACCCTTCGTGATCTTCCCAGAGCTTTCAGAGCCCTCCCTTCCCCTCCAGAGGGAGTGTTCCCACTCAGAGGAAGTAGCTACAGCACCATCGTGTGGGGATCTCCAGTTTCACCGTTGATTTGGAAGTCTTTAGGGAGGAGTGATGGACAGCAGGTGTAAAGACACTTGACTTTGGAAAGACCTGTTTAAGATCTGGTGTTTTTGATCTGTTGAAAATTTTGTTGGGTTTTATATATCAGTTTCTTGGATTGGTACTACATTGGATTTTGGTAAAGAAAATAGTAGCATTTTGATTCTTTTCAAGTATTTGGGTAGGAAAAGCTCATGTGTAAGTTTATTCCTAAATAAATTCTGGTAATACGTATGTATTTATACTGTACTGAAAATACTAGAAGGAAAATACTTATAAAAATTGAATATAAACATTACAAAAATACAGAAGACAAACAAAATTATATATCTTTATAAAAATTTTTATTGCATTATTTCTCTTCGGTGTGTGGAAGGGCATGTTGGGAGGGGTCAAGGACAACTTTCATAGATCTTATCTGTCTTTCCACCATGTAGGTTTTGGGGATTGAATTAAGGCTGTCAGGCTTGGCAGCAAGCTCCTTTACCTGCTGAGCCATCTTGCCTACCCTAAATATGTCTTGTAATTCAAGAGTATAGAGCTTTTAGAGTTGGATATGGTAGTCCATGCCCTTGGGAGGTTGAGGCAGGAGGATTAAGTTTGAAGCCAGCCTTTGCCACATAGTGACAAGGTATCTTAGAGTTTCTATTGCAGTGAAGAAACACCATGACCATGGCAACTCTTTTGTTGTTGTTGTTGGGTTTTTTTGTTTGTTTTTTTGAGACAGGATTTCTCTGTGTAGCCCTGGCTGTTCTGAAACTCACACTGTAGACCAGGCTGACCTGGAACTCACAGAGTTCCTGTCTCTGCCTCCCCAGTCCTGGGACTAAAAGCTTGAGTCACCACCATCTAGTCCATGGCAACTCTTACAAAGAAAACCTTTAATGGGGTGTCAGAGTTTCGGTCCATTATCACCATGGTGGGGAACATGACAGCTGGAAGTATGGTGACATGCAGGCAGGCACGGTACTGGCAAATTCTTGGATCTTGATAGGTAGGCAACAGGAAGTGGTCTGCCTCACTGAGTGTGGCTTGAGCATATGAGACCTCAAAGTCACTTCCTTCAACAAGACCACACCTACTCCAACCACTCTATACCTCCTCATAGTGCCACTTCTTTTGGGGACCATTTTCCTTCAAATCACTACACAAGGTCATCCTGAACTGTGTAGCATGACTAACTCAAAAAAGGGGGGAAGGTTGTAGAGAAAATGTTAGAAACTAAGCTAAAAGGAGAAAAACTGAGAAATATTTACAATACATATGACAAAATAGGAAGAATTTCAATAAATATAACAAATACATGTTTTTATGTGTATCCTTGAAATTAATTAGTAAAAGACCAGTAAGTCCCACAGAAAAATAAAGGACAAGATTGATATTTTTTTTTGTGAAAGAAATACAGTATTATTGACTAATAAATAAAGGAAACATCATCTTCATGGAAATTTAGTGTATTTCAAATTAGTGCTAGTAAAGGATCATATTTCATCAGTCAGGTTGCTGGAGATCAAAAATTTTAATACTTTACATTGGAAAAAGGAAAGTGTGTGTGTGTGTGTGTGTGTGTGTGTGTGTGTGTGTGTGTGTACAGTAAAATTGTGTTTGGAAGGCTGTATGGCTGTAATACATATTTGTCTTAGTTACTTTAAAAATATTTTTTTATTTTATTGTATGTGTAAGTGTGTGCATGTAGTTGTACTATGTGCATACCTGGTACCCTCTGAGGGCAGAACTGGACTCTGAGGCGGCCATGAACCACCATGTGGGGTACTAGGAACTGAACCCAGGTCTCCTGTAGGAGCAGCAAGTGCTCAAGCTCTGAGCCATCTCTCTAGCTCCTTAGTTACTTCTCCATTGCTGTGACAAAGCACCACGACCCAGGCTATTTATAAAGGAAAGCATTTGCTTTGAGGCTCATGGTTTCAAAGGGTTAGTCTATGATTCGTAGTTGGGAGCTTGGCCACAACTGTATAGGGAGGGATGGTGCTGGAGCCATAGCTGAGAGCTTACATCTAAGCCACAAGAATGATGGGGGCAGGGGGGCACTTGATGGGGTTAACTGGCAATGGCCTGGGCTTTTGAACTTGAGAGCCTATCTAGTGACACAGCTGCTCTGCTCTCACAAGGCTGTGCCTCCTGATTCTTCCCAGATAGCTCCAGCAACTGGGAGCATTATCCTTCACACCACCACAGTACTATAACAAAAACATGATTTTATTCATTTAACTTTACTTTTAGGAATTGAACTTACAAAAGTAAAAAATAAACATAAAAAAATAATTCAACTTACAGCTAGGCAGTGGTGGCACCCGCCTTTAATCCCAACACTCAGGAGGCAGAGGCAGGAGGATTTATGAGTTCAAGACCAGCCTGGGCTACAAGAACTAGTTCTAGGAAGCTACAAAGCTACACAGAAAAACCCTGTCTCGAAAACCTTAAAAAAAAAAAAAAAAAAGAAGAATTTAACTTACAGATAATTCTTTTTTTTCTTTTGTTTTTTAGTTTGTTTTGTTTGAGTTAGGGTTTCTCTGTGTAACAATCCTGGCTGTCCTGGAACTTGCTTTGTAGACCAGACTGGCCTTAAACTCACAGAGATCTCCTGCCTCTGCCTCGTAAGTACAGGGATTAAAGGCATTAGCCACTACCAAGCGTCCAGATAATTCTTTAGAAGATTTGTTTGTTTGTTTTTGAGGTAGGGTAACCTAAGAACCATGTTACTTCTTTGGGGAACAGGGTCTGAGAATAGCATTAACAAGCTCTCCTTGTAGCAAGGCCCTGGAGACCCTGACCCATTTTGCAAAGCCTGTAGACAGTTGGTTGCATAATTCTGAGCATGACTCCAGGAACATATGTGCTGCCTGCTCTCTTGCTTTCACTATGCCAGTCATATTGCTGGCTATCTTTACTTACACTTTCTCAGATAAAATAGCTATTGCAAAAGGATAACATCCCCCTTATGACTCTCCTCTGAGTGAGCCAGAGGGAATGTTGTTAAAAATACAGTGTCCTGATTCAGCCCCTAAAGCCTCCTGATGCTTCAAGTGTGATAATGAATCCAGGTTTTTTACAAACTGGATGTTGTCTTTCCAACATACCCTGTAACTAGCCTGAAAGAGTCCCAGTATTTCATGAAGTTTAGCATTACAAATGTGCGTAACTGTTCTAGAAAGAATAGAATGATTTTTGCCACAAGAGTGTAGGAGAAATGCAAATAAAATAGATGATACCAAGAGTTAATGGGAACAGTCTAGAGGCAGGGATTGAAGCAGAAACATAGAATCCCACAGTTCTCTCACAGCTGCCAGTACCCTGAGAAGTTGAGAAGAGAACATGAGAACAAGATATAAACAATGCCAACTGTTAAGAGTAAGTTTCTAAGTTATGTTGCTTGTAGGATAAAAGGAAAAACCTGGTATGTCCCCAAAGGAGATGGAGTGGTACAGAGTGTAGAATGAATTGATCCAGCTTCGGCTGGTGAGGTGACCCTACCAAATGTAAATATTAACCACTAGAGACAAAATTGTCTCTCATCCGGCATGACACTTTAGCCGCAAATGCTGCCAACTGGGCACACTGTTCACCTGTAGGTGTGCCTAGTTAGGAAGCTTCCTTTGTAGCTTGCAACATTGCTTATGCTTCTAACATTAGAGCTAGAGATCAAATGGGTAATGGTTGCCTGGTGGGAATGTTGGGAGATGGAAGGGAAAAGAAGCAAAGGAATAAACTGGTAATTACTATAACCATTTTTAGAAAATTAAAGAAATCTGATTGTAAAAAAAAAAGAAAGAAATCTGATTGCAAAACTGTTCATGTAAACCATTGCAATTGTATAAATAAAAACAGTCCATGCTGTCCAGGGGCCACTTGTTTGTAACAGGTGGTCACAGTTCCTTTGTTTGGCCAACTTCACACATCTGTCCCAGGTCATCAGACCATTTTGGAGGTGTGGTTCCAGAAACAGGGTTTTGCCAGGTAGCCCTGGCTAGCCTGGCCTGGAACTCACTATGTAAACTAGGTTGGCATTCTGCCTCCTGAATGCTAGGATTAAAGGCATGCAACACCATAACCAGCACTTTATATGAAGTTTATAAAGCGTGTTATATTACAGCCAAGTCTGATGGCATCATTACATTTTTTTGCTATAGACGATTGCAACTAAAATCTCTTCAGTATTGATATTTGTTATAATGCATTAATACCTGAATATAGTCTAAGCTATAAAAAGAACATGCTCTTTAAGTATTGAATTTTCCTTCAAAAGCAAAATAATATTTGCTTGTTCATGCACGGAATGAATATTTTTCCAGAAAAATTACAAGAAACTGCCAATGTTGGTTGTCTCCAGGGAACAAAACTGGACAGTTGGGAAGGGGTTGAGGGCTTTTTCCTGAAAATCCCTTTTTTCAGTCTTTTGACTTTGAATTTTAATTTATATAGCAGTCATCTAAAGTTACAGGAAAACTATAAATGTAGGAGGTCTATTGCAACAGAACTCTCTTAGGTAATCACTGTAGTGGTAGAAAGCTCCCGTGTCTTTATAGATGATAAATAGAAACTTGGGTAGAAAGTTAACAACTGCTTATGGAAGTGGTGTGTGGACTTGAAGAAGAAATGACGATTTGGCTAATTTCCTTTTGGCAGCATGCGTATGCACTAGAACTTCTGTTTGACCAGCTCCACGAAGGCGCGAAAGCCCTCGATGTAGGATCTGGAAGCGGAATCCTCACCGCATGTTTTGCACGGATGGTAAGAACTTTAATCTTCCTTGTGAACCTAATAGCAATATATTAAGTGATTTAGCTGTGGTTCCTTCTTACTAGCAGTTTTAATTTTTGTTTTTGTTCTGTTAATACGCTAGTTTTAGCCAGGTGGTAGTGGTGGTGGTGGTGGTATGCACCTTTAGTGCCAGTACCCCGGAGGCAGAGGCAGGCAGATGTCTCAGTTCAAGACCAGCCTGGACTACAGAGTAAGTTCCAGAACAAACAAACATACAAAAAGATGATAATTTAAATTTAGGATTATATTTGCAAGTGACAGAACATTTAAACCCAAAACTGTAGAACCCAAAGACAGTTTATTTAGCTTGTCTAATGGAAAAGCCTAGGGGCTTCCCTGGCTTTTTATGTAGCTAGATTTAGAAAGCTAGGCTTTATTTTATTTATTTATTTTGCTTTTGAGGAAAGGGTCTCTACATAGCCCTGGCTGTCCTGGAACTCACAGAGAACCGATGCTTGTGCCTCCTGGGATTAAAGGTGTGGCCACCATGCCAGGCCAGGCTAGGCTTTGTTACTGGTTGGTTTCTCTCTGGGTGTTGATTTATCTTTACATCTTTTTACATGTCAGCTTCATAATTTCACAGCCTCTATGTGATTTCAATATGGCAGCCCAGTGACTCAAACTATGTTCTGCTAAGGTCTCATCTGACAGGAAAGAATGGAGCAGCCCTGGTTTTCAGTCCTCTTGGATGTTTCTTAAGGTTGCAGGAAGAACTTTTCCCATAGGCAAGATGCTGGCAAATGCCGTGTTCACTGTACTTGAATGCTGGGATTAAAGGCGTATACTGCTGCACCTGGCTTCTGTACATACATATTTTCATAAATAGCAGTAGAATTGGATATAGAAATTCCATGTCACCATTTTATTAAATTTTTTTTTTGAAACAAGACCTCACAATACAACCCAGACTTGCCTCAAATTCACTATGTAGTCAGACTGGCCATCTCCTGTCTCAGTCCCCCAAGTTATGGGATGATTGGCGAGTATCATAGTGCCTGACTTTTAAAAACTTTTTATATAATACCTGATTCTTAAAAATGTAATTTATTTTATCTTTTGGAGACAAGATCTAGCTGTATAGCCTGGCTCAGTATTTAAATAGTTTTTAAATTACCCCTTTCAACTAGAGTTCATACAAATTAAATATTGTTAGCTAAATCCTACCTCAAAGTTCTGGTTTGTTTTTTTCAAGATAAGGTTTCACTGTGTAGTTTTGACTGTTCTGGAACTCACTATGTAGACCAGACCAGGCTTGAACTCAGAGATCTGCCTGTCTCTGCCTCCCAGGTGCTGAGATTAAAGGTGTGTGCCACCACTGCCCAGCAATAATATATTATTTTTTTTTGAGACAGGATCTCACCACATAATTGTGATCAGAATTCACTGTGTAGAACTCACTGATCTCCCTGCCTCTGCTTCTCAAGTGTGAGGACTAAAGGCATTTGAATTGAATAAGAAGATCTAGATTTAAAAATTAGAAATCTAGCCTGGTGGCATATGCCTTTAAACCCAGCACTCAGGAGGCAGAGGCAGGCAGATCCGATCTCTAAGTGTACAGAGCAAGTTCTGAGACAGCCAGGGCTATACAGAGAAACCCTTGTTTCAAAAAAAAAAAAAGGAAAAAAGAAATCTAAAAAGGATGCAGTTTTCTTAGTATTATAAGGTTTTGTAATTTATTTTTAACTGTGTATGTGAGGGGGGGTGTTTCCAGACAAGGTTTCTTTGTATAGCTTCGAACTCACAGAGATCCTCCTGCCTCTGCCTCTGCTCTTTATTTTAACTTTATAGTTGCTTAAATAAAATTATTTAAAAAGTTGCATATAATAATTATGATAAACAGAGTTTAAATTAATGACTTAAACTTTATTTTTTGGCTTAAACTGTTTATTTTTTTATTTCTTGTTGCAGAATAGGATTTTAATTAAGAAAACATTTTAAAGGCACCCTAGAAAAGCAACTTTAGCCCTGCAAACTCTTGAACTACCTTTTGTTTTCCAGGTTGGACAAAGTGGAAAAGTCATAGGAATCGATCACATTAAAGAACTAGTAGATGACTCAATAAATAATGTCAAAAAGGACGACCCAATGCTTCTGTCCTCGGGGCGAGTACGACTGGTTGGTGAGTAGCAGAAAACTTAGTGTTTCTTTTTCAAGTGGATGCAAGCTGAGCAATGCTTAAAGCTAGAGCTGTTACCCTATTGAAATATGGAGTATAAAGAACAGCTTATTTTTGTCCATTTTAATGAATACAAAGCATTGCATTGCTTTATGATCTTCACTTGGTGTTTTCCTTCTCATCATTGGGGTTGACTTCGTTTTCATGTTTACCCATTTGCATTTCCCTCGTCAGATGTCTGTTCACATAGGCAGTTGTGTATATTTCCTTTGATACAGGTGTTCTAGTAGTTGGTCGTTTGTTACTTTACATATATTTCTTTCCCACTTGGTGGTATGCATTTTCATTTTATTGCCACCTTACTTGTTTTTTGTCCCTGCTCTTGATCAAACCCATGGCCTTCCACGTGCTAGGTAGGGTTCAGTATCACTGCGCTACTCTAACCCCCAGCCTTTGTGCTAACAGAAATTCTCAGTTGTAATGTAGGTAGGCTAACCATTCTTCCCCCAGTGCCTTCTATCTTAAGGATATATGAGGTCATGAAAGTCTCTTCCCCGACTCAGTTTTCAGCCTCCTCTGTTAGAATTGTCCACACCAAGTGTGACTTGTCCTGGTTTTCAGAGTGTCACTTCTTTTCCAGTGGGTGATGGAAGAATGGGATATGCCGAAGAAGCCCCTTACGATGCCATTCACGTAGGAGCTGCAGCCCCAGTTGTGCCCCAGGCAGTGAGTTGGGATTCTTTTTAATTTGTGTGTTTTAGTCCTAAAACGTAAAATATTTATGTAGCAATGTAGTGATGAGTTCCAGATGAGGTTCAGAATATGCTTAGACCGTCATACATCTGAGTTAAAGCTAAGTCCTAGTAGTTTCTTAGGTAGAAAAGAAAATGTCTGTGAGAGTATTTTGCCGAGTAGTCAAGGAGGCATATGTGATGGAAACTGGGTCTGAGAGTCATCAGAGCCTCCTGCTCAGAACTCAGGCTGTCTTCATGCATCCTAGTGTCATGCAGTTCAGTACAAATGGGACAGCAGGAATCTGGATATTAAGAGCTCAGTCCTTATTTAGACTTGAAGAATACAAGTGATGCTAAGAAGATGTAGATAAGCCAGGCATTGGTGGTGCTCACTTTGATCTCAGCACTCGGGAGGCAGAGGCAGGCGGATCTCCGTGAGTTCGAGGCCAGCCTGGTCTACAGAGCGAGTTCCAGGACAGCCTCCAAAACAATACAGAGAAACCCTGTCTCGAAAAAACCGAAGAAGAAGAAGATGATGATGATGATGATGATGTAGATGAAAGGATTGTTTGGGTTTGGAGCAAGCCTGGGAGTGGAGGAAGAAGTTTGTTATTCTTCATTGTAACTGTTAGAACTCAGAAAAACAGTATTCAGGCGTTCCTTAAAAAAATTAAAATGGAAAAAATAAGATCTGGTGACCATATTTTAACTGAAAGCAACCTTCTCTATCCCATCCAAACTCAGGCTTCTTGCTGGTTTTGAATAGCATAAGGTTGTATTATTCAAAGGGTAACATGTGACTTAACCATTTTCAGACCGGAAGGTGTCTGGTTCTACGTTCATAGGATTATCCTCATGATGACACCAAAGGAGCCCAGCCCTACCTTCCCACTCTGCTGGTGCCAGGAATCCTAAATGCAGTCATGACATTAGGATTCCCTTACCATTGTTCTCAGTAATGCCCTAGATTCCACAGTAATAGGATAGCAGTTCCTTGTTAATTTTCTGTACTTTTCCCTTCTCCGTCTCCCCTTCCACAAAGATCTGGAACACACTACACTGGCATTAGAATTCTCTGTTGCAGTTGGTTCTGCCCAAGCATATTGGGCTCTTTACTTATGCCAGGTGCTCTGTCGGGCTCAGTGAGAACAAAGATGAATGCAACATAGACTACCATCAAATAGCTTGTAACTTAGTAGGGGAGGCTAAGAGATAAATGGTTAAGAGGGGAGTTGGTTACTATGTTCAACAAACAGGGAATGAAAAGTGCTGTTTTGGATGAAGGGAGGTGCAGAAAGTTGAAAGAGCAGCATTTAAGTTTGCTGTCACTGAGTGCTACTGAATCCATGCAACGAAGGGAAGCACAGGCCCTGTGATGGGATGCTCAGATGTGGGTGGGGTGCAGTGTGTCATAGATGCCAGCACTGTGCCACTTGTAAGAGACTTGAGGCACTGTGGCTTTTGTTATGCTGGAGGGATCCTGGAATCAACCCCCAGGGACACTGGGAAGTGACTACATGAAGCATGTCTCCACTTCTGTCCCCGGGTGTTGAACATTGTTTACAGTGCTGTCGCATGACTGTGGCTGTTGCACGTCTGTAACTTGGTGTGTATGTGGGGGTTTTCTTTTTTTCTTCTAGCTAATAGACCAGTTAAAGCCTGGTGGAAGATTGATATTGCCCGTCGGTCCTGCAGGAGGGAACCAAATGTTGGAGCAGTATGATAAGCTACAAGATGGCAGTGTCAAAATGAAGCCTCTGATGGGGGTGATATACGTGCCTTTAACAGATAAAGAAAAGCAGTGGTCCAGGTGGAAGTGATTTTCTCTTCTGCTCTTTCTTCTTCCGCACATTCAAGGTGAAAGGGTGTGGACTTTAAGACTTTAGACTGCAAGGGCTCATTTTGGTGGCTTCCTTCATGCTACTCCATTAAAGCATCAGAAACTCATCACATGAAATGTGTGACAAGTGGTGCATGGTCTGTTCTTTCAGTTTGACTGGTACCCTTAGAAAAGGGAGGGTGAAAAGCTGGGGAGGGGGGGTGCACACCTTTAATCCCAGCACTCGGGAGGCAGAGACATTTGGGTCTTTGTGAGTTCAAGGCCAGTCTGGTCTATGCAGCGTTCCAGAGCAGCCAGAGCTACACAGAGAAACCCTGTCTTGAAAAACCAAAAAAAAAAAAAAAAAGGAAGGGGCACTTTTCCTGCATATTTGTAAGTCATGTTTATAACTGCTCTAATAGGTATTGAAGTAAATGCTTTGATCTGGGAAGAGGCCACCATTTCTCACCTTGTTAACTCTCTAATACCACTGGGACAGGGAGAAAGGAAGAGTTGGAAAGGGAAAAGATGTTTGTCCTTGTTTTCAAAGAATGTCAGAGCCCTGGAGAGGACGCTCTAGCGTTTGGGTTGATTTCTTTGGGTCAGTTCCTAGATGTGCAGCATGGTTGCAGAGCCACCATAAGAAGTAAATGTGTCAGCATGCTCTAGATTAGGCCAGACAGCTGAGCTCTTTCTGCTACGTTTGGGGAGAAGAGAGACTGCAGAAGCTGTGCAGTGAGTTCCCAGGCTCAGCCTGCCTGGAGGACATGCAGACAGCCCCGTTCTCACAGCTCTGTTCTCACGCTGCATTGCACGGCTCATTAGAAAGCTACTGCCTGCCTCTGCTCAGTGTCACAGCATCAGCTGAATGTGTCCTTGGACTGTGTCTCCCCATGGAGAGACGCGAGGACAGGGTATTGGAGTGCTGTGGCTACATGCTGGAAACTGATGCCCAAGTGAGGGTGGTTGGACGCTGTCTTTGCCATAGAGCCTTTCTAGTCGACAAGCTTCTTATTTCAAGAGGGGTTTTTGGTTTGATTTTGCTTTTTAAATAAGTAGCAATTGTAAGAACAACAGAACTCTTAATTTTGCTTTCTGTAATGAGGACAGGCTTCTTTTTTTTAATATCATTTTTTATTTTAATTTTAAATAGCTTGTTTTACATGTCAATCCCAGTTCCCTCTCCCTCCCCTCCTCCCGCACTCCCCTCCCCCCCCCTCCTACCCTATTGCCAAATCCTTCCACATAGGGGATATCTAGAGTCTGTCATTTTACTCTGGGTAGGGTCCAGGCACTCCCCTAAGAGTCCAGGCTGAGAGAGCATCCCTCTTTGTGCTATAGGCACACGAAGACAGTTTGTATACCAGGGATAGACACTGATCCACAGCTCAGGTTGCCCAGGCCTTTTCGCTGACACTCACATTTGGGGGGTCCAGATCAGTCCCATGCTGGCCTCCCCACTGTCGGTCTGGGGTCCAAGAGCTCTCCCCTGTTCAGATCAGCTGTCTCTGCTGGTTTTGCCAGCCCATTCTTTGCCAATTTGCTCATCACTCCTCTCTCTCTGTCACTGGGTTCCTTGGGTTCAGTTCAGTGATTAATTGTGTGTTTGCCTCTGTTTCCATCAGTCACAGGATGAAGGCTCCCGGATGGTTATAGACATCAAGTTCATTACCAGGAATGGGCATTCGAGGTGGTCTCTCCACTATTGCTTAGCTTGCCAATTGGTGTTATCCCTTTAGATCACTCGAGGTCACTCTGGTGCCTGATCTGTATTCGATCCTGTGATTCCCTCTTCCCCCTATTCTACCCTCACCCCCTCAACTTCCTGTTCCCCCATGACCAACTCTCTTCCTCTTCACCCCCTCTCTTCTTCCCAGGTCCCACTCCCCCCCCATCCCTCGCCGTGTTCCCCATCCATTCAGAGGATCTTGTCTCAATCCTCTTCTCTTGGGTACTATGCATATATGCATATCTTTTAGGTTCTTTCCTGTTTCCCAGACTTTCTATCAGTGGAAGTGCAGACTGGCACTATCCTGATCAATGTCTAAAATCCATATATGAGTGAGTACATACCATGTTTGTCTTTTTGCGACTGGGTTACCTCACTCAGGATGGTTTCTTCCAGTGCTATCCATTTCCCTGCGAATTTCAAGATTCCATTGGTTTTTTCTGCTGAGTAATACTCCATTGTGTAAATGTACCCCCTTTTCTCTATCCACTCTTCAGTTGAGGGGCATCTAGGTTGCTTCCAGGTTCTGGCTATTACAAATAATGCTGCTATGAACATAGTGGAGCAGATGCCCTTGTTGTATGAACTTGTCTCATTTGGATATATGCCTAAGAGTGGAATTGCTGGGTCTAGTGGTAGATTAATTCCCATTTTCCTGAGGAATCTCCATACTGATTTCCAAAGAGGCTGTATGAGTCTGCACTCCCACCAGCAGTGGAGGAGTGTTCCTCTCTCTCCACATCCTCTCCAGCATAAATTGTCTTCGGTGTTTTTGATTCTAGCCATTCTGACAGGAGTAAGATGGTATCTCAGAGTTGTTAATGCCAGGGTGAGTTCCCCATGTGCTATAGCTCAAGTGTATGATGCCTTCAGGAATAGGATTTTACTGACAGTTTCTGGAAAAGGATGAAGAGTCATGGCAACAACCCTTAGCAAGCAACCCCCCCCCACTTCTTCATAAAGAGATTCCCTTCTTTCCAATTACATATGCTTTAGAATCCCCCTACCAACAAAACAAAAACCCTGCATCTTCCTGGTTCAAATTATTGTGTATTTACAATATTAGAAAGTCTATTAAAATGTTAGGAAACAGAAACATTTGTGGATTTGAGTTATTTCCTTGTAGTACCTCTCATTTGTTCTTTTTTATTTTAATTTTTATTGCTTATGTTTGAGTGTTATGTATGTATGTATGTATGTATGTATGTATGTATGTATGTATGTATGTATAACACATGTGTTCCTAATGCCAAGAGGCCAGAAGAGAGCATCAGATCCTCTGGAACTAGAGTTACAAAGGGTTGTGAGCCTCCATGTGTGGGTTCTGGGGATCCTCTGCAAGTGTTCTTGGCCAATGAGCCATCTCTCCAATCCTCATTTGTTCTTTTTTTTTCCCCAAGACAGGGTTTCTCTGAGTAACTTTGTAGACTGGGCTGGCCTCGAACTCACAGAGATCTGCCTGCCTTTGCCTCCCAAGTGCTGGGATTAAAGGTGTGTATCACCACTGCCCGGCTCCTCATTTGTTCTTATATAACAATATGTATGATTCAGTATTACTAACATGGAGCTATTAAAACTTAATATAACAGCCGGGTGGTGGTGGCGCATGCCTTTAATCCCAGCACTCGGGAGGCAGAGGCAGGCGGATCTCTGTGAGTTTGAGGCCAGGCTGGACCGACAGCCTCCAAAACAATACAGAGAAACCCTGTCTCATAAAACCAAAAAAAAAAAAAAAAAAAGTTAATACAACAAGCTTACATGGTTGTAACCTACTTACTATATTTAACATAGATAGCCATTTTACAGAACAAGTTTGGGCATACTGCTTTTTATTGTAAGTGATCTGCTCTGTATGCATCAGATAAGAATAAGCAGAATTTTGAACACTGGGGAAAATTTAGTAACTAAAAGTTTAATGGATTTGAGAAAATTATGATGCATGGATGTTGTCTATGTATTCGCAGCAAATGTTAGTACCCTAAAATTTAAAATTCCAGTCTATGAGACTAATTTCTTTATTGGGCAAATGTGAGCAAACTCCAAATGTGCCCCAGTAGTAGATCACTTACCTAGCATGCGCAAGGCCTTAAGTTTGATCCCCAGTATGTCCCCAAAAGTAAAAACTCAATGAAGAGGATGTTTGGAAATGTATTATGTTGTTGATGGGCATTAGGATTTACTTACTAATTATTTAATGCCTTGCAAGAAGTAAACACAAGTTTTATACTTTAGTATCCTAATACATGACTTAAAAGGCACAGGTGTGAATAAAACAAGTGAATCCTCTATAGACTCTAATCTTAACATTTGCATGAATTGTGGTAAAGATTGTTTTGTGCTAATTATAATAGTGTTATAGATGACTGTATTAGGAGGGAAGAGAGTGGATAATTATCATGTAAAAGATAATCCAGGGGCTGGAGAGGCGACTTGACTTATAAAGTGCTTGCTGTGCAAGAATAAGGGCTTGAGTTCAGATCCCTGGCACTACATCAAGCTGGCTGCGGTGGCATGTCTGAAACTCTGGCACTAAGTGGATAGGGGAATGGAGAAACTGGGAGTCCTGTGGACTTACTGGCAGGCCAGTGTTGACACTCTAGATTCAGAAGTAGATTCCACATAAAAACTAAAGTGAGAGTGACCGAGGGAGACACCAGGCACCAGCCTCTGTGTACACCATATACTCACCCTCATATACACTCCAGTAATGTAACAAAAAGGAGGCTTATTAGAGAATTTTTTTTCTTGCACCATTTATAAAAGACAGCTTGAAAGGCACACTATTTGGTAAGCCCTGAACACAGCACCTCCTTGGGACATGAGCGTTCTCACTCCATGTCTCTTCCATGCCCACAGCCTTTACAAAGCACTCGTCTTCGGTGTCAGAGGAGTGCAGAGCTGAGCTTCTGCCCATCGCCAGTTACCGGCTCCCCGTTCGCTGTCACACGTCTCTCTACACGTGTCATACGTTCCCCCGAGCCATTTGAGAATTAGCTGCAAAAATCACACTTCTTTATCCCTGACATACTGAGTGTTAGCGATGCTTTTGTCACCCAAGGTGCCGTCAGATGACACATTTGGGCTTTCTGATGCTTTTACTTATTTTTCCACACTCAGTGGCTTCATTGAGGTAGAATTTGAGTGCCATACAGTTTCCTTTAGATGGCATTTTTATTTCTTCCCTCCCCTCATGGCAGTTGCTAACCCAGTGCTGCACATGGCTGAGCGAATGATTTCTTTGGAACTGATGAAGCTGCCTTATGGAATCAGCTGACAGGTATAAGGTGCCACAGACCGGCTTTTCTCCAGAGAGGTGGGGCCGCTGTTGGCCAACTCTACAAGTGCTAACAGACTCTTGAAGCAAAACTCTATCCCATGTTGTGACTCGAACACTTAAAAATTTGAACTCTAAATGTTTAAGCTGTCATCTTAGAATAAATAAGTAGATTAAGCAAGATGATCCTAGACAGAAGCCATGGTTTTTTCTGAATTTTTGTTGCCTCAAAGAAAGAAGTGTTACCATTAAGTTTAATCGGTTTAGGCTTTGTGGTTTCCTGCTGTGTTGCGGAGTAGCATGAAAGATGCCTGGGGTGGCTGATAGGCAGTTTTGCTTTGGCTTGGAGTTGTATGCGCTTTCTTCCTCTGACTGTGCCGCTTGGGATCTGCATATTCCACTGACTTGAGTGTTAAATGGTTCGGGTGCCAGTTCTCAGCACGTAACTCCTAATTACACTTTCCTCTTTCTCCCCAGGGATGAACTGTAACAGCAACGTGAGCTTGGCCAGTCTGTACCATTGCAGTGGATTGCTCGTCTCGGTCCTTACAGCCTCTGAAAATCAACAGCATCACAGCTTGTTTTGGACTTTGTTAGACTCTTATTTTCAGCATGAAAATGTGTGGTTTTGTAGGACTTCCTAATTCAAAGAGGCGCAGAGCCAGGCTGGTAGAGGAGAGCTGTCTGCAAAGTATAACTTTGTGTGTTAATTTAACATGCCCATGTTTTACTTTAAAAGAATTGAAGGAAAGGGTTCTCCACATGCAAAGCTTGGTTTTCGAATTAGTTTTGAAGAGTGGCTTTGCTTTTCTTGACACTTAATTCTGTTCCAATATTAATTTATCAGACTTCTTTTGTGCATCAGATAACACCACCATTCACAAGTTTAGATTTCTTGGTAGCTGAGTCTGTTAGATGCTACCAAGAAAATAGAGATGAGCTTTCTTTTTAAAGCCTTTGATGTGGTGTCATAGGATAGCATGTTGTAGATACAATCAGCTGCTGTTACCTTAAAACTAGGTGTTTGTAAATACTGAAACTTAAGACGACGGCAGGTGGTGTCCCGTAAACACTCAGCTGTTGAGATTGGACATCTCTGATGTAATTTTCCTCTCTTTAAAACTGATAGGAGGTTGTAGCTTAATAGTGTTTTCTGTTTCTAGTTTGCTGCTGATACTGTATCTGCACCTAACACTCTGTGTAAGCTGTTGCTAGTATCTGCACAGTTTACACAGCGCTGCTTTGCCAAATAAAATTAAAAGCAAAAGAAGCGTTGATGGCGTTTGAATCTAGAAGAACAGAGGTCTGCTAGGTCCAGATGCTGCCCACAATCATGGGGCAACTCTCCTGCTGCTGCGCTTTGTGAGCTCCTGGGAGGTAAATATGGATAGCATTAGTCCGTGGACATGGTTGTATTCCTTCAGGACACAGACTGTGTGTTCACTGTTCCTCACTGCCTTCCCAGCCCAGGGCTCGCTATGTGATAGCTCTGTGGTAAGTGCCCAAGGAGTGAGTGGCTGAGTTTAGTATCAAGAAAGAACGTGGTTGAGAGTACACATACCAAAATCTATGTTTCATCTATAAATAGACTCATTTAATAACTGCAGAGTGTGGATCTGTGAAGCAATGGCACTTTGAGGCTCTTATTTAAATGCAGTTTTATATTTTCTAAGAAGATATTAGTTTTTTGTGAAGATTCTTGAACTTGAGGGACGATTACCAGCTTCTGATGAGGGGGCCTGGCGTCCCCAGCAGAGCCTTCCCTCCCATGTGACGGGCACGTGGTTCTGGTACATGATGCTTAGTATGAGAGAAACCCTTCCACACTCTTCAAGTCTTACTTATTTAAGTCAAGCAGACGTCATCTCACAAGTGTCTTCTTGGCTGAGGTCTCAGTCACAAGAAACTAGCATTTTTTGTGGTTCCACAGACTTGAAAATCTTACCCAGCTTCAGTTTGCTACTGGTTGTGGCTTTGGAATCCTGGCAGTGAACTCTGGTGCCCGGGATGCATGGTCATTTGAAGTATGTGTAAAGGTCAAGTGTTCTTTCAGGCTTTAAAGTAAATAAATTCTTAAACATACCTACTAGTCTGGATCCTTGGTAGTCATTACAACTTACTACATGCAGATCCCTACACTAGCTTTTGGAATAGAAAAAGTCATTCTACTCCAGTAGTTTTCAGTCTAGTTTAGTGGACCATCATTTGTACAGAAAACGCTGTGCCCAAGTGTTGTTCTTGGATGTTACACTTTTAGGAGGTGAAATTTTAGGATGTTGGATTAAACAGCTCATTTTAACCAGAGCATCACTAAGTGGGTAAAGATAGAAGTAATCATTTTAATGAAATCTGAGCCTTTAAAAAGAGTTTTATTTATATATGTATATTGGAAAGATAAAAAATTTCTGATATTTAGTATGCATAATTTCCAAAGCATTTTATTGTCTGTAATAGAAATTGTGCCTGTATATAACATAAAGGGCAATGAAGATCCTTCAGGAAGTTCTAGGCTAGTGTGATCTTGTGAAATAAAGTTTTCCCTATAGATCTGATCTTACAAAAAGCCAAATCTAGCTATCAGACTTTGGTGGCAATAAGCTTATGTTGGGTTTCAGTTTTTATTAAGGGCTGCTGCTCTTTCCCAGCCAGGAACAGTACAAAACAACATCTGTGGAAAGTAATTCATAACTACTGTTCCTGTGAATCCTTAAAACTCATTCCCTTAGTAGCTGCCTTTGTTTTTTGGCTTTTGTTTTGTTTTGGGGGGTTGCTTGCTGCCAAGCCTGAGGACCTGAGTTTCAGCCTCAAGACCCAGATGGTTCTCTGATCTCCACACGCATGGTGGCACGGTGGCATATGCCTGAACTCCCGGCCCTGGGAGGCCGAGGTAGGCGCATCACAAGTCTTCCTCAGCTACAGAGTAAGTCTGAGGCCAGCCTGGACTCCATTAGACCCTGCCTGCCATTAACAAAGAAAAGAAAAAAGTTCCCACAGTGCATCTCCTTACTAAAACACTAACTTAAAATTCAGTGGATTCTAAAATAGAGTTTTTTTTTGTAATAATTTCATAAACTCTTCAAACTATTCTTAGTGTGTGATTAACACGTTGGAGTTTATAAGGCCTTTTTTTCCTCTCTAGAAGAGGTAGATTTTCTAGTTTATAATTTAGTATGCCACTAAAGTAACTCATGCCCGTGTGGTAACCCACAATAATAAACAAATAGCAAGCATGGGTTATTTTATAAATTGTTCTGGAATTCAACAGGCTGATAACTTGTTTTAGGTAAGTGCTAAAATTCTTGCAGCATCTAAATCATTTCTTACAGCTACAGTGTTCCTAATAGCATATCGTGCTTTGTGAAAAGGGCTGTGACGAGTTTGGCTGCATCTCTGGATTTCTGCCATTTTTCAGAAAGATGGCAATATTTCAAGGCTGTCAGTAGAAGGATCCACTTGAAAGGGGACTGGCCCAAGGGAGCTTGTGACTGTGCATTATAATATAATAAAATGGAAATGAAGCTTAATAATTTGTTCATCGTGAATTCTTTTAGTCTCCTTGTTACAGGAGCTGGTGGCTCCTCTTCCCCACCAGCCCCAAGGCCTTCATCTTCCTCAATGGTTTTGTGTTTGCGTCTGATTGGCCAACACCCCCTCCCTGCCTGTGGGGCAGATGTCAGCATGATTGCCATTACTCTCTCAGCACTCACAGGGCTCTGCTGAACTCTGGGAGCCTCTGAGGTCTGTCTCACTTTCCTCTCCTTACCTGCTTTCTGCCATTCAGTGTGTGAGGCCGGCCCTTCAGGGGCTGCTGAATCTGAAGAGTTTATTTAGACAGTCCAACAGGATGCACATGACACACATGAACACTGTCAAGAGGCCTGTGATGGCAGACAAAGGACATTCTAATTGTGAGTGACTTGAGGCACCCTATACATTCGGCTGTATCTTCCAAAATAAGCTTCCAAAAGCTTGGCTTTTTCTTTCCTTTTTTTTTTTTTTTTTTTCCTTTTTTTCCCCTGTCACTATTGGTTTAAGCATTTGTCCTATTCTCATTATTTTACAAGGATTTTGACCTAAAATTACATAGAGCTGGGGAGAGCACAGTTGGTAAGTGCAGCGTGAGGTCACAGCTGTGACCACACCACACCGCACTATGATCTTGGCTCTGGTGGACAACAGAGGTGGAGAAAGCAGGCCAGGACGGTAAGGGTGGTCTTACCGAGCGTCTCACTGTGCATCCTACAAAGTAAAAGCTGGAGACGACTTGGCCTCAAATTGAGACATTCATAGTTCTGGTTTGTGCTCTGCACAGACCTCTGTGTGATAACACATTTAGAGATAGCAGTCTAGTAAATCAGTAGAACTGTTTTAAGAACACAGAGGACTCAGTCTATGTGATGTTCATATGAGGAATCCAATCAAAGCCACCAACAGGGTCTACCTTGGCCAGGCAACTTGAGGGGCAAATGGAATTATGAACCTGTTTGGGCTGAGGGAAGATACAGTAAAGATCAAAATCAGTAAGTGGAAGGTGTTAGTTTTAAGTCATTACAAAGAAGAGATGGTTCCCACCAAGAAGACTATATTTGGGACATGAATGGCATCAAACACCAAATTGGCTTATGGAAAGTGGGGAGTATGTTGCTTGTCCCGACAACCAAGTTGACAAGTCAGTTTTAAGATAATGTGTAGGCTTAAGGAACAGCCGTGAAACACATTTAAGAGGTAAGCTGTGGCCACTGTGTCCCTTTAAATAGTTCGTGAGTTGTAGAGACAGACCTTGAGTCAGTCACTGAGATGGCTCTTGAGGGTCTCACCCAGACTTCCAATAAGGAATATTAGGTAGGGCTCGATCTTCTCCAGACCTTCATGTGGCTTGGGGCGACTCCCTTTTCTACAACCCTCAGTTTCCTTCTTTGTGGAAACAGTTGGTATGTTTAAACCCAAATAATATACTAATAGTTTGGGCAAATTCAGTAACATACAATTTACAATAAAGGAGCTTTTTAAAGGCATAAGAATAAAATAGTTTATTAAAGGTGTAGTACATACAAGACATCTTTTCTCAAGTACTTCAAAACAATAGCAATACTAGACTGTAGTTAATTCCTTTGTATATAAAAGAAGTGCAGGAAGAAACATGCCTTATCGGTTTCTAGTTTACTAGGTATGGCTGTAGGTTACGCCCTCTATAAAAACGAGCCGCATAGCATCAGAGCACAGATAAGTTTACACAGTTCATCTTTCAGATACCATTGTTAACACTTACGCCAGTGCTCAGCCAAAGGCTAAAGTTAGAGTTTCAAGAAACAAAATCAAATATTTGTTTTTTCTAGAACTACCCATTATTACATTTTGATAGGTTATATCCCCTCACCAAAATCCAGCCCCTTGCTAAAGGAACTACATACTTCACATTCAGTCTAAACGGATAAGACTACAGTGTTTTTCAATGATTGCCAAAAAATAGGGACATCATGATTATAAATGGGCACCACACTGTGTGGTCCCCAGAGTAATCTCCCGAGTGTATAACCCGGCATCGAGTGATGACGGAAAGTCTGCCTTTACTGCTTACAGACTTAAAAGGGAGATGCTAAGCGCGATTCTAATTTCCTGTAAAGCTGAGTTTGTGCAAAAATGCTTTCTGCTCTGGGGATGCATCCTGACGTTAGCTGATTGTATGTTATAACATCCTAATAACATAAAAGACAGCGAAGGCAGGGGTGTCACTCTGTGGTAGGGCATTTGCCTAGCACAAACAGGCTTCCAGGTCCCACCTCCAACCCTGCAAAACAACCGAAGGGGAAGCATACTTAAACATGGCGACAGTCTTACAAACACCATACACAGACATCAATGTTTTGATTGATAATTCGCACTTTCTCATCAGCAAGGCTCAATGTTGAAAGCCAGTGCATATATAAGCCAGTCACTGTACTTACACCGTGAAGCAGCATTGAACAGATGAGACATTAATTGTCCTCACTCGCTTATTCCATGGCTAAGCTTTTATTCGCTTTTGCCTGCCCAGTCCCCTGCTGCCACCTTGATCTCCTTTCACAACCACCTAGAGTTGCTCCTAACCAAAGGGGGTTCTGCAAAGGTCACCCAAACATGGCGGCCACCACCATGGTCTGATATCAGAAGCGTGGAGTGGGGTGGGGAACCCATATTCCTCTCCAGCAGGACTTCACTGACCTATTCGGAATGTTCAGAACATACAGACCCGCTATGGGTGACATCTCACTGAGTGTAAATCCACTTAAGCTGGGTGTTGGTGGCGCACACCTTTAATCCCAGCACTCGGGAGGCAGAGGCAGGTGGAGCTCTGTGAGTTCGAGGCCATCCTGGTCTACAGAGCTAGTTCCAGGACAGCCTCCAAAACAATACAGAGAAACCCTGTCTCGAAAAAAAAAAAAAATCCACTAAAGATCCCTTTTCAAAGACACGTGGCAGAGGCAAATAAAATGGAGCTCGTGAGAAGACGGAACACAAGGGGAGGTGCCTGGGCCAGCAGTTGGCACCTCACAAACGAAAGGCGGGCACTGCCCTCTGTCACCTCGTAGTATACTGACTTTCTGTCTCAGCATACTATACACTTCAATCTCATGAATTCCTCTCTACCTTTTGTGACACTTAATTCCCAGGAAAATGGTATCATGATAAATCAAGGTTTATAACTGCAGTATCTTCTAGCACAATTTAAAACAAAAGGTCTTAAGGATAGAGCCCAAAGAACAAATTGTAAGTGAAGCCCACCCTCACCCCCAGCTGTTTAAGTAACTTCATCACAGATACATCCCATTGATGAGGTAGTCAGATTCCTCAGACGTAATGGGACGGGCCTTCTTAAGTTTCTGCTTCACCATTCGGAGCCGGCAAGTCACCATGAGGAGTAACAAAGCCGTGATGGCCAGACCCAGTGCCAAGGGTAACACTGCACCTGTGCAAGGTTTGGGAGGGGAAAACACTGGTCAGTGGTTGGCAGCAGTGACAGCTGGTCACTGTATGTGAGCAACTGGCATGCATTAGTTGACCCTATTTGAACAACTCCAGTTGGTACTAGCATTAATTAATGCTGCTTTTCTGATAAAGGTGCATAAAGGTCAATTCCCCTGTCTACTTATGTATTGTAGGTCTAGTCTTATACCAAGAGCTCTTAAAAACCAAAGTCTTTACCAGGTTCCTGCAGAAGTTTCCTGCCATGGGGAGTAAATGCCACTGCAATGAGATCACCCTTATCTCCAACTATCCTAGAGACTTCAACCATGAGAAATGTTTTCACTAGAATCATCTGACATTTGTGGGTTCACACATGGGCATCTCCTTACTAGCTATGTCTAACTCCTGATTTCAGGTTCTGGTAGGGCTTAAGATAATCATTTCCAGGGCTTGAGAGATGGCTCTCGTTGCCATTCAGAGAACCAACCCAGCTTCAATTCTTAGTACCCACAAGACAGCTCACAACCATCTGTAACTCCAGTTCCAGGGGATCTGATGCCGTCTTCTGGTTCCCATAGGCACCAGGCACACGTGGTGCATAGGCACATATACAGGCAAAACGCCCATAAATTTTTTAAAATTAATTTTTAAAAGATTTATTTATTAATTATGTATACAGTGTTCTGCCTGCATATCAGAAGAGGGCACCAGATCCGATTATAGATGGCTGTGAGCCACCATGTGGTTGCTGGGAATTGAACTCAGGACCTCTGGAAGAACAGTCAGTGTTCTTAACCTTTGAGCCATCTCTCCAGCCCCTTAATTAATTTTTTAAAATCAGGAATCCTACTGTCTTCCAGTAGACTTTGTGTGTGTGTGTGTGTGTGTGTGTGTGTGTGTGTGTGTAAAATAATAAAAAGGGGCCATGAATTTTTTTGGGGGGGGAGATCCATGGGAGAAGGGAGTATTGTAAGTATGTTTTAATTAAAACTAGAATTGTAAAAATATCCTGGTGTAACTTGGCCACTGTTTTTTTCCTTTGGAGCTAGATGGACCTGGGCGGCAGACCAGAGTAGCCTGTAGTTTTCTAGAGTCGACACAGCATGGCAGATCTGTCTGGGATCAAACTCAGCAGGCTCTATTCTTAGTGCCCTCTACCCGGGAGTAGGGCCAGGTCTGTGATGATCATGAGGCTATTTTTAGTTGCACCTTCTTGCAGCTGGACAAACTAGAGGAGCCAACATCTCCATGTGTAACTGTTCTGAAACATTTCAATCTGCTTATTTATTCTCTGTTGATGAATAGCATTTCATGTGCCAGACACTGGCCTGAGTGCTCACAGAAACACCCCAAGGATAAGCTAATACTAAATGCCAGCTTTATAGCTGAAATAAATGTGCACAACCACGTGAGCAGGGAGTAACATTGTAGCCATTTTACAAACAGTGGAAACTGGGGCATCTAATACTTCCTGTGTCATACTGGGTGCAGCACCCCCCACCCATCCAGGACAGAGCCTGTGGTCTAGTCCCTGCAGTGCTGGTTTCTCCAGGGTGGATGTGAGAACATGTGTGAGTAACTTAATTCTGAAAGGATAGACCACCAATGTACGACAGAACTGTGTTTAAAATCTAATGGTGGATCGAAGTGTCTGGCTGGTAAGATTTTTGCTAGAATGATTTGGATCTTTTGTGGGAGCTCAATTTGGGGGAGGAAGGAAGATAAAGTTTGTTACATGTATGTACTTTGGAGCATTTTCTGATTGACATGCCTGTAAGGCAGTGGTTCTCAACCTTCCTGATGCTGTGACTCTTCAACACAGTTCTGAGTGTTCGTCTCTGGGCATAGCTGCATGTAGGTGGACCTGCCTGGAGATGGACAGAGGAGCAGTCTCGCATATTCCTAATGGCTTAGGTGACCCTTTCATTCAACCCCAAAAGAGTCACAGGCTGAGAACCACTGCTGTAGGGACAGGTGAAATGTCCCCTTAGACTCTTGATTATCTTGTCTAGATACATTGTAGCTGCTACAATGAAGTGAGATCAATAGATAGAAAGGAAGAAGAGCCGGAGTAGACTCCAAAGGGCAAGAGTCAGAAGACAAAGATGCAGAAAGCCAACAGAAGGAAACGCCATCACAGGAAGTAGTTCTAATGAATGGGATGTTCTGATGGGCTCAGGGTGGAGCCTGGAGAGATTGCTGGCTGGATTCGCAAATGGAAATTTACTTACAGCAGACAGGGCTACGTTCTATTTTGTGCATTGAAAAAGACCAGATTGTTTGCCGACACATAGGGTATGAACCAATGAGACTAACAGATGATGGCAAGATGCTCTTGGAGAAACAGCACCATCAGGATTCAGGACAGGTGGCCTTGGAGAGAGGGAGGAAAGGGAGAGAGGGCGGGGCAAACACAAGTCTGTTTGAGGGCAGGTAGCCAAGGTAGTTCTCTCCAGGTAGCCTTAACTTTTAGGCATTAAAAATTGGCCCCAGGAGTGGCTGGCCTTACCTTGACATGACCTAAAGCTGATTTCATACTAGGAGCTTTTCAAAGTCTAGGTTAGCATCCTACAAGGACTATCCTTGTCTCACACACACACAAACACCTAAAATGTAGTACCTGCCAGAATACTGAAACATATTTCTTTTTTAAATTAAGTTGCATGTATGTGCGTTTGTAGGTGCTCATACCCATTTTTATGTGTATCTGTGTGTGTGTGTGTGTGTGTGTGTGTGTGTATACATGGTCTTGCAAGTGCAAATACATGTGTGTGGAGACCAGAGGTTGACACTGAATATCTTTCACTATTTGCTCCATCTTATCTTTTGAGACAAGGTCTCTCATTGAACCTAGAACTCATCTATTGGCTAGAACAGCTGCCCACTGAGCTCTAGGGACCACCCATTTCTATTACCTTCAGGGCTAAAGTTACATATTTGTGTGACTAATGCCCAGCTCCTTTGTGAATGCCACAGACCCAAACTTAGGTCCATGTTCCTGTACAGCAAGCATTTTACAGGCTGTAGTGGCTCAGACGTTAAGAGCACTGATTGCTCTTACAGAGATCCTGAGTTCAAGTCCCAGAAACCACATGGTGGCTCACAAACATCTATAGTGAGATCTGATGCCCTCTTCTGAACTAAAGATGTACATGTAGATAGAGCACTCGTGTACATTAAAGAATTATAATAAAAAGGAAATGACCCTCCAAGGGAGTGGCACTATTAAGATGTGTGTCCTTGTTGGAGTAGGTGTGGTGTCACTGAAGGAAGTGTGCCACGTGTGGAGCTGGGCTTCGAGGTCTCAAGCTACTGCTCAGTATCTCAGTCCACTTCCTTTTGCCTGTATATCAAGATGTAGCCAGCACCATGTCTTCCTGCATGCCACCATGCTACCTGCCATGAAGATAAAGAACTAAACCTCTGAATTGTAAGACAACACCTCAATTAAAAGTTTTCCTTATAAGAATCGTGTCTCTGCGCAACAATAGAAATCCTAAGACACTGGCTGAGCCATCTTCCCAACCCCTCATTTTTTTTGAGACAGGATTTTGCTACATAGTCCACACTGGTTGGTCTCACATTTGTGAACCTCCCTCTGCCTCTGCCTCCCAGGGCTGTAATCCTATTCTTTGCTGTTTAATTCTTATTTGATATAGCTTCTTCAATACTTTCAGTTTGGGTAATTTGAAATTATTTTTCCCCCAGCTCCTTCTAAAACACAGTGGCAGAATTGTCAGTAACCAGCTAGAGTGAAGCCTCTCTTTTTCATATCCGTGCTTAAACAAGTATTAAAATGTCTTAATAAATTCCAACTCTGTATCATAAAAACTAAGATGATGAATTATCTATTCTGTTTGTATGAACTGGAATGATAGTCAAACCACCTTATCAACTAGAATTGTTAGCTTAACAACTCCATTAGAACCGAGACTCCAGAGACATGTGGCCATGGGCTCTAGAGGGAGTCTGGCTTCTCTCTCCATGCTGACAGGTGACAGGGAATCTTATTCTAACATTCTGAGACAAGCCAAATCCAATAGACCAGCAGACTGCAGGAGATGCAGACAGCTGCTTGACATTTGCATTGTGCTTAGGTATCAGTTGTTGAAGAATTAAATTTGGTATTATCCAGTCATAAAAAGGCCACAAGGAATATTCTAGTGGGAAAAGACAGCTTTGTTCATGTTTAGATCAATAATTTAGGGTTATGTTTTGTTCTGCTAGGTCGTTTTGCTGACTTAGTGTGCAGGGTTCAGGAGTAAAGCCTTTCTCAGGACTTTCAGGGGGGGTCTTTCCAGTTAAAAGCAACCCAAATGGTGAAGCTATCCTTCCACATGTCGGTGTTCCAACCTGCTTCCTGTGCTTCCCACCTTCCTGTCGTGGTCTGTCATTAGAGCACAGACTCTCTTCCTTACTCTTTTACCGCACACATAATTCGATCTTAACAGCCACCATCTGTAACCAATGCAGCAGACTCAACACTGTGCTGCATTCACCCTCCACAGCCACCCTGTGAAGTAAGACTGGTTACTGCTGTCACCTCCCATGAAGTCACTAGATTCCAGAGACAAGAACCTGACTGTGCAGAGCCAGAATTTGATCCATCCTGGAACTCGCTCAGATAGACTGTGCTATCTGATCCATCCTGGAACTCGCTCAGTAGGCCAGACCGGCCTTGAACTCAGAGAGGCTCCTGGCTCTGCCTCCTGTGTGTGGGGACTAAAGGTGTGTGCACCATGCCTGGCTGAGCCGGTGTTCTTAACCTCTGTGACACAAGTGTGACTTTTCCTACAGAGTGATCCCTGGAAGGGTGTATGAAAGACAAAGTGAGATCCAAGGTCTTTGGTGGCCACTGTCAGGGTCACCAGGATGTGACTTTAAGAGGAGAAAACAGCTCTGGTCCCTGGAGCTCCGCCTGCCATGCAGCCAGAGCCTGGGGATTCTGTGGACCTCACTGCTCTGGGGTGTATCCCAGGCAAACACTGACCTGCTTCTGGGGCTGGGTGTTCCCCTCGTGCTTGATCCCTCTTGGACTGGAAAATGTAACTTCCTTCTTCTTGGTTCCTTCCTGAGGAATTACCGTCTATGAAAAGTAAACAGATAATATGTTAAAGGGACATTAAAAACTTCAGAATTGGCATGGAATTACAGCTTTATTTACCTTTTAATTTAGGTACATATCTGTCTGAGTGCATGATGTGTATGTGGGTGCCCACAGAGGCCAGTTGTGAATTCCCTGATCTGGGATTCAGTCTTGGCTTCTCTGGTTAACCACCAAGTAATTTCTCTGGCCCCTTATTTATTTATTTATTTGTTTGTTTTTTTTTCGAGACAGGGGTTTTCTGTGTCACAGCTCTGGCTGTGCTAGAATTCACTTTGTAGACCAGGCTGACCTTGAACTCACAGATATCTGCCTGCCTCTGCCTCCCGAGTGCTGAAATTAAATGTGTGCACCACCTCACCTGGCTCCCTTACCCACATTTTAAAAGATAGACTTAGAGAATGGAATGGCAGGATTTATTTTTAAATTAACATGGGCCAGTTGGGCATGGTGACTCATGCCTTTAATTCTAGGACTCAGGAGACAAGGGAAGATGGATCTCTGTCAGAGACCCCGAGAGTCTGATGGCTTGGAGTTAGATGATCTGCTGGAGATGAAGGATGACTTAGCACCACTTTCGGCACTGGTTCAAAACTTCCAGAATCTGACCTTGTTGATTCTTTTTGCACATTTAAACACAGTGGGAAATGTTTCCATGTGGCACACACTAAGTAGAATCTAGGAGTTGGCTAACTTTTTACCACTGAGCTATGTCCTGGTACCCTTTGTTCATTTTCATTCTGAGGTACCCACCAAAAAGCTTTGAAATGGCTCTCTCCAAATGGTCCAGAAGTCATTTAAACAACCTTAAGTTGATTATCATGTTTTTTTTTCTACTGATGAGTGAAGGATAATAACATTCCTGGGGCTGGGGTTGCAGTACATGGCTAGGTTAGCATGGCCACGCTCTGCTTGGTTTAAGTCCCTGGAATCCCTACCTTACCAGCCCCCAATCACTGCTTAGGAATATTCAAATATCTTCCTGTAGGATATTGTTCTAAGATCATCATCTCTCCCTGTGTCCAAACAGAGGGTACGTAAATGAACCCGCTGATTGGTTTAAGTGAGTTTTTCCATAGAAGTCAACAAGTCAAGGAAGGAGGGCCTACACCTCTCAAAATCTCAGGGAAATAACCTTTGACTATCCTCATTCGCATTAGGGTTAGATGAGGGCTAGGTGGGTCAGGAGGGCACTGAAGATGGGTTGCTGAAGACTAAGGAGTTTCTTAGAGTAGTTACTAATGCAGGGACGGACAGACAGATAGGCAGATGGATGGATGGATGGAGGAGGCAATAGTGGAGGTTCCAAGGAGACTGCAGTATCCAATACCACAGATGGCAGGGTGGGGATCTGAAGAGGACCAGTGGTCTTGTGGCAGGAGAGCCTCTTATGACTTTAAAAACAATCATTTATCTGCATTTCATGTGCTTTGCTGTTCTGCCTGTGTGTGTCTGTGCAGGTGTCAGACGCCTTGGAACAGGAGGTACAGACAGTTGTGAGCTGCCACACAGGTGCTGGGAATTGAACCTGGGTCCTCTAGAAGAGCAAGCAGCCAGTGCTCTCAACCACTGAGCCATCTCTCCAGCCCCCTCTTATGACTCTTTAAGGCTGGGGGACTTTCCAGCCGGGGCCCCAAGCCAGGCTTTCTCGTTCTCAAACAGAAAGCAAGGAGGTAAACATTCTGCCAGTGCCTTAACAGCAGTGCCATCCGATGGGAACTCACTTCCGGGGGGGGGGAGTACTGATGGAGTGACTCAGTAGGGTGCCTGTAGGGGGTACTGGGAAGAGCGCACTCTAACATTACATTCTTGGAGTCCGTGATGGATGAACCTCCTCACACTGGATATTCCAATTGTTTGGGATGGGTTCCCACCACCGTCTTGGAAGGATACAACTTTTACAGCTGTTCCATAGACCACATTCCCACAGGTCCTAACTACCTTACTAGAACTGTGATCAAATAGATTCCCATTGGTTGCCCCATCACACGAAATGTGAGAACTCTAGACAAGACCACTAAGAAGGAAACCTTTAAGACAAGTCCTTAGTCTCCCCCCTCCACCCCCCCCATGGCACCTTCTAGGAGGTTGGCCATTCAAGACGAAGCTGACTATCTCTTCCCAGCTGTCAGAAACTCATTGAAGTGCACGATGAACACAAGCTTCGAATGTTCTGTGAGAAGTGCGTGGCCACCCAAGAAGCCGCTGATGCTCTGGGGGAAGAGAGGAAGGCCCATGTGGTGTGAGTCAGTGGCGGGAACCGCAAACAAGGGTTTCCCGTGAAGCAAGATGTCTTGACCCATGACAGAGAGCCCCTGGTGTTGAGTACAGGGCAATCTCATGGCAGATCTCGGAGAATTGGATAGAGGAAATGCAAGCCGTCTGTTCAAGGATGCATTGCGGACACCATCTGAGTGTTCTCGACACATGTTTTTGGTTATTAAGAAAAAGGGGGAGGGGAGAAGGATATTCCTGGCTGGCAGATACGACTGTGCCTCAATGGTTGGTGCTCCAAAGAGCTAGCAGAGGGCTTTCGATCTCTCTGAAGAAGATGATGCCCACCAACATGTTTCCTGAAAGACCTTAAACAAAGCCCAGAACCAAAGCACCCGAGATTCAGCACCTATTAGCCTACATGTCCTGAAACTCAAACAGTGATACACTGCTCTAAAGAAATAATGCGTGAAGAAAAACAAACGTGAGGCTGCTGGACATTCTATACTCATGGTCAAGAGGATGAAGGAAGCCAAAGCAAAGCCCCGGGAATGGAGGCTGTCCTTGTCGAGAGCCTCTGCTTCTGAACCGAGACAAAAGTAAGTCTGGACGAGTAACAAGTAAATGATCAGACTGGAACCCAAAACAAATAACTCAGTCCTTAAAGCTAGTAGAGTAGCTTACAATGAATAAGACCCTGAATTGGACTCCCAGCATTATATAAATAAGTGAACAAGTGCCCTTAAAATAAAGACCCTTTATATAGCTGTTACCCCAAAGGTAAGCTAAGGCTTGAGGCTTTGGTGTACTTCGTGGAGGAAGAATGCCGCACCTGTATGCAGAACATGTTTTGGGTTGTGAGCTTGTTTCAGCCCAGTTCCTGGAAGGACTTGGCTGATCTGCTACCACCCACAAATTCTTGAGTTCCCAGTAACCAGAGCCCATGTAAACGGACGCACAACACTCCTTTATGCCACTCTGCAGGCCTGGAAAACGGCTTCCTTCCTCCCAGGTAGCCTGGATGCAAGAAGACAGTCTTATTCATCGGTGACGTGGACCACACAGAGAACAGACCCTTCAGCTGCAACCACAGTCAACGACAATCCAGCCATTGTGCCATGAGATGCTGAGCAAACACAGCCCACACTGGAACTCTGTGCTCCCAAACGCCGGGAGCTAGGGACATTCTGAACACGCATTCAGTGTGTAACCAAACATTTATACATGCCCCATACAATCTTTAAAAACCAAACCCTGCATTTGAGGCTGAGGGTTCATTTCAGTGGTTCAGTGAGTGTTCTGTATCTATAAAGTGCTGAATTTAATCCTCAGCATGCACGAAAAATGGTGCCTGTATTGAACACATACAGAGACTTTTTTCTTGTCATTAGTCCCTAAAAAAAAAAAAAACCACAGTGTAAGAGTTATTTACTTAGTACTTGCATTATATGAGGAATTGCACGTACTTTGGAGATGGTGTGCAGCATACAGGAGGATGTGTGTCAGTCACATGAAATTATAATGCCATTATTGTTTTTTATATTCATTTGGATATATGTGGGGAGTGGCATACATGTATGCCATGGCCCATGTGTGGAGATCAGAGGATAACCCGTAGGATTCGGTTCTCTCCATCAGGTGAGTCCTTGGGGTTGAACCCAGGTCGTTAGGTTCTGCAGTGAGTGCCTGGACTCACTGAGCTGTCTGAATGTCCTGTATTGCTACTTTGACAGATGGGGCTTGGGCATTTCAAACTTTGCTTCTCACAGGCCCTGGAACCGATCCCTCAGGGACATCAAGACATCAAGGGAGGACTGTTTTGATGTGACATTCCTTCCCATAAACCAACACTTGGTTTCTTTTCAGTGCTGGAATCAGATCCAGAGGCTCTGGGCTCTAGACAAGTGTTCTTCAAGTGACCTACAACCGCAGAGCACCTTCATTGCATTAGGACAAATGGCAAATTTTTCATTTCGGTTTGTATCATTCTCCTTTGGAGCACATCTCCTTAGTGGTCTTCACGCATGAAATATAACTTATAGTCATACAAACAACAGAGAACAAAGACTATTCATGGACAACTCGTTTTGAGTCCTTACCCGGCATGACTGGAAAGATTTGACTTTCTGGTGCCTTCTGGGTGGAGTGAATCCTCTTTTCCGACTTGGGTACAGTAGCTGGTTGGTTTTGGGAAGTGACTTTCTGGGGCTTTTCAAACCAGGGGTCTCCTTCCCCTTCACTCAGTCCGGTGGTCCCTGGCTGGGCAGAAGTAGCCACTGTGTGCGCCACCATCCGGCGGTCGAGGCCCACTGTGGAAGAACTCCGTTACTTGCTGGGTTTCTTTTTTATTTAATATTTGTTGATTTATTTACTTATTTATGTGTGTATGTGTGTGTGTGTGTCCATAGAGGTCAGAGGAAGGTACTGGAACTGGAGCTACAAAGGGTTGTGAGCCGCCATGTGGGTGCTGGGAATCGAACCTGGGTCCTCTAGAAGAGCAACCAGTGCTCATAGCCACTAAGACATCTCTCCAGTCTGACTTGCTGGGTTTCAGTCTCTCTCTCTCTCTCTCTCTCTCTCTCTCTCTCTCTCTCTCTCTCTCTCTCTCTCTCTCTCTCTCTCTCTCTCTCTCTCTCGTGTGTGGGGGTGTGTACATTGTGTATGGCAGCCAGAGGATAACCCTGTTGTTCCTTAGGTGCCATCCACCTCTGTTTTTGAGACAGATTCTCCTACTGGCTTAGAACCCAGAACTTATCAAGCAGGCTAGGCTGGCTGACCAGCGGCCTCCTGGAATCATCCTGTCTCTGCTGCCTCAGTACGGGATCACAACCACAGACCTCCACACTTGCCTTTTTCACACGGACACTGAGGAATTACCAACTCAGCCTTGGGTTTCTTTTCTGAACTTCAACTGAGACTATTGTATCTGCAGTTGATTAAAAATCATGGCTACTTGAGACTAATGTCCACTCAGCTAAGACATGCCGAGCCCAATAAAACCTATTGCTTACTTTTTAAATGGGCAATGTGTTCTTTCCTCTTTTAGTAGCTCTCCTAACATGGACAAAGACAAATACAGCCTTTTTTTTCTGCCTCTCTACTTTGATAGCAATGGGGGTTGAACCTTAGACCTCACGCATATGAGGCCAGCTCTAAACGGCTGAGCTACTCCTCAGTTCCTAAGCCTCAGGTTTTGGGATTTGCTTTTTGTTTCTTTGTTTCTTCCTTTCTTACACCAGCGTTTCAGTTAGCTGCTTCCTACAGCTCTTCTTTCTTGTGGTGTACTCTTAAGTACATGACTCTCACAAAACTGACTTAGAGCTCCAACTCAGCCATACCCCAGTGGGTCATAAACGGTCCTTTAAAACTGTAAAAGCAGCGCCAAACGTGGTAGAGGCACTCGCCTATAATCCCAGAACTTGGAAAGTTAAGGCTAGAAGATTGTGAGTGTGAGGTCAGCCTGGGCTACATGGCAAGTTTGTATCAGGGAAGGGGGGAAGGTGTATCACACACTACATGAGGTCAGAGGGCAACGTGTAAGAGTCAATTCTGTCTTCCCACCACTGTGGGTCCTGGGAATTAGACTCAGGTCATGAGGCTTCAGCAAGTGCCTTTATTCACTGAGTCATCTTGCCAGCCCTACCTACTTCAGGTTTTCAAAAGTGCATGTTATGCAATGCTTTAAAGATAATGAAAACCCTTGGAAGTTATAAAAATAATATGCAATACCAAAAAGTTGTCATCTGCAACTCAGACAATAACCTCAGTGAGTTCTCAAGCAACTCAGACAATAACCTCAGTGAGTTCTCAAGCATAGCTTTTCTGCAGAAAGTCATGCCTAAAGCACGCAGCGGCAGAACACAGGGTTCCCATTTTAACCCCAGAACACAGACATGCCTGTGCCGACCCTTCCAGATCCCTGCCTGATAAGGCCATGTAGCTGACTCACAGTTTTGACAGAAGTCTTCGTCAGACCCATCTGGACACTGCCTTACTCCATCACAAGCCAAGGTGATGTCAATGCAGCAGCCATTGTCGCAGAAGAAATGGTATCTCGAGCAAACACTGTAGCATCCTGTTTGTGAACAAGTCTCAGGTCACAGGGCTGCTGAGACAGCTAACATCCCCTGTCAAGGTGACCAGGGAAAGGGATCTCAAAGCAGGGCAAAGTGACAGTGATGAGTAGGACATAGAGAGCTGGCCCCTCCATCGCTCACCCACGCCAAACTCTCAGGGCTGCCCCAGCACTCTCTGTCTGAAAGTCGTTCCCCAAGCCTTTGTTGCCCTGGCTCATTTGCCAGCAGCTCATCTTGCATCCAATTCACTCATTTATCCGTCACAGGACCTCTTTGTCAGGTGAGTCACCTGACACCATCCCGGCCCTTTGCAGACCGTGCAAGCAACACCATTTTATATGTTCTGTGTCTTGAATTCTTTTTTTTTTTAAGTAAGACATTTTCCCCCCTGAGATTACCACTGACTCTCACATGTAGATGACCGGGTTGCTAGTGTTGTGGAGGATGATCTGTATGCAGCTACTGGCTGGTGTGAATATACTTTTGTGAAATAATGGCATTATTCCCTCTTGGAACTTTCAATCTGCAGTGAGATGCATAGGAACTACAGGTATTTTCTTGAAAGGCATTTTTCTCTACCCTTGATTAAGCCAAGTTTGCTGAGTAAGAATCATGTGGGGGCTAGAGAGATGACTCAGCAGTTAAGAGCACTGACTGCTCTTCCAGGGGACCTGGGTTCAATTTCCAGCACCCACGTGACAGATGACAACTGTCTGTAACTCCAGTTCCAAGGAATCTGACACCCTCAGACATACAGGTAGACAAAACACCAGTGCACATAAAAACTAAAAATAAATTTAATTAAAAAAGAGGTAACTCTCGGGTGATAGATATGAAAGTTATCCAGTTAGAAGCAGGTCTGAAGGAGTCCTACAATTCGATGGTGACAGGATTGACTGACTAAATGGCTCACTAACAGTGAATGCTAAGCATTGATGGCGTGCACAAATGCAATCTGACACTTTATTGAAAAGCAGTCAATGAAAAGACTAGAAAGTGAGTCTCTCTGGGTGCAAGGTGATTGGAAGATAGCTTGATTCCAAAGGAGAAAGAAAGTAAAGAAACAATGGCAGAAGCTGCCTAGCAGCAAAGATCCTCCACCCCGACAGAAACTTAGACCTGCAGAGTCAGCAACAGCCACCAGGGGGAGCAAACGGAAATGAGGGGCTGTAACTAAGCAACCTTACACATGTGACAGGAAAACCCCGGATTGCAGGGCTTTCCTTCTGTGTAGTTTTAACAGACAGATTTGCATTTATAATTAATATTTTTTTCTGAAATAGTCGTCTCCAAACTTACTAAACATTTGAAATTCACTCATAAATAATATGCATGCACTCTTGTTCTGAAACCCTGTACCCAAGAGGGGCTGCCGGACCACTGCGTGGGTGAAGGTGCTTGTCCAAGCCTGAACACATGAGGGCCATCCCAGGAACCCTTATACTGACCCAACGCCCTGCAACGTCACTGACCTTCTCACATACCTGTGAAGAGCAGGCATACACACCACATGTACACACAGGCACACACAGAGCATGAGACATCACACGCCTTCTCAAATACACTGAAACTTTCCAGAAGATTGAAAACGAATGAAAAAAATCAAAGTTTAAGTGTCTTATTTTCCTGCCCTAAAGAATAGTCTTCAGCATCGGGCGGGTGGGGTTTGTCCTTGTTTGAAATCACTGTTCTAGCTCATACTGAAGTGCTCTCCAGCCAGCTGTCTGAATAGATGGCGCGCACACACACTAAAGGAGACAGACACACCTGTCCAGTCCCCACCTCTGATTTCCACTGTTTATACTTGGTATTTCATGGCTCCATGGCACACTCTCTGGTTGAACAAATAAGTGATCAGGTAGGAATTGTACCACACTCACTTTTTTGTTGTTGTTTCTTGTTTGTTTTTTTTTTCAAGATGGGGTTTCTCTGTGTAGTCCAGGCTGTCCTGGAACTCACTCTGTAGTCCAGGCTGTCCTGGAACTCACTCTGTAGCCCCAGCTGTCCTGAAACTCACTGTGTAGTCCCAGCTGTCCTGGAACTCACTCTGTAGACCAGGCTGTCCTGGAACTCACTCTGTAGTTCAGGCTGTCCTGGAACTCACTCTGTAGCCCCAGCTGTCCTGGAACTCACTGTGTAGTCCCAACTGTCCTGGAACTCACTGTGTAGTCCCAGCTGTCCTGGAACTCACTGTGTAGTCCAGGCTGTCCTGGAACTCACTCTGTAGACCAGGCTGTCCTGAAACTCACTCTGTAGACCAGGCTGTCCTGGAACTCAGAGATCCACCTGTCTTTGCCTCCTGAGTGCTGGGATTAAAGTCGTGCATCACCATACCCAGCTTCTGTGAAAATATTTTAGTGAGGCTTTTCAACTGACTCATGAGCCCTGCATATTTTAGTCTACTTGTACTCACTTACCACACATTTTTCATTATTATATTTCTTAAACGATTTATTATAGGAACTACTGATTAGTAAAGTCTCCATTCTGTCCTGTGATATGCTTCTCCTCCTTGCTTCCCATATTTTATTTTATATTTTTATTTTTTGGTTTTACGAGATAGGGTTTTTCTGTATTGTTTTGGAGGCTGTCAGTCCAGCCTGGCCTCAAACTCACAGAGATCCATCCACCTGCCTCTGCCTCCCAAGTGCTGGGATTAAAGGCGTGCGCCACCACCGCCCGGCTCCCATATTTTATTTTTAATTGATGGAATGGAAAATAATAGTACATAGTGCACAACAGTATGTTTGGTATATGTCTGTATTATAGAAAGACTAATGCAAGTCATTTACTAAATTCATCACCTTACCTACTAATTTCCTGTGGTAAGGACATTTAAGCTTAGTCCTTGGCAATTCTAGAATGTACATTCCTATCAGTCATGGTCCATGCTCTGCAGTGGAGGTCCCCAGAACTCACTCCTTCTGTCTAACTGGAATTTTGACAAGCATTTCCTATACAAATGACCCCAGAGTGAGTGAGCACCATTCTTCCCTCTGCTCCCATTGGCCGGACTGTTTAAATGTACACCTTAGTCGCACACTTCAAACACATACGAGAAAGACCCTCTGTCCTTATAGAAAATCCTCTCCTAGACAAGCCGGGCACTGTCTTGAACAAGGTCAAAGAGGGAAGGTCAGCTCACAGGACCAGATAGTTAGGCCCTGAGAATAACCTCTACATTCTAACCAGTGGGGCCAAATTGTCCTCAACACAGAGCCTGTGTTTGCTATTATAGTGTTAGCAAAAACTTTCAGCACGGAAAGTACGATGGAAGAGCCCATGACATGCTGTGAACCTGGCTGTCACCGGGATGTAAAATCCCACAGACACCAGCCTCCCACGAATGGGGGGGGGGTTTGGCTGGCCATGGGGAGCTCAGTGGAAGGGCTTTCTCCTCACCTCCCGTGGAATAGGTCCTGGGAAGCACACTCACGGACACATTGTCAGAGTTTCTCTGGCCCACTGTGTCAGTCACAGTCAGCTGGAAGATGTACGCTCCTTCCTTCAGGTGGGACAGCTCCAGGAGTCCTGGCTGAGGCACCTGTCATACAGACATGTTCAGGGAAGAGAGCTGAGCACAGGGTCCGGGAACACACGTGAACATGTACACCTGCCCCCATCCCCACAACAAATCATTGGCTCATCCTTTCTCCTTAGAAATGATATATAAGCTGGTCAGTGGTGGCGCACGCCTTTAATCCCAGCACTGGGGAGGCAGAGGCAGGCGGGTCTCTGAGTTTGAGGCCAGCCTGGTCTGCAGAGTGAGGACAGAAATTACTTCTGATGTACAAATTAACCAAAAAGCTGAGATGTAAGGGAGACAGGAAGGAAGTCCTGCACAGGTTCAGCCGGTCACTTACATAAACACAGGATGGGGGACGCCGTGACGGCGGCTGCCATGTGGAAAGATGAAGCAGGCGGTGGGAAACCGTGCTGAGAGCAGGCTCAGCACGAACGCATCGTATGTCACAACTGCAAACACATCGTGCCACTAGCTTCACTAACAGGTGTTGAGACAAATGTTCAGATCACACGAGGGAGCAGAGGGTCAGAAGGGACCACAGCATGCGGGAAGAATTCCTTTAAGGGTTTCAGATGTGTGAAGGATACACATCTAAGAAAATCCAGGGGCTGGAGAGATGGCTCAATGGTTAAGAGCACTGACTGTTCTTCCAGAGGACCCAGGTTCAATCCCCAGCACCCACACGGCAGCTCACAGCTCTCTGTACCTCCTGTTCCAGAGGACCCAACACACATGGCAAAACACCAATGCACATTAAGAAAGAAAGAGAGAGAGAGAGAGAGAGAGAGAGAGAGAGAGAGAGAGAGAGAGAGAAGAAAATCCATATCAGGCTAGAAGGCAGATGGTCTGGCAATCAGTATAAGAGATTCTATGCAGAATAAAAAAGATTTGATCAGCATTTTCCAAAGGGAAGCCCTGGTGCCAGGCATAGAGGTACAGACGGAGCTGATGAACAGTGCGTTAGGACACTGGTCAAAACCCCTTTGGGTATCAGTTATCCTGCGTGTCAGTTACTTATATTACCATTCATAACAGTAGCGAAGTTACACTCAGGAAGTAGCAACAAAATAATTTTATGTTTGGGGGTCAACACAACATGAGGAGGTAAGCCAAGCAGTGACGTCACACACCTTCAACCCGAGGACGTGGAAGGCAGAGGAAGGCCGATCTCTGTGAGTTCAAGGCCAGCCTGGTCTACAGGACAATCAGGACTATGCAGAAAAACCCTGTCTCAAGAAACCAAAAAGAAGGAGGAAAAGGAGAAGGAGGAGGAGGAGAATTCTTTACATGATAACATTCTATTATTAGCTTTCTCTTTCTATTCATTTATTTCATGCTTCCTAGCCAGGAACTTGTGATGTAGTCTAGGCTGGCCTTGAACTTGTGATCCTTCTGTCTCACAACTCCTTGAGTACTGGAATTTCAAGCATGTGCCATTACACTTGGACACTGCCCAAATCTTATACTAAAAAACCAGAATTATTGAAACACAGTGTAAGTCTTTCCCCTGGAGCTGAAGGAGCAGGACCCTGGCAAGCTTCAAAGCCAATGATTGAGACTGTTTATTAAGCACAAAAGGGAGTTTACAGAATAAAGTATTTTTAGGATAATTGATTTTATAATTTCTCCATTTTATGCATGCTCTGTCTGTTCACAGGCATTCAGGGAATATGAAGGACATTACAGAAATCCACTTCTCAGAAACACCAATTTTTGTTAGCAAGAATGACAAGAATTGCCAGGTGTCGTTGGCACACACCTTTTGTCCCAGCACTCAGTGGGTGAATCTCAAGGTCAGCCAAGTCTATAGATGGGAGTTCCAGGACAACCAGAACTACACAGAGAAACCCTGTTTTGAACCCCCCCAAAAATCACATGAATTACCTTCATGTCTACTGACGGGTCACCCTGCTTCAACACCCACTCATAATGGACAATAGCGTGGTCATCTGTGCTTTCTCGGCCGTCCAGAATCACCCCATCTGTGGGTAGATGCAAGACCACATCCTTCCCGGCCTTGCTAAGTGGCGGCTCGTCCTCACCTGTGAAAAAGAACAGAACTCAGAGGCATGACTCTCAGATTTCCAACCCACCAAGAGCAATTATCTAGTTTGCAGACCAGATTAGTCCATCCAAAAAACCTCAAAAAGAATAAACATCAACTGAAATCTATCTTCCTGTTAAATTCCATCACGTCCCCTTTAAACACCCAGCAATAAACCAGCAATCGGTTCTGACATGGGATTTTAGCATGGGGAAGAGGAAGTATGGAGTGCAGCTTAGCTGTTCTCAGTAGCTATAGAAAACTAATAACACATTTAAAATGTTTTTAATGATTTATTTCTATTCTATGTGCATTGCTGTTTTGCCTGCATGTATGTCTGTGTGAGTGTGTCAGATTCCCTGCAACTAGAGTTACAGATAGTTGTGAGCTGCCATGTGGGTGCTGGAAATTGAACCCGGGTCCTCTGGAAGATCGGCCAGTGCTCTTAACTGCTGAGCCATCTCTCCAGCCCCCAATAATATTTTTTTTAAAAAACCTTCTAAAGTTTTCCATGGAAGTGTCAGGAAAGCACTGAATTATTTTGCTTGCCGTGAAACAAATTAATCCTGCCTCCCCTGAAGGAAAGTCATGATAGTCACAGACTTGTTTAAGTGGGCCATAGATGTGATTTCTAAGCCCAGGGAAGCCTTCAAATCCTAACTTAACCTCTGATGATCTCTGAAATAACAATTCCTCCTTAGCTCCAGTCCAGGCTAATTATACTGTAAAATGTATTTTGAAACAAACCAGAGCTTATCTACACAGAAGCATTCCTGGAAGCAAACAGAGGGCCAAACTCAGCAAGAACAAGATAAATGTTGATTTTTGAATTTCCATTATAAAAAATGTGATTGACCATGTACATCCTATGGAAACATTGATTTCCCTTGGAAACTAAACACAGCTGGTAAGACAGAGGCAAAACACGGCTCAGAGCAACTGAGACTGAGTGTCTCAAGGTGGGATTTGCTCTAGAGAATGATAATGTTGGCTGGCCTCATTCACAACACACCACTGTGAATGGAACCTTCCTGATAAGACCTTCTGAATCTGTGCCATAGTGCAAAGGCTGCAGATGGACTGAGAAATAAAGAAGGACCTGCAGACGGGGCAGGGAAGGGGGCTGCAGGGAAGAGGGGAACACAGGAGGAGAGCCAGCTGCGTTAGTTTGTTTTCATTTCCTGGGCTGGAGAATCGATCATTTGTTTTTAAATTGCATCACGCCAGAGTAGAAAGGAAGGAAGGAAGGCAGGGATGGAAGGAGGGAGAGAGGGAGGGAGGGAAGGAGGAAGGAAGGAAGGGAAGAAGGAAGAAAAAGAAAGAAGGAAGGAAGGAAAATGGAATGTAAAAAATAACAAAAAAGAAGAGAAAGAAAGAAGGAAAGGAAAGGAAGGAAGGAAGGAAGAAAGAAAGAAGGAAAGAAAGAAAGAAAGAAAGAAAACATACCCACCATTCCAGTAGAAGTCTCATGTTCAGTATGTGGAGTCCAGTTTTTCCCATATGACACTGACGATCACATACAACTGTATTTACATAATTACGGCTGCTGCCATTTACTGGTGTGTCCTTTGCACCACGCAGCATGCTGAGAGCTCTACGGGCCTCACCTCACTGTCAGTCTGAAGCAGGCATTATGAGTGGCAGACGTGGGCTCAGAGAAGCTGAGTCAGGTGCCTGATGTCACACGCCAGTGGTAAGCCTACATCGGATGCTCCTAAGTCACAGGCTGCTTCCGCTACACTTTTTCATTATCTTAATAATTTATAGAGTTGAAGCCATTAATGCATTGCTCTGTTCCACCCGTTAATGTTTATTCAGACATCTTAGCAATGTCAATGAAATTACATAAACGCCACAACTTCCATTTTGACTTCTTTTTTAGATTTCTGGGATCACACTCAGAACCCGTATCCTGCCAGAGTCACCCTTCCTGCATCCATTTTTTTCTTATCCCCCAAAATTGGACATTTATTTTTTTCACCAACTTTATCACTATAAATAATGTCACAGTAACCTTATTTTTGTGCATACTATTTCTCCTTTAAAAATAAAGCCTAAAACAGTGGTTCTCAACCTGTGGGTCGTGACTCCTTCAACAAACCTCTATCTGCAAAAAAAAATCTTTACATTACGATTCATATTATTTTTGAAGTAGTAACAAAAATAATTTTATGGTGGTGGGGGCGGTCACCACAACATATGGAACTATATTAAAGGGTCACAGCATTAGGGAGGTGGAGAATCACTGTTCCAAGAGAATGAGTATTTTAAGCCAGGCATTGGTGGCGCACGCCTTTAATCCCAGTACTCCGGAGGCAGAGGCAGGCGGATCTCTATGAGTTCGAGGCCAGCTTGGTCTACAGATTGAGTTCAAGGACAGCTTCCAAAACAATACAGAGAAACCCTGCTTTGAAAAACAAAACAAAACAAAACAAAAAAACCCCAAAACAACAACAACAAAAAAGAATGTGTATTTTAAATCTCCAATAAATTATTTCCTAGTAGGTTTCCAAGAGATTGGTACCAATTTACACTGTCAATGATCATGACTATATAGTTTCTCACATGCATGCCAAACTAAAAAATGTATTTTGTTTACAATTTACTAAGTGTAAATTGACATTTACTTTTGATCACCCCCACTCCACACCACCCCACCTAATCCCTGTCTTTTTGGTGGTACTGGTAACTGAACCTAGGCCCTCAAATATGCTAGCTTAATGTTCGGCTGAAAAGCTGTTTGCACAGTCTCTGACTGTCTTTAATGTTGGATATTTCCCATGTTGCTTGTCAACCATATTTCCTCTCTAGGGAACTGTTTACTCAAATCCTTTGCTCGTTTACTTTTGTCAAACAACTCTCAGCTCTATTCAGGAAACATGGCCTTATTTATTGACATGAGCTTCCACACACCTGCTATACCATATACACACCAAGTAAATAAATGATGTAAAAATAAATAAATATACATCTGGGATTTGTGTGTGGTTAGAGTTGTAAGTCTCAATGCATTTTCTCCAACATTGTCAACAAATAGTCTTAGTTTTATTTATGAACTATAAGTGATTGCTCCTAACGCCAAAGAGAGAAGATGAAAATGTGAGTCAGATCCTTGGAGATGAGTCAGCTGCAGACAGAGGATCAGCCCTGAACAGGAAGGTCAGTCCTTGCTTTGTGCTTGAGCACAGGCAACAGAGGGGGGTCTGCCTGGGAGACAGCAGAATTCCACCTTAAGACAGCAGAATTCCACCTTAGGGCTTTGGTTTCTCTCCATGGAAAGGGTTGCCTTTCCAAGCTCTACCCAGAGATACTGGGTTTCAGGCTAGTCTATCCAAAACAGCACAAAGGTTCTGGTCCCTAGATACTGGAAGACTGTATTCTCAGCTCCTTAAAGATCCTAAGAACTTCAGCTTCCACCCCACAGTCCTCTTTCCTGGATCTGTCTCTCCAGTCCCACCAGCCAGCCAAGTAAGAAACTATATCACAGACACCTGTACCACCTCGATAACTCACAAGAAACGTCCACGCTTGGTCATTATGACAATCTAGGCTAGAACACAAGCAAGCCACAAAGAAAGTCCCAAGATGATTATCTTGGGATGGGAGAAGCCTAGACTCAAACCCTAGGACTCAGGGCTTCAAGCATTCATTTTTCTTCAGATGTTCTAGCAGGTAGGTTCTGTCACGTCAAGAGAGCTCCACACTCATTCCTACTCATTCCTGTATTCTCCCACCATCCCTGACAGCTACCTCATTAGGCCAGCTGTTGGTGACAGACCCTCAGGGGCTTTGAGAAAAAACACTTAGTAAAGCTGAACACAACACAGCAAACAACTTGCTGAGAGGTCCTCAGGCAAGTTGCTTTCCAGGTCAGCTTTCCACATGAACAGGGTTTGACCTTTGAGCTGTTGTGAGGACAGAGTGAGTTCATGTGTGTAAAGAGCTCAAATTAGCTTTTAACAGCAAACTCAATAAGCATGACCAATATATACTGGCTGATGGGTAGTGCTATAAATCTATTCTATACTATGCCATCCAGCCTTCCCCCATGTCTTCCTGAGCCTTTAACACACCCCAAACGAGCCGGTCACAACTCCGTACAAGGCTCTTGGCTAAGTCACTTTGACTCTTTAGCCTCTAACTCCACATGCTCACGAGAGTCACAAGAAACGAGGAGAAGAAATAATATATGAAGCCAGAAAGGAAAGCTAAAGTAGTCTTAGAAACACAGAGAACGCAAAGGGTTCTGTAAAACACCCTTTGCCCTCCATGCAGGGCTCACAAATGCAGCCTGTGAGCCTAGGCCGCACCTTCAGCATCCCCATGCTGCTCAAGACCTGAGGTCTGGGCTTGTCAGTGCTCTCCAGAGAGGAGGCCAGGGAAGAATAAAGAAGGGGGAGTGTGTGTGTGGGGGTGGACTGCCGTTGTTTCCGGTCTTACTCTTAACCCTGTTGACTTTTCTTTCCCGGGACTTTAAGAAAAGCTCCCGTGGCAATGACAAGTTTCTTCCAGATGAGCACAAAGAACCTGGGGATTTGTTTCTGTGATCCCCCCCCCAGCACCTGCATTTTATAAAACCACAGAATCGATAAGCTGTTGAGGTCTTTTAAAAGAGATACGCTTTACACAGTATCCACCCTGTATCCAGCGCTCAATCCGGCCCTAACCCTCAGCGCACGGCTGGCCCTGCTTAAACTCCGCTCATAACCAAAAAGGTCACGAATGTAGGAACATTGATAGGAAAAGGGGTGGGAGAGAAGAGTGGAGGCAGAGTGATAAGTTTTCCTTCATATTTTTTTTTTTTTTGTCTGAAGGAAGTATGTTCAGGCAGAGAGCCAAAGCAGGAAGCAGGGGGTACGTGTTAGGCACAATTTTGCATCTAATCAAATCTTGTCCTTGCTATTTCCTGCCGTAAAACGCGCTTTATAAAACACATGAGGCGAAATAGAACTAAAATAATCATTATTGGGGAAAGGGAGCTCTGAGATATCCTCCTAAACAGAATTTCCGCCAGTCCTCTCAGATCCGTCCTCGACCTTCTGCTTTTAGATTTCCCTGGAGAGGCAGCCCACCACACCTGCTTCTGCCCATGGTCTGGACTTTCTCAGCACCCATCCCTAAGTCTGAGAAACGTGAGCCACTTTCCCGGTTATCCGCAGCTGCAATCCTCTGGAAGCAAAGGGTTTTGCATGCTTGGTAGCAGATGTCTGGTCGGGGGCAAGACACTCGGGGAGCTTACCTGGCCCGGGCGAAACCCCGGCGGTGTCCCCGGTGCGGCTGAGAGTGTAAGTACGGTACCCCCGGAGCGGCACGAACTTGCAGACGTTGCGGCCCCGCGCCGTGCAGTTGAACAGGTAGCAGCGGGGCGCGGGAGTGGGAGAGGGCGAGCTGGGCCCCCGGGGCAGCTGCACCACGGCCACGGTGCATCGCGGCTCGGAGCAGCAGGCCGCCACGCACTGCCGCCAGCCCCGCACGGTCCCCGGTGAGCGCAGGAAGCTGGCTCCCGCCGCGATGGAGTCCTGGGTGCGGATGATGGTATCGGGGACGGCCCGGTAGACCGCCGTACCGCCCGCACCGGGGCAATCCTCCCGCGGGCCCCCGAGCAGCTCCGGTTCTAGCTCCTCGCGGGGCCGTGCCCGCTGCAGCTGCCGGCGAAAGTCCTGGAGCAGCCGATCGACCCCCGACGGCTGAGCGGCGGGTTCTCCGGGGCGCCCGCTGGGCAGCCAGAGGCAGAGCAGAAGCAACCCGCACAGCGCGCGGTGCCGGGAGCCCGGGCCCGGTCCTCCCCGGGCGGCCATGGCACGAGCGCGGCCTCAGAGCACGGCAGCCCCGGGGCCTGGCTGCTGCACGGAGGTAGCGGGCGTGCGAGCTTCGAGAGACATCGCGCGGAGCCGGGCGAGCCTGTCACGACCCTGGCCCTTCTACCGGGTTGCCGGCTTTCGGCGCCTCCGGCTTTGCTCCGGCCTCGGAAGCGAACCCGGGCAACCAGCGGCCTCTGCGTGGATCAGCACCGGCGAGCGGACAGCGGCTGCGGCGGGGCGGAGCCTGGCATGCAGGGGCGGTTCCCGGGGCGGGACTTCCGCGGGCCGGCAGGTCACCAGGGGTGCGGAGGAGGCGGGGACTCCTGGAACGGCCTGGCTGCTCCATGGAGTGATCTCATCCTGGGCAGTGTTAGATGTTTGGCCCTAGCAGGACTCCTTAACCAACCAGACTTGTGCAAGGCCATACACAGCTCACAAGGTGGAGCACTTGGGGCTGGAGGAGAGAGTCAGTCAGTCCATTAGTCTAAAGTCAGGAACTACTCCAGAGAGCCACAGGCACAGCCAGGGAAACTGTATCCAACTTAGTTGCGTTATGCATTATTAAAGAAATTTGGACTATGGTAGGTAATAAAGGAAATAAAACATTTACCTTCAAGTTCAAATTTGCCTTTTATTTTTTATTAGAGAGCTTAAACATCAGAGATGTAGCAATGGAAAGCTGAACTTGAAAATTCATCTATCAAGCTACCAAAGATCCCCCTGCCTGGCCCTAGGGCAGTCTTTCTGTTTTTTTCAGAGAATGGTGGGTTTTGTGTTTTCCAATTATATGGACCATTTGTTGACAAGAAGACATGAATCTTGTAAAGAAAAGAGAGGAACTTTCTCTTTCTTCTGGGTTCAGCTCAGGGGAACATTTCTCCTTCCCGGGGCTGCTTAGAACAGACATGGAAAGCAGGGAGAGCTCACCCAGGGAACTATTTCCCCCTCTCCATGTGCTTTCCACTTTCATGTCAGAGGGGCCTGGATGAGAAGCCTGGCCTCTCCTCACCTCCACAAAGACCAACCCTGACCGTGAGCAGGAGTCAAACAATGAACCACAAAAGTGCTCCACTCAGGGAGAGGGACAGGTGGAGGGTTTCTGTTCTTGTTGTTTTTCTTTTTCTCTCTTGGTGACTTAGCAAAGAAGTTTCCAGGCTCCCAACAGGAGAGGCGCAGGATTAAGTCAGGGTGTTCACACACCAGAGAAAACCACTGGTCAATACAGTGAAATAGAACTGACCGAAACACACACACACACACACACACACACACACACACACACACAGACACAAACACACACAGACACATACACACACAGACACAAACACACAGACACACACACAGACACACACACACACACACACACACACACTGGTGACCACCACACATTCATATACCAGAAGAGACATGGAATATAGTGATGTCTCACACTCAGGACATTAGACCGGTGGCCTTGTCAGACCTCTCCTACAAGTCCAAAGAGAGGGCGCCTTGACCAGACTTACCTCTGGAAGTGACAGACTTTCTAATTTGTTTCCTTTTGGGGTGGAGACATCAGACTCCTGTGAAGCACTAGGCAGCAACTGATCAAAGGGAGCCCTGGGGACCTGGAACTCAGACTGCACACCCTCTAGGATAGTGGTTCTCAACCTTCCTAATGCCATTACCCTTTAATACAGTTCCTCTGATTGTGGTGACCCCCAACCCTCAAATTATTGTTGTTGCTCCTTCATAATTATAATTCTGCTCCTGTTATAAATGGTAAGGTAAATACCTGATATGCAGGATATCACATGTATGACCTCTTTGAAAGGGACCTTCAAATGCCAAAGGGGTAGTGATCTACAAGTTGGGGACCACAGCTCTAGGATCTCCTTGGCCACCACATCCCTTCCTTCTCCAAGGGGCTCTGGTGTCTTCAGGTCTTGCTGTACTATTCCCGTGGGACTTCCAGCAATGTTGTGGGACATTCACCAGAGAAGACCACTCAGATGCAGATTTAAGTCAATAGAAACTCATTATTAGTGGTCAGCAACTGCACCGGCTGTTTGGGATCCCAGTGCAGCACCAAGCCTTTCTCAGGAAGTGTGTTTAAGCATGGAACCACGTTCTGGATTGACTTCAGTTAACAAGAACGGCTAGCCAGATGTGGAATTACAAAAGCCAAAAAGCAAGGTTAGCACTTTCAGAGAGTATCCCTTAACCATGCACTTGGATGGATTAGGCCTTTGGTTTGGCTTTGGCAGATGGTGCTGTCTATGTGCTGAGTACAGGCTGCATGGTGCTCCCATCATGGAGTTGGTTGTGCTAAACACTGGGGCCCTGTTACAGTTACCAGTGACAATTTCTTTTTCTCCTCCTCCTCTTCCTCCTTCTCCTCCTCTTCCTCCTCCTCCTTCTTCTTTTGAGACAGGGTTTCTCTGTATTGCTTTGCAACTTGCTCTGTAGACCAGGCTGGCTTCGAACTCACAGAGATCTGCCTGCCTCTGCCTCCTGAGTCTGGGATTAAAGGTCTGTGCCAATGCCTGGCAACCACTGACTTCTACTAAACAACTAGTCCTCTATTTCTGTTTCATATCATTAGTTGTTACAAGTTTCCTTTAGTGATACCTGAGATATTTGATTATTGCCAGTTTACTTAATGTCACTATAGTTTACAAATTAATATGTGGGAAGTAGTCAAATTTAAAGTTCTAATACTTTGATAACATAGCATTACAGCTTAAAATCCAAGGATCAGGCAGGGGTTGTGGTGCACACCTTTAAGCCTGATGCTGGGGAGGCAGAGGCAGGTGCATCTCTGAGTTCCAGGCCTTGTCTATACAGTGAGACCCTCCTTCAAAAGATATTTTCAATAGTGAATTTTACATGTTGTACTTTCCATATTTTAAGGGTCCTTATTTTATCTTACTTTTTTATTGATAGTTACTGTTGATATTCTGGCTTGTCCCTCTCCCTGGGGCCTGGGCAACCTGTCCCTGTCCCTGTACCCAACTCCTCTCCTTCTCCTGACCCCAGGTTCCTCTTCAACACCTGCCTGTCACTCCACACTAGCCCTCTCTTGGGCCCGTGCCTTCGCCTTAGGGAATTCTCAATAGAGGAGTCTAAAATGGCTGAGAAGCACTTGAGAAAGTGCTCAACATCCTTAGCCATCCGGGGAAATGCAAATCAAAGCAACTCTGAGATACCATCTCACTCCTGTCAGAATGGATAAAATCAAAAAGACCAATGACAGTTTATGCTGGAGAGGATGTGGTGAAAGGGGAACACTCCTCCACTGCTGGTGGGAGTGCCAAATCGTACAGCCACTTTGGAAAGCAGCATGGAGATTCCTCAGAAAAATAGGAATCAGCCTACCACAAGACCCAGCAATTCCACTCTTAGGCATACATCCAGCAGAAGATTTTAAATCCCCACCCCGGACCATCGCCAGAGTCTTCCACAGTAGACAAGGTGTGCTAGCCCCTGTTTGGCTGAAGTGTCTTCAGGTATAAACACAGGCTGGGATTTGGGTATCTCACTGACGCTGCTCAGGGACTGTAGCTTGAACCTACCTCTGATGCTGCTTCTGGGTCTCTATCTCTCTCTTTTTAAAAGACCCTTATCGTATCCAAAATTCAAGAACCTACTCAAACACATATCCACAGAAGGGCAAATTTTCAGCTTTGAAGTAAAAACTAGGTGTAATAAACCCCGGGACCTTGAACCCAATGCCAGTTTTTGAATGTTTTGGAGTGTTTACAGATACTTACTCTCTACCCTCCACCAGTACAACACATTGTAAGTTAGTGCCATTGTTGCATCTAGGGATCCCAGCAGTGCTTTGTTTTATTTCAGCATTTTAGTGGTCTAGCCTGGGAACCTATCGTTTATAAGATTGCTGCTATAGGAAAACCACGTGATATTCCGAAGGCTGAACTCACCGATGAGGCTGAAGAGATGTTAGAAGCATCACTTGGCCTTCAGATGACGAATCATCGTCATCGTCGTCATCATCATCATCATCATCTATAATTACCAATCTCTATGTCCCTACCCCACCACAGGCTGCCGGGAACAAATCTAGAGGCTTGTGCATGTGGGGGAGCACAGTTATCACTGAGCTACATTTCCAGCTGAGCCCTTCTTACCTTGCCAGGGGAGGAATGGGTTCTCTGTCAGAGAGCGCATAGCAGAGACCAGAGCAATAAGGAGCACCAAGTTGGCAGAAAGCACTGAAGGAAAATGAGGGAAGGTGCAGTGTGCAAGGGCCTCACCGCCATTAAAACATTTTTAAATGCTATGTGGTGTGTGCGCACATGCACAAGGCATGCGTGGTGGTGTGCACGTGGACGCCAGAGGGAAGCTTGGGGCTTTGGTGGCTTCTTCCACCATGTGGGTCCCAGGGACTGAGCTCAAGTCCTGAGGCTTGGCAGCAGGTGCCTTCACCTGCTGAGCCATCTTGCTAGCCCAAGGGCTTCATAATCTTGACCTTCATCCTTGATAGGTTAAACTGAATTAGAGACACAGGGCAAACAGGGTGGGCAACAGTAGACTGGAGGGCAGGCCAAGGTCTCACAGGGAAGTGACCAGGCCAGTTTAGATGCCAGAGGCAGCTATGGAATTGATCCTGTGGAGATAGCAAGATGAGCCCTGTGGACGCCCGAGGACAGGAAGGGCTCCCTGACAGGAGCCCGCAGATAAGGCTGTGATGTCCTACAACGTTGCAGAGTAAGGACCAGGAAGTGGAATAGGGAACCATGTACCAGCCTGCTAACCAATGGTGGCTGGGTTCCCAGGTGGGAGTTTTTTCTAAAAGTCCAAGGAAAAGATACCAGTGCTTATTTACTGAGCCATGGGGACCAAGGTGCTTTTGGAGTGGAGATCAGTAAGTGGCGATGGTGATGATTGTGTAGCAAGAGATGAATCTGGTAAGTGAGCTCCAACCTCAGAAACCATTCTAGAGCCAACTCCAGCAAGAGTCCTCTGCTGGCCACATAGGCTGGGGCATGTGTTCACACATGCTGTGGTGGTGTGAATGGGTGCCCCCTACAGTCTTGGGGACTTGCAGACTTGGTCCCCAGGAGGTGGCTGTTGGGGAGGGTTGGTGGTGCAGCCTTGCTGGAGGAAGCATGTCACAGGTTGGGGTGGGAGGTGGCTTCTAAGATAAGTCTTGTGCTGCTTCCAGCTCACTGTTCCATGCTTTTGCCACAATGCCTGCTGCCTGCGGCCATGCTGGGCTCATCCCTCTGGAACATAAGCCATGGTCATGGTGTTTTATCCCAGCAAAATTGCACTCGCTCCAACCTAGGCCTGAAGTTCTCTGCCTTCTTCTGAAGCTGCTTCTGGGCTCTCTAGTACTTGCTTTTAAGAACTATGTTTCACTACAGTATTAAAAAAAAAAACAAAAAACCTTGTCTCTTGTTAGTCTTCATAATAGTCATGGCCCAGTAACTGGACACAGAAGTCCTTCAAAAGCCCTATCCTAAACAAGGCAACTTGATTTACAAATTACTCAGAAGAAAGTGTCTTTTGGGCTAAGACTTGAATGGGAGGCTGTCTGTCTTAACAACTAGTTTCCTGTGCAGTGCATCTCATCTTGCCGTCAGACATTAACCTTCTGTGAAGTTGCACTGATTGTCCAACTGTGGGTGGAGACCTCTTGGAGATCTGATACCCTGGATGCTAGACATTTACGTTACAACTCTTAACAGTAGCAAAAGTGCAGTTGTGAAATAGCAATGGATATGATTGTATGGTTGCAGTCACTGCAACATGAGGAACTGTATTAAAGGGTTGCAGCATTAGGAAGGTTGAGGACCCCTGGTCTACAGCAGAGTGCTGTGTGTGTGTGTAGTGTGCTCCCTCGTACCATCAGGTACTTGATTTTATAAACAGACTTGAATGTCTGAAGCTCCCAGGTTATCCAGGAGTGATACTAGAAAGGATCGAAATTGATATTTCTAGACATACTCTGCCCTACTTTTTGCTGTGTTTCATTGGTTGGAAGCATGGGTGTTAAGCTGTGAAGTGGTTGTTTTACAGGTTTGGCAAGATTTTACTGCTGATACTTTGAACCCAAGGAAGAGCTGACTTGTTAGAAACAAAGCAGGGAGTGGACATCAATAACCTAGGTCCTCTGCACAGTTCGCCCTTGGGGCTCCTTTCATCTTTAATCTGTCTGTGGGACAAAGCCTTGTGTGACTTGTCACTTGTGGCTTTGTCTTTCCTCTTGCTGCAACACTGTTGGGAGCAGAGAGAAGAGAGGAGCCTCCTTAGACTCAGAATTAATTAAGCAACTTCCTCTTTTTTGAGAAAGTGAAAGTAAGACGTTTTAGAGGACAAACCCGGCTGTAGAAGGAGACTACACTGACCAGCCTAGTTTCAGAGAAGATTCCAGACCTGTCTGAGTCCTGCAAGCTGTGCAGATTCAGCTCTGCTGCTCTGTGAGGTGTGCTCTGCAGTGATGAACCTGCTGTGAATTCATCCCAGCTCCTGTAAGTGATTCCTCCCCCCATTCCTGTTAGTAACCCCACAGAAAACACAGAGGTTCTCCAAGTTGGACCTTCCTGCTGTTGGTACTTTGGTCTGTCATAGGTTCCCATGCTGAGGTGTGTGTGTGTGTGTGTGTGTGTGTGTGTGTGTGTGTGCATCTTCCCAGGTAAAGTCTCTTGTACAACAGCAGTTATCCTTAGACTCAATAAGCTTATGTGATCATGTCTTGGCTTTGATATCAGCAGACAGAGTGGAATAGTGTGACAGGCGTTGTCTGCACAGCTACTGTCATCCTGGGACTGTGGATGCTGGCTTTGTACAAGTTGCTCTGTAGAAATGTAGAAAGGATGAACTTTACAAAGATAACCACTAATGTCTGAAGCAGCGGTGCAGAACAGGAGGGAAACTGAAGAGGAGGGCTTATGTGGTAGTTTGAAGAATGGCCTCATATTAGAATGTTAAGTCATCAGAGAATAGCACTACTTAGAAGGATTTGGAGGTGTTCTTGTTGGGGTAGGTGTGTCCTTGGGGGAGAAAGTTTGTCATTGCTGGTGGACTTTGAGCTTTCAAGAGCCCAAGCCAGGCCCCGTGTCCCCCTCTCTTTCTGTGCCTGTGGACTCGGATGGAGAACTCTCAGCTGCTTCTCCAGCACCACGTCTGCTGTGTGCTGTCATACACCCTGCTATGATGACAATGAACTAAACCCTTGATACTGTAAGCCAGCCCTAATCAAATGCTCTCCTTCATAGGAGTGGCCATGGTTTGTTCCAGGCTGCCGGGAACAAATCTAGGGTCTTGTGCATGTGGGGAAAGCACAGTTATCACTGAGCTACATTTCCAGCTGAGTCCTTCTTACCTTGCCAGGGGAGGGATGGGTTCTCTGTCAGAGAGCGCATAGCAGAGACCAGAGCAATAAGGAGCACTAAGTTGGCAGAAAGCACTGAAGGAAAATGAGGGAAGGTGCAGTGTGCAAGGGCCTCACCGCCTTTAAAACATTTTTAAATGCTATGTGGTGTGTGCGCACATGCACAAGGCATGCGTGGTGGTGTGCACGTGGAAGTCAGAGGGAAACTTGGGGCTTTGGTGGCTTCTTCCACCACGTAAGTCCCAGGGACTGAGCTCAAGTCCTGAGGCTTGGCAGCAGGTGCCTTCACCTGCTGAGCCATCTTGCTAGCCCAAGGGCTTCATAATCTTGACCTTCATCCTTGATAGGTTAAACTGAATTAGAGACACAGGGCAAACAGGGTGGGCAACAGTAGACTGGAGGGCAGGCCAAGGTCTCTCAGGGAAGTGACCAGGCCAGTTTAGATGCCAGAGGCAGTTATGGAATTGATCCTGTGGAGACAGCAAGATGAGCCCTGTGGACGCCCGAGGACAGGAAGGGCTCCCTGACAGGAGCCCGCAGATGAGGCTGTGATGTCCTACAATGTTGCAGAGTAAGGACCAGGAAGTGGAATAGGGAACCATGTACCAGCCTGCTAACCAATGGTGGCTGGGTTCCCAGGTGGGAGTTTTCTAAAAGTCCATGGAAAAGATACCAGTGCTTATTTACTGAGCCATGGGGACCAAGGTGCTTTTGGAGTGGAGATCAGTAAGTGGCGATGGTGATGATTGTGTAGCACGAGATGAATCTGGTAAGTGAGCTCCAACCTCAGAAACCATTCTAGAGCCAACTCCAGCAAGAGTCCTCTGCTGGCCACATAGGCCGGGGCATGTGTTCACACATGCTGTGGTGGTGAGAATGAGCGTCCCTACAGTCTTGGGGACTTGCAGACTTGGTCCCCAGGAGGTGGCTGTTGGGGAGGGTTGGTGGTGCAGCCTTGCTGGAGGAAGCATGTCACAGGGTGGGGTGGGAGGTGGCTTTTAAGATAAGTCCTGTGCTGCTTCCAGCTCACTGTTCCATGCTTTTGCCACAATGCCTGCTGCCTGCGGCCATGCTGGGCTCATCCCTCTGGAACGTAAGCCATGGTCATGGTGTTTTATCCCTGCAAAATTGCACTCGCTCCAACCTAGGCCTGAAGCTCTCTGCCTTCTTCTGAAGCTGCTTCTGGGCTCTCTAGTACTTGCTTTTAAGAACTGTGTTTCACTACATTATTAAAAAAACCTTGTCTCTTGTTAGTCGCAGCATTAGGAAGGTTGAGGACCCCTGGTCTACAGCAGAGTGCTGTGTGTGTGTAGTGTGCTCCCTCGTACCATCAGGTAGCAGTACTTGATTTTATAATCAGACTTGAAAGTCTGAAGCTCCAAGGTTATCCAGGAGTGATACTAGAAAGGATCGAAATTGATATTTGTAGACATACTCTGCCCTACTTTTTGCTGTGTTTCATTGGTTGGAAGCATGGGTGTTAAGCTGTGATGTGGTTTAGCAGAACAAGATGTTCCTCCTAAGGGAATAGAAGACGTGTAACAGGTTTGGCAAGATCTTACTGCTGATACTTTGAACCCAAGGAAGAGCTGACTTGTTAGAAACAAAGCAGGGAGTGGACATCAATAACCTGGGTCCTCTGCAGAGTTGACCCTTCGGGCTCCTTTCATCTTTAATCTGTCTGTGGGACAAAGCCTTGTGTGACTTGTCACTTGTTGCTTTGTCTTTCCTCTTGCTGCAACACTGTTGGGAGCAGAGAAAAGAGAGGAGCCTCCTTAGACTCAGGAATTAATTAAGCAACTTCCTCTTTTTGAGAAATCGAATCTAAGAAGTTGTAGAGGACAAACCCGGCTGTAGAACAAGACTCTGACTAGCCTAGCTTCAGAGGAGAGTCCAGACCTGTCTGGGTCCTGCAAGCTGTGCAGATTCAGCTCTGCTGCTCTGTGAGGTGTGCTCTGCAGTGATGAACCTGCTGTGAATTCATCCCAGCTCCTGTAAGTGATTCCTCCCCCCACTCCTGTTAGTAACCCCACAGAAAACACAGAGGTTCTCCAAGTTGGACCTTCCTGCTGTTGGTACTTTGGTCTGTCATAGGTTCCCCTGCTGAGGTGTGTGTGTGTGTGTGTGTGTGTGTGTGTGTGTGTGTGTGCATCTTCCCAGGTAAAGTCTCTTGTACAACAGCAGTTATCCTTAGACTCAATAAGCTTATGTGATCATGTCTTGGCTTTGATATCAGCAGACAGAGTGGAATAGTGTGACAGCGTTGTCTGCACAGCTGTTGTCATCCTGGGTCTGTGGATACTGGCTTTGTACAAGATGCTTTGTAGAAATGTAGAGAAGGATGAACTTTACAAAGACAGCCAGTGATCAGGCCCCAACCTGAAGCAGAGGTGCAGAGCACAGGAGGGAACCTGAAGAGGTGGGCTTATGGCTGGTTGAAGAATGCCTCATATGATAACAATGAACTAGACTCCTGAGACTGTAAGCCAGCCCTCGTCAAATGCTCTCCTTAAGAGTGGCCATGGTTATGTTGTCTCTACACAGCAATGGAACACTAACTAGGACACCTCACATCTCTGCTCTCCTTTGTGTCTCAGGTTGCTCAGCTCGGACTTTCACAATCCTTCCCTCTTACCCAAGCTCTTACATTCTGCAGGTTTTTAGACTTTGCTCTTAATCTCATCTTTAGGAGTCTGGCTTCACCAGAAACTCTTGATTGAGAAGAAGCCCAGTGGTGGAGTCCTCAGTGCCAAGCTGGACACAGGGTCCACAACTGAACTATGGATTGCGTGTCATCAGCACTTGAGTTACTTCTCCACTTGCCCTCTGTGGCACACACACTTTTTTTCTAGACTCTGCTTGGCCTCACTCACTGCCACTGCTGCTCTTGGTGGTCGTCCCATGACACTGGCATCTGCAAAATGCTGGGTCTTCTGCTGCAACTGCACTTTCACTAGTAGCCTATTCTGGGTTGTTTGCATGGACTCTGACTCTGGCACACATTGCCAAGCCTCAGCTGCTCTCCGTGTCCCCTTCACACCTTCAAAAATAGCACCACCTGGGTGGATCTTACATTACCAAGTTCGGCTTTCTGCACAGGATACAACCTTGGCCATGTCTGGAACACAGCCTTGATGCTAATTCTCAGGAAACACTTTCCAGAAGACCTCACCTAAAGATGCTGGTCTCTTCATAATCACTGCTGATTTCTCAGCTCCAGCTGAGCAGCATGGAGTCCCCCAGCAAAGCAAAGGTCTCACTTTAGTGGTTCTGGTACCTTGTTAATCACAGGTGATTCCTCAGCCCCAGCTATCCAGAACCATTGATTCTTAATTAAAATGACCCAGTAGAGTTAGCTGTTTTGGGAATTCATTCTGCCAATAGCTTTGGGGTTCCTGACTTAGGGCCTTAGGGTGTGGCTTCTTAAAAGGAGAGAGACAGAGGTGGATGCTCTCCTGGGGTGTGAAGACTGGATCAGGTGGCCTGAAGCATCATGTGGCTGCTTCCCAGCTCCCTTAGGCATAAGAGATATAAATCTTTATATATATATAAAAAGATTTATAAATACATATAAATGAATATATGTGTATTTGTGGTTCTTGCCACAGTCTGTTTTGCTAGACTTCTCATTCTGGCCTGTATTGTCTGCATGATCTCCACATTCCCTTTTTTTTGGTTTTTATGAGACAGGGTTTCTCTGTATTGTTTTGGAGGCTGTCGGTCCAGCCTAGCCTCGAACTCACAGAGATCTGCCTGCCTCTGCCTCCCGAGTGCTGGGATTAAAGGCATGCACCACCACCGCCCGGCCGCTCTCCACATTCTTATCTTCCAAACTCTTAAAGAATGACGATGTCCCCGTTTGTCACAACACTGCCATACTATCTTGGTATCAACTTGTCTTAGGGTTACTATTGTTGTTAGGAAACATCTTGACCAAAGGAACTTGGGGAGGAAAGAGGTAATTTGGCTTCCATTTCTAAGGCACTGTTTATCATTGAAGGAAATCAGGATAGGACTCTAACAGAGCAGGAACCTGGAGTCAGGCTGATGCAGAGGCCATGGTGGGTGCCGCTCACTGGACTGTTCCTCATGGCTCACTCAGTCTGCTTTCTCATAGAAAAGGACCACCAGCATGGGCGGGGCCCTCTGCCATCCATCAGTCATTAAGACCATGACCTACAAGCTTGCCTGATTTTATGGAAGCATTTTTAAATTGAGGTTCCCTCCTGTCAGAGGAATTTAGCTTATGTGGGGTTGACATAATACTACCCAGAACATACCTTACATTTACCACTTTTATTCAGTATTGCTGTATTATCTGTCATCTTTGTTAGAAGGACCCGTGAATCCCCTTCACCGCTTCAATACTACTTTGCTACAAATGGTGTCATAACTGGTCATTACAATCCATGGTCATTAACACAATATGTTTAGCTTCTTGATTAGGAAACATTTAACTGTGTAGTGAAGTTTACTGTAAGACCTTCCTTGTGTTTAATAATTTTCAAGCACTTATATTCTTTTTAAGAAATTTATTAGAGGGTCGGAGAGATTGCTTAGTATTTAAAAACACTGCTCTTGGAGATCTGGGTTCAGTTTCCAGTACTCACAACCATCTATAACTCCAGTTTCAGGAGATCTGATGTCCTCTTTTGGCGTTTGTAAGCACCAGGTACACATGTCACATACACACAATCAAAATACTCATACATATTAAAAGTAAAAATCAATCATTAAACCATGTATTAGCACATTAATCACACATAATACTAGGGTTCACTATGATGCTTTTGCATGTGTGTGTGTAAGATATTTTAGTCATATCAACTCTTCTGTTACCTCTCGTGTCTCCTTCCCACTCCCCCCAGATTTCTCCTAATTATTTCTCCTCTACTTTCATGTGAGGCTTTTTTTTCCAATTGTGTTCACCCAATGATTCCATCTGTGGTTATTAAAGAAGTAAGCTTTATTTAAAGAAGTATTTATTTAAAGAAGTATTAAAGGAGTAAAGAAGTAAGAAGTGAGTGGCTATTTATAAGAACCTGGGCTCCTCACTAGTGAACACACCACTGAACACAATGTCTCTCCCTCCAGCACCATTCACTGCAGAGAGATCCCAGGGCCCCTGGAGCCTCATGAGCCCCTCTCCCTCCATGAAGGGAAGGGTGACAGTTCTGCTCTTGTGCAGGGATCATGCAAGTCCTCAGAGCCGCTGAGAGGTCAACAGTTGACAGCCATGTCATGGAGGGAAAACAATGTTCTCTTGCATCTTTCCCACCCTCTCTGAGAGACTCCTGACTCCTGGGTGGGGTGATGTAGATGTCTGGTGTAGCAAATCCTTTCACTCCCTTGCCTCCGGCTCATCATCCTGGGACAACATTTCGGTGGCCTGGTTGGGGACCTCTGCATTTGTCTGCCAGGCATCTCTTTCTTCTGTGGCTTGTGGCAGGTGATGGAACACTTCATGGGCAGCTGAAGATTTCTGTCTGGAAAGGTTTTGCAGTGAGATCCAAAGCTTCAGATGTTTGTCTGGAAGTAGTTAGCTTTTTACCCCACAGAGAAGTCAGCAAGTCACTGCTTAGCTTGTACCCTGATGAACCATGACCCCTGACAAATGGGGGTCATTTAGAGTCCCCGGTCACCCAACCCCTTCTCAGACTGAACCATTTCTGGGGTACACAGTCACTCAGTTGCCTGTGGTACAGAGGGAAGTGAGACATTAAGGATAAATGCCCAGTTGATTGCGTGAAAATACCTTTGCCATTGATTTTGGAATGAATGCATGGTAAGGGTCCCTCTTAGGGTCATGACAGGAGTGCATGCAAGTGAGGTGTCTGGAGGCTTGCTAAATTCAGTTCTCATGTCTGAGAAGACAGTATATTGAACTTGTAATCATACTGTCCAAACTTCAGAGTTGGAGGGATGGAAAGATAGCTCAGTGGGTAAGGCCATGGTGTATAAACATGAAGACAGTAATTCACACCTATGATACCCAGCGGGACATCTGTCCCAAGTCCTCAGCTGACTAACCCTACCAAGAACCAGAGTGAGACCCCAGCCTGCTCCTTACCTGCTTGTGCCCGACATTTCTTCTTCACATACCTGCAAATGCAAATGCAAATGCAGATGATGATGATGGGGATGGCTACTGCCATGGTGGTAGATTTACTGTTGTTGGAAAAATGCGGGGTATCAAGAGACTGGGTGACAGGTAGAAGCTGAGTGAAATCTGGGCCTCTTGATGTTGGTCCTTAAGAGAAAAAAATCAGGAAGTTATGGATAAGACTAAAAACACATCTCCAACAGCACCTTCTCTCCCCAGGCAGTCTGAGGAACTCATGTGTAATAAACCCAGAGCATAGAACCCACCGAGGACTGGGAAACCTGCAGCTTTGGCACTGCATTTGAAGATACTATGTGGGGAGGGGCGCCAATCCTGGGGCATGGGATACACCCTCATCTGGGGTCAGAAGAATGGACAGAGGACAGATCTGTTGTCACATTCGTGAGCTTGTGGCATGTTGCACCTGTCACACTGAATGCAGCAGACCTGGGTATTAGATACAGGCCAGGTTGAAAATATTTAGTTCCTGTCATTTACAGAAAGCTCAAACGTTCTCTTTCCTACATGAACACCAGTATCTGATGCTATCTCCCCAGGAGTTAGACCATATGGGCTTGGGAGCAAGGGAAGTTTTCAAATCTATCCAGAACCATTGTCAGTCAGGTATGAGCACAGATTGCCCCCTGGCGGAACAGAGCGTAAATGCACTTGATTAGTGGGGACTTTGGGAAGGGGCGATAAACCCTTATTAAGATTCAAATGGAAATGAAACATCTTCTGTTACAAATCTGTAACAAATCACAGAACTTGGTAGACTGAGGGAGAGAAGGGATTGTTGCAGATTCTACAGTGTGGGCCGCAGCGCGAAATCCTGCCTTAAGAGAAAACAACTACAGAATGAAAGGTGGAAAAGAAAAAAAGAAAAGGAGG